AGTGTTCCAAGGTTGTCAATAACGTTAGGTGTTTGGTATGTTTCCAGTGATCGATGCCTATAAGGAAAGTCTCCCCCAATGCTGGGTCTTATAGTCGAATAGTGAAATCAAAAAGATTCCCAAAGTGGTGGAATGATTGAGACATGGACGTTATCAAGCTACAGATGCACCGTGAAAGCAAGGAATGGCTAGCAGGCTGGGAATCACTTGAAATTGGTCACTAATTACTGCGGATATTATACTTCATCCAGAGCCATCTCATCACCTCAGATCAAGACAGAGTGACACATTCCAGCGTGTACAATTCGAAAATGGAAACTAAATTTTGAGACGCAGCCAAAAGTACATGGGCAGTAAAAACCTGTCACAAGAAACGGGGAAACAATTCGATACATCACAACACGAGACGCCGAGGAGAACATCAAAAGGGAATGGACATGACCAGAGATTAAAAATCACCTTTATGCGGAGCGCTTGTAGAGACCAGCGACGATACAGTGGTCACGCTCGAAAGGCTCAAGGGTCAGCTGCTCCTTGGGCTTAATCTTCTCCTCACGCATCTTCTGGACCTCACGGGCGAAGACAACCTCGGGCTTGGCGGTGGAATCGATACAGTTGGCCTTGACGGAGACAATGACACCACCCTCATCCTTGAGGAACATGTGGGCGTTGAGACCGACAATACGGGCCTGATCGGGCTGGGCAACATCGGCGAAGATGACATCAACCATGGGCACGAGCATGCGGTAGCGGAGGGGGTGACGGGCATCCTCGACAATGGGGATGACGTTGGTACGGTGGGTAGCCATGCCAATCAGATCACGGCCAGAGCGGTGAGAGAACTCAACAGCGTAGACGTTACCGGTAGGACCGACGATATCAGCAATGTGAGAGACGGAGGTACCACTGGCACCACCGAGGTAGAGAACCTTGGCACCGGGCTTCATGTAGATCTCATCGAGACCACCGAGAATACCAGCAGCCATCTTGGAACGGAAGGGGTTCCACACACGGTACTCAATCTTGGTGACAGCACCATCCTCGCTGGCAGGGCCCTCGACGGAGATACGCTTCTCACCGTAAACGGCCTCACCAGGGGTCAAGTTCTTGGTGACGAGCAGATCCTCCTTGCCACCACGAGCGACGAAGACACCGGAGTGACGGTGAGGCTCCTGTTGAAGAAAAAAAGTCCCGGTTAGCTGATGTTCTCCATGTCCCCGAAATTTTTTTTCTCTGAAACTTACAATGATAACCTTAGCACCACCGCGAGCACCACCGCCACCGCGGGGAGCACCACGGCCACGGGGAGCACCGCGACCACCACGAGGGGCACCACGGCCACCACCACGGCCACCGAAGCCACCGCGGCCACCGCGGTCACCGCCGCCGAAACCACCACGGCCACCACCTGAAGAAATTGAATCAGCAACGTGAACCAGATTAGACCAGCAGGTCGATGTGCAGAATCTGAGTGTCAGGCTGGTAGAACCAGCGACACTGATGATGCGCAGGCTTGCGGCTTCAAACGGATGGACTGAACAAACCTCGACCACCGCCACGTCCACGGTCACCACCACCAAATCCACCACGTCCACGAGGGGGACCACCACGGCCACGGGGAACGAAAGCCATTGTAAAGGGTTTGAGAAAAAAACTCGGTTGGGAAGAGTTAAGGGGGAGTAGGAGGTTGAGCTGTCGTTTCCGAAGGCTCAGACCGGTGTATTTGAAACTGGGAAGAAACGGTCCCAAGAGAGTCGATGAAGGAGTAGAAAAAGATTGAGTGTAGATCCGAGTTTACTGGATCAAGCAGATAGAACAGAATTAGCCGCTGACTGTTTGTCGGGTGCGGGTCGATACCGTTGCTGCTCGTTGATGCGGTCGAGATTTTTTTGCGCTTTGGGATCTTTCAGAAAATCAGAACGGCGCTAGGCTTCTTTTGTGCTAGCGCTCTGCTTCCGTGTGGAATCATCACGTGATGGAACACCCCGATAGCGAGATCACGTGGTCCGTCTTAACCCTGCTTGAAGAATAATGGAAAGTGAAAATATAGTTATATTCTGTGCATAATGCCACAGGATGACCGTGGGCATTGGAAATAAGGAGTAGTAAGAAGTAAGACAAAGACCGGCCCGCGAAACTCAAAGTGGTAACCTCCCTCGAGGTTTTTATGTACAAATCAAGAACATTCCAATCATTCTCCGAAGAAGTAGTAGTTTGCAGAATATTGCATCTCAAATGCCTTGGGCTGTCCCTTACAGGTCTTTGGGGGTGATCCAGCAGCAGTGTCAACTCGATAGACACTCTTGTAGTTACCAATGGTGCCGTCAGTGGAAGTAAGGTAGAGCCAGGCAACGGCACCATACTTCCCAGAGGTAGCACCAGAAGGCGCAGAAATCTGATCCTGCTTCTTAGTCATGACAATTCCATCCTGTTTTTCTGGTGAAGTATTGAGATTGAACTCTGGAGTGGTCGCATCGAAGAAGAAATGATGTCCCATGAGGTCGATGTTGGCAGGGGGGAAAGAGGCCAGTTCGTTGGTCGGGAGAGTAATCGTGTAGGCAATGCTAGGAAGTTTCTCTATGATACTCGGGTAGTTGGCTGCGAGGCATGTGGCATTGTAGAGCCGGGCAACGGCTCCTGCTGCTACTGGCGTGGTGTTGGATGAAGAGTCGGCACAGGTGTAGTTCTGTATAAATAGTGAGCTATAATATCCGATTGTGAAATCATATGCTTGCATACCTGAGTACCACGTCCAAGTGCAACATAGACTGGCTTTAAGCCAGTGGGTCCAGGCAGGCCTGAGGCATACGAAGGAAGAGCAATCTTAGAGATATCGCAAGCGTCTGGGGATCGGATATTGTGCTTTGCGGTGCTGATGAACTGGCTGACCTTTCCGTAGAAATCAGCTAGCTCATCTGACCAACCGTATGCATCATCCAGAAAGCTTGTTGGGGCAGCGAGTGAGACTGCTGCCAGGCAGGTGAGAAGAGAGATGAGACGCATTGCTGTCGCCTGGTTGATAACGGAGGAGAAGGGTCGTTCACCGCGGCGGATTATTGAATAGGATTAAAGGTTGTCCAGCAAGCCTTGGGTAGCTCTCGGTCAAATGTGAAGGAACGGGCTAGAGCGTGGTGAAGAAAGGAATGACAGGAGAGGGAGGGATTGGCATGAATTCATTCGGGTCAGAACAGAGATACATATAGAGGCGTGGTTACTTGCAGTATCGTCTAATTCAAGCATGCATCAAAGATAGTAACACCCGTCTGACTCGAAACAATGCTGAATCTATAAACGGAGTGATCAATGCAACCTGCAGGTACTAGCAAGGATTAGGGCTCGACCACGGATTCTTATTGGTAGATCGACGCGCCCCGGGCTGCTTCCTCCAGCCTTACCTCCCTCTGATTTGTCCTCGGTCATAAAGGACTTTGGATTAATCAGGATAGCAACGCGCTAAGCAAAACAACGGGGTTCCCAAAGGCGGTTCGGCAGAGCTCCCAGCACGGTAGGGCCAAGATGGAGGACTCTATTAATTCCCCGGGCTATTTATAAATCTGACTGAAGAGAAATGCGTGTATGCTCGGCATTAAGATGTGCAGACTTCATTCTACTGTGGGCTAGTCTGCAGAGCTGCGGAGATATTGCTAGGTCATGGCCCTAGGGCCTTTGTGCAGGACTTGGGGAATTGCTGCAGGCATTGTACATGGATTGATAGTAGTACTTTTGTATATCAAACCGAATTCTTTGACTCTGCCAGCAACCTGGGTGGACCATGATTGAGCTACCAATTCTGCCCATTCTGCCTTTGTTCTTGTCCTTAGGGCTCGGTGGCTGGTTGAGGGGGAAGAGGGGTTGGGCTCACTCGGTACGACACCCCGGCGCGTAGAAAACGCCATTTTTACACCGACTCCTGATCCGCCATTCCGCTTTAATTAGCCTGTTGCGACCTAGCTTTCAACCTGTTTCTGTGTTCCTGCTTTGGTCAACTGGCCTTTTCCGACCCGGCTCACCTAACCGACCATGGTCACGATATATATACTTGCATGCATGGTACCCTAACCACATCGGAGGAAATTGACCGGATCCACGCTTATCTCGCCACTCTAGTGGTATCCATATATACTGCGGGGTCTAAAAGTGAAATCTGTCTGATATTCGAAAACAATCTTGGGATCTATACACGCTATCTACTTCAGATGTCAGCTCAAGAATCCTAACAATTCAGCTTTTTCTCCATGAAGCCCGGGTGGTCTAGTGGTATGATTCGCGCTTAGGGTATTAAAACACCTAAGCTTAAATGCGCGAGGTCCCGCGTTCAATCCGCGGCTCGGGCCTTCAATCTTTTTTTGCCTCTTCAGATTCTTACCTACACTACTTACAGTACTACCCTGAATGTGGACTAGTAGCTACTTTTTATTAGTCTACCTTTTTGTCCTTGGTCTTTATTTAACCTTTATTTGTCTATTTATTGCCGTTATCGGTAAAGTTAACCAAATGTGCTATGCTAGCAGAGGTGGTGGGTGGATTTATAGATCCGAGCACATGGAGTTCCAAAAACACCCATGGTAGTTATTGGCAATTGGATCTAAATCGGATCTAAATAAAGAAAAAAAAAACACACACACAAGCGATGGTAAAAGTACAATCGTCTATATTCAATCGAAGGGGAGTCCAATTGATAGCTTGATCGACCAGAGATGATCATGTCACAAGATCTTCCATGCACAACACTTCACTACATCCTCGAAATGACCAGGAATGACCTGCCTCATGCGTCACCATGCAGAGCCATACAGTTTTATGATGCAACCTAGTCACAGACATACAGATAGATATATTTGCCAGAACTCAAATTTACACAGGATGCAGCTAGACCCACATCCAAGAATAGAGAGAGCGCGAGAGAACACTCAATCCCAAACGCCACAAGATGATCCATAAAGAAACACGGTAAAAAAAGAAACTCCGATACCCTCGCTGTGATAACAAGAAATAGAACATTAGTTGAATCCTTCCTGCTGCCAGTCATCGCCGTGCAGCTGCCCCGTGCCACTACCACTTCCACTACCAACCCCACCTCCACCGTAAGCAGCAGCGGCCGCACTACCGACGGCGCTCATAGCGCTATGCTTCTCAATCTCCGTGGTGCTCATCATGTAGAGGACCACGAAAAGGAGAATGTGGAGTGCAAAGCAGTAGCCAGCGAACAGGTTGCGACTAGTCCGGTTTGCGAGAATAACACGCGTGAGAGAGAAAACGATACGCTCTGGTAGGCTCATACGTTTGTATGCACGAGTCGATTCTCGGCCCCGGAAGGCCGCGAAGGGTGAGATCCGGGCTTCGTAGGCGTTCTGATAGCGGTCGAGGGACAATCCTGATGGAGTGTCTGCAGATGTGTACACTGAGGTGGAGCTGGGGGTATTTGCATATGATGATGCTGATGTAGATGCACCCTGTCCTCGGCTGTAGGTTGAGACATATCTTGTCTTTTCATACAGGCCCAAGTTGTCCTTTTGGAGGGATGCAACTTCTTGTCGGAGGGATTTGACGGTGGTGTACAGCTTTGACAGCTCCTCCTCAAGTTCGGCATTCTTCTTCTTGAACCGATCTCGTTGGGCTTGGATCATCGGAAGAAGCCCTGACCCGCCACCTACGGCTTCCCCTGCGCGAATTGCATCCATGGTGTTCGCGGATGCAGCACCCTGGTCAAAGCCAGATATGATAGACGAGGTGGGAGATGATGCACCGCGACGGGCAGAGTGAGGATATCTGGAGGTGTATGTTCCTGCAACAGACATTGCCCCTGATGGGAACGTGTTTGTAGCCTCCTCTTGTACGCGAAGAAGATCGTTCTCAAGAGTACTTGATAGGGTTCGAGATTTTTCCAGCTCTCCCTTTGAGGTGGAAAGTTCGTTCCGCAAGGTTTCAAGCTGACCTTGAATATCACGATGGGACACACGCAGAAGAGTGAGGTCGTCTGTCAACTTCTTGTTCCGGGCCATGAGGAGCTGCTCCAGAGAGTTTTTCTCCTTGGATTTGGTTGCCTCGCCATTAGTCTCAGTCGTTGTGCCTTCAACTCCCTCACCAACGTCATCATCGTCGCCGGTTGCGAACTCAACGGATCGGATCATTTCTAACTCTCGGCGGATCTCATCGTAATCTGCGACCTTAGCCAACCGTGAGCGCAGCTCCTCTTTCTCGGTCGTTGCCTTGGACAAAGTTCTCTCCGATTGAAGCAACTTAGCTTCCCAAGTGTGTCTTTCGGAGTCTTTGTCAAAGCGTGTAGCATCCAACTTCCGCAACAAAGAGGAATTTTCCGATTGGAGACGAAGGTATTCAGGGTCATCCTCGACAGAAGCTACGGCAGAATGTGAGTGGGAGGCGGCCTGGGCTAGCTCGATACGCATTTGTTCATTGCGGGCTTCCACATCAGCTAGCCTCAAGCTTGTCTTCTCCAGGTCGGCAGAAACAAGCTCAAGCTCAGCTGCCGAGGCACCACTTCGTGAACCATCAATCTCGTCGCCTTCGCCCTCTCCCAGGCGCTGCGAGACTTCATAGCTTGCCTTGAGCTCTTTGATTAAGCGGTCCTGATTCTCCACCTTCTCCTCCAAGCTCTTTTCTTTGGCGGCCCAGTTGTTCGTCTTTTCGGTCAAGACAGCTTCCCATGATGTCTCAATTTCCTTGGCTCTTGATTCTTGGTTCTCTTCCAGTGTTTTCCGGGCGGCGCGTTCCTCCTGCAGGCGTTTCTCGGTATCCTCTTGTTGCTTGGTAAGGCGATCCACCGACTTTTGTAATTGATCCCGCTCTGATGTCAGCTTCGGAACTGTATCTTCGGATAGAACGAGAGAGTCAACGGAAGCCTCGAGGAGTGGGTAGGGATCTGGGGCCTCGGATAGTGACGAGTATAGCTGCAAGAACGAGGACGACGAAGTTTTGCCTTGATTGGTCAAGTGATCAATAAAAGACTGATACGCCTTGAGTAGACCTTTAAACTCGTTGAGCTTCGCCTCATCATCAAGTTTCTTATAGTCCTTTGTCTTCTGGGCGAGGTCCTTTCTCTGTACGAGTGCATCACGCTGCTGCTCAACAATATCGGTAGCTGTTGTGTCGAGGTTTGCAATTGTGTTGGTCAAATCAATACCTGCGGTATTTTCAGATTAGTCTAGTCCACCAAATCAAACGTAGTTTGTTGATCTGGCAACTTACATCTCCAGGCTGCGATGGCGCGTTGAAACTTGTTGGTCTCTTCAGTCAATTTGCTGGATGGTGCATCAGGTTGGTCTTGGGAGACCAAGCCCTCTGTAATGGCAAAAGAATCCATTGTCCCCAGTCTGCACACCCCACATCAAATAGCCAAGGGGAAAGTTGGAGATCTGTTATCGCGAACAGGACACGCGGCGCACGGGCCGATGTTGTTCCGAAATATACACTATGCTATGGTCACTCGTGGTGAAGATCCGAGGGTTGGATGAGAGCTGGATTTTAAAAAAAGAGTGTGAGAATGTGTGCAGTATGTTTACTTCAGACCCTTTAAGATGACAGCCGTTGTCCCGAGGCATCCGTGGACACTTGGGTGGGCGATAACGGCCAGATCGGACATTAGATAGGTAGTGGTCACCGCCCTACATCTATGGATCCATGAACTCGTCGTAAATTGCTATCAAGCGGAAAACAGGGTAGAACTACGCTTAATATGACTAGGATTGAATTAAGTAGGCATATGGAAGTTTTGACAGCTTTCAAAATTCAATCTCAATGCTGCTTGGATAGTACACAGCCAATAGTACCTTGGCCGTTATATTCTGCCAGTACTGAGCCCCTTGAGCTTTGGCCCCAATGTGACCGCCTAAGCTGTTCACTCTCCAATCGCGCGGGGAGAGATGTTAACTACAGCCTCATGATGGCTTCGGACCTTGGAATTGGTCCCCGCAAGAGGCGGAGGACCAGTCCTCCAGGGACTGCGCCTTATGTGCTACGATCCCTCTTCGAGGATGTCCCGTTGGCAACCGAGCATAGCTCCGATGTCTACATCACTTGCGTTGAATATTGGAGTAAGCACTACCCATCTAGAACCGTGCAGGCTGAACTGTGAATGAATGTCCGCTGACACCAATGCAGATGAAAACCTATATATCGGTACCTCTGCAGCTGAGATCCTACACTTTGTATGCCTTCCGCCAGCTTCCCCGGACGAGTCAAGCGAACCCACCTTCATACTGGCGTCCCGATTGCCTATCATATTCGCCCAAAGCCCCCCAGCGGGAAGTGATCAACAAGGCGTTCGGCAGATAGTTATCTTATCCTCAGTGGGCAAAGCATGTGTTCTCTGCAATGGCACCGTTACTTTCTATATGCTGCCGGAGCTCAGCCCGGCCTTTGGAACAACAAAGGTTAATCAGTGTCGCTGGATCGGTGGTCTAGATCTCAATCGGGATTCAGAGGAACATGAAGATCCTACAGTGATGATCGCCGTCCAGAACAGGATGATGTTGGTCCAAATCGGAGACGAGGCACGTCGGATCAAGAAGATCGAGTTCCCCGGTTGCTTGGTTGCGGCACGACGAGGAACCATTGCATGTGCTGCTGACGCACATTCGTATTCATTGCTTGAGGTGGCGCACCAGCAGAAGATACCTCTCTTCCCTATCTCCTCCTCAAGTGAGGTCTTCGAGTCGGGACATGTCGAAGATATGAACCCAGCGCCGCCAACCCCGCTTAAGCGCTCACCCTCTTCTTCATATCCTAACTCGCCGCCTGTTGATCCCCGTGGGCATGGTCGAAGTAGCAGTACAAATACGTTTGTGGGGATGCTCTCACCACATGCACAAGGCTCTCAGATAGACAGATCACCGTCAGGGACACCGGACCCTTTCACATCCAGTGGCACCCTTCGAAGATCGAGCTCGGAAGAGCGTGAAGGGGGAGTTCCCCCAAGCCTGAAGACCAAGAATCAGAGAACCACTCTCCAAGCCACGATATCTCCAAGCCATTACCACCTGTGCCGCCACCATCAAAGCAAAGCTCGAAGCGTCTGCAGCCTCATGTAGTGTCTCCGACACCCTCAGAGTTCTTACTAGTCACAGGAACTGAAGCAACAGAGCCGGGTGTTGGAATGTTCGTGGACATGGACGGCGAAGTGGTCCGGGGCACGATCAACTTTCACCGATTCCCCAAGTCAGTTGTAATTGATACCGGTGAAAGCGATCAAATCTTCCAACCAAGTGAAGATGCCAAAGAAGAGTTCATCCTTGCTGTCATCGAAGACGATGAAGAAGGACAATCACGTACTCGACTTGAAATCCAACGTTGGGATGATGACCCAGGCGAGATTGAGCGGAATAGGAGATGGATAGATCTCCCGCCTCCTGGAGAAGACAAAACTCCCGAAGTTGGCCTCAAGCACACGCTGAGCCCCAGCCATCTCGAGCTCAATGAGATTGGTAAGCTGTTACAAATGGTCCGCCTCAAAACTCCTCTTTTATCACCTCATGTTCCGGTCGCAGACCCAAGAACACACGCATCCATTGAGCAGCTCCAAAAGGAAAAGGAACTGTTTGATCCACAAGATTTGACTGATTCCGAGGGACCCAAGAAAGGCGAGGGCTCACCAGAGCAAACCTGGGAAAAAGAAAGAAACGCCGAAGAAGCAAAGTTCGCATATGGTCTGGGCAAGGCCCAAAGCAGCCTCATTTTGTGGTCTGGCTCACAGATATGGCGTCTTCTACAGAATCCTTTGGTAGTCCAACTTGAGGATACTCTGCAAAAGGCCCAAGAGACAAATGAAAGCGACCAAACAGTGCTGCAGAGAGATGTTGTTTTGGACTTACTACTCTCAATTCAGGACACGGAGCCAAAGACTGAAGCTGAGTTCATTGGGCTCAGCTACGTGAAGCAAAAGGCGTGTCTTTTGCTCTACGGAGACCTTCTATCTATGCAGCCAAACGACCGTAGTGAGTCAGCAATCAAGCAGACCGAACAAGCACTGGTGGCAGGTAACCTCGACCCTCGTCTGGCCTTGCTGCTTATTCCCCTGCTTCGATGCGAGGTGCTACAAGGCCCGCAGGGCATATGGATACATGCCGGACTGACTTCAATGGCGGTGAAGTACACTCAGCAAGTCGGAAAGACAGGTGTCGAAACATCTGGGCTAGATGCTTCCCGCAGTCCAGTTCTGAACATGGTAAAGCGCTTCCTTCTGTCTTGGCAGCAAAAGCGAGGATACGGCAGTATTACCGATGAATCATATGTATTGGATAGCACGGATGCTGCGCTACTGCATTTGACCCTGGAACAAGATGCCTACCTGACACCCGATCAGCGGGCAGCGTCACCACTTCGCTCTGAGTTGAACAAGTTGGTTGACAACTGGAAGGGCAACTTTGATCGAGCAGTGATGCTACTCGAGACATATAAGCGGCTATATGTGCTGAGCCGTTTGTATCAGAGCCAAAAGATGTCTCGGAATGTGCTCAAGACCTGGCGGAGGATTGTGGACGGGGAGACAGACGCCGGTGGAGAGGTTTCCGCATCTGGCGTGGAAACGCAGATGCGTAGGTACTTGGTGAAAATCAAGGATGCACAACTGGTCGAGGAATATGGCGCTTGGCTAGCTGGGCGAGATCCTGCCCTAGGTATCCAAGTATTCGCGGACAATGCCAGCCGGGTCAGACTGGAGCCAGCAGATGTTGTTTCTTTACTCAAAGAACGGGCTCCCAATGCTGTCCAGGCCTACCTTGAGCACCTGGTGTTTGCCAAAAATGTGAGATTCCCTCGCTGTTCTTATAAACACAACTAACCTGACCTAGTACACACAATATGCCGACGACTTGATCTCATACTACCTGGACACAGTGATTGCCGTACTCGAGTCATCGCCAGAAGCACGCGAATCTTTAGCCGATTCTTACTCAACCTACCGGGCCCTTCGTGCCCCGAAACCAACGTACCTAAACTTCATCACTGAAAACACACCCGCAGAACCGTGGTGGCAGTCCCGCCTCCGCCTCCTCCAACTCTTAGGCGGAATATCCAGCTCCCAATTCTCATCAAAACCACTGCCCATAGGAATAAGCTACTCAATCCCAGCGGTGCTTACCCGCATCGAACCATTTCAAAACGAGCTCGTCTCAGAATGCATTATCCTAGACGGCCTTCAAGGCCACCACCGCGCCGCCCTCCGTCTTCTGACCCACGGTCTAGGCGACTACGACTCCGCAATCCGCTACTGCCTCTTCGGCGGCCCGCGCAGCTCCTCCTCTTCAACTGGAACACCGCCAGACCTAGCAGAACACACTCTGCAATCCTCCCTCTTCCGCCATCTCCTAGACGAATTCCTCCAAATCAAAGATCTATCAGACCGCATCGAGCGCACAAGTGATCTCCTCGCTCGCTTCGCGGCTTGGTTTGATGTTCGTGAAGTCCTCGAGCTCGTTCCGGAAGATTGGAGCGTCGACATTCTCGGCGGCTTCTTCGTGCACGTCTTCCGAGCCCTCGTTTCGCAGTCGAGAGAGTCGCGCATCGAGCGTGCCCTCAGTGCTGGTCTGAACCTGCGTATTGGCGCTGAGTACATCGATGGCATGGAGAAGGCTGGGCCTTGGGTTGAAGAGAACGAGGGGGTGAGACGGTTGAAGGATGCTCAGCAGAATGAGGCTTTGCAGACTGACAGTGCTGATGATGCTGACCATGACTCTGATGATTTCGGGGAGACAGTGGGGCCTGAAGAAGTGGGACAGTAATTACTTTAGATCTTAGTGCTGATCTATATGCCCGAGAGAGCGAGCGGGCCTTTGTATAGTTTGCTTTGGGTGCGTTTCAATCTATGATACCTATGCCGCTTGCTTGGAAGTGCGTGTTGATTTTGATTACGATTTTCCTCTTTTTTCTTTTCTTTTCCTATATTTGTATCCTTGCTTGGGGTTGTGGATTTCATCCCATGCCAACAATATTACCATACACATGAACATACACATTCCAAGGCAAAAATAAAAGAAAAGGGGTGGATAAAAAGTAAAAAAAAGACCCATAAATTGTGTTCGTTCCCTTCGTAGCTACTGATGAGCGTCAAGATCCGGCCGCACGCCGAAAGTCAGGGTTGGCATTGACATTAGGGAGACTCCAGTTTTGAGCCCCGGACTTGTTCCAGACAGAGTGAGTAACAGATGGAGCCTGTTTATTCCTCTGCTTGCAAGAAGGGGTTGGGGATCTCCTCACTACCATCGGCAGGTGAGATCAGTACGATCAGTGTGCCTCTGGCGACGATCAGGCCTAGTGAGCGCGTGGTTTTGTTGCCTTCGTCGTCTGGTGGGAGTTAGCATATCTGTTTTAGAGGTAGAGATTTGCATTTCAGGTGGTGAAACTTACCACGCATAGTCTCCTTCACGTCATCGAGGACCAGGTTCATCAATTGGTCGTAGCCCTTGAGGGTACCGGAGACTGACAGTGACGTTAGATATAGATCAAGTATGAGAGTGATAGAACAAGAAAAGAAGATAAAAGAAAAGTATAAAGACAAGAAACAAGTAGAGAAAAGACTGAAACATACCCTCACGACCTCCATTGAACTTGACCTGAACCTCCTTGTCCATGTACTTGTTGAGGTCCAAGATGTTTTCCTTCTTGGGCTTCTCCTGTGCGCCACCACCGCCACTTTTCTGCTGGGCCTGGCCGCCACGACCACGACCACGACCCCCGCGGAATGAGCCTCGCTCGGACATGGCTAGAAAAGGAAGAGAAAAGAAGGACAGAAAAAACCAATCAGATTACGCGAGACAAAAAGGAGTCGTCCCGATTGTATGGCTGAGAGGTGAGGTGTGTAGGTCAGGTGGGTTGCGTGTATGAGGGATTTTACCAGGGAAGGGCGACGTTGCCCGCCTTACGGAGATTACCGTGTATTGACTGTTTCACCCGCGTGAGGGATCCCGCCCGGAGGTATTTTACACTTCCGTTACAACATAAAGGACGACACATTCCACCATCCTCTCTTTCTCACTGGTTCAAGTATCAATACCTGGAGATGATCAGTTACATTGCCATTGTTCAGGTCACACAGATATATTTGGCCCGTCATAATTCTCTCCGAGGTTCCGAACCGCGCGTAATGTTTCAGTGACTGTGAGGGACCAGGCATCAGCGAAACCACTGATGGGGACACCTCCACAAGGCTCAAGGCTTGATTTTGAAGATCGGCGCATGTGAACGGACCTATTGAATATGGAGTAAGATATTAATTGGGTAGAAAGTGATTACTTTGAGCTGTACATCGAGTAGTGGCCAAGCAAGGCTGAGGGCAGGTAAAGTTATAGCGTATTGCATCTCAGCGGAACCCTCCGGCGGGACTCCGCTGGGACTGTACCAGGTACCTATGGGCCTATTGTACGATTCTGTCCAGCTGTGAATGCAACAGGAAGTGCCGATTTCCCACAATTTGTCTAGTCCACCAGATTTGAACAAAATCGAGCAAATTCATATCAGTTCCGGGGGCCAAAGCATTGGGGCAGCCCAAGATCACGTTTTTCCTCTCCACTCCCGTGCGCTGTTCCGTCGAGATAGCCGTTTCCTCACTTCTTTCTTTCCTCCTTTCTCTTTCCTTGAACCCTCCATGAATGTAGTCTCGGATCCAACTTGACTCCGCGGTTTTCTTCCGCGCGCTCAATACTATCCGCGGTCTCATATCCACTCCGCTGTCGCTTTCCTCCCTACTTCCCCCATTCCCCCCATTCCTTCCACCCCCGAGATAAACCCTCCACTTTCAGGTTTCCACACCCACTCCCAATCCGCTGATGGATTCTCACGCCCTGGAGCCGTCTAACAAACGGCCTCGGTCTCCAACTACCGATCATGCCGTTTCGTCCAAAATCCAAAAAACCCTCTCGAGCCACCTGCAGATCAACTACCTCGCGCGCCAATACCCTGATAATCTCCCGCTGGTGTCTGTTGACGATACCATGCCCGCAATCATCCACCTGCTCAGTGAATATGATGGCGTGCTTCATCGCCATGAAAGTATCGCCGGCAATCTTGGCGCATGTCCGCTGGGCCCGATCTTGATCAAGCGATTCGAGCGTCTTTTCGACGGCCCGCCGCAGGTCTTGAAGTCGCATGGCAAGGATGGTCCCACCGTTACTTGGCTGGATGTGGTTGAGTTTGCGAAGAACAAGCCAGAGCAATTCAATCTGGAGAAGTCGCGCAATGGTGTACGAGTGTGTCAATTCTACACCAAGCAGTGTCGCGTGGAGATCAGCGAAGAGGATTTTGTCTTGATTGCTTCTGGCATGCCTCAGAAAATGATTCCGCCCCAGCCTATCATCGAGGATGAGGAGAAGGAGTTGGGTGCGCTGGAGATTCTTGAGAAGAACTTGCAGCATATCACTCAGATGGCTGATCAGGGTAGGTGTTTTTTTGCCATGAGTCAAGATGGATACTGACAATTTCCGTCTAGTGTCTGCTCGAGCTAGACAGCTTAACCATCGCCTGAAGAATCGCCGTACCGCGATTGTCACCCGCCGAGAGAACGATGCCACTCTACATGCGTCAACCCAACCTAGCGCTGACATCTGGCGTGATCCCAACGGCTATGCTCCAGTCAATGGTGGCACCTCCTCTCATGCCTCCCCAGCTGGTTTTCTCGCCGTCAATGCCCACCGTCCTGAAGGCGAGCACGAAGAGAACCCCCTCTCTCGTCGCAGTTCATGTTCTCCCATTCCAATACGGACAATGTAACTATGATCAATGGGACGTCGATCAAAGGCGCCTCTCCCACTACACGCGCAGACCTGATGAAGAAGTTCTTCACAACAGCAGATCGTCAAGCCCGCGGTTACGACGACACCGGCGCACCCCCAGCGAACCCCCAACCCCGTCCTCGCATTTCCGACCCGGCCGACTTCAGTCCCTATACCGGTGCCACCGCAACCCCAGTCGCAATCCCCAGTACGCCCTCCTCTCTCCTTCCCCCACCAAAAGCAACTCAACCAGAAAAAGATGACGGTGGCCCCTTCAAGCTCGAAATGATCGCTCGCATGGAAGAGCTCCAACGCGGCGAGCGCATCATCCCACCCTGCGACCGCTGCCGCCGCCTTCACATGGACTGCCTCAAGAATTTAACCGCTTGCGTAGGCTGCACCAAGAAACACGCCAAGTGTTCCTGGCGCGACGTCAAAGAAGACGAAGTCGCCACCATGCGCGCATCAGCCGTGACCGCCTCGGTCTCCCACGATCGCATGGACACAGACCGTTCCAGTGCAAACCTCACACCGACTCAATTCGGGTTCGGTCTCGGCCCTCTACCTCCCATTTCGGCGGAACGTGAACGCATCCGCGAACATCCCTTCGACTCCGTCGCTGACGCTAATAAGTCTTACTACGGTCGTCGCGAGTCCGCGCCTTCCGCGCCAAACCCCGTTCCTGCTTCCACAGTTCCCATGGAATTACCCTCCACGGACAACTCGCCTCGTCGTGCGGCCAGCGAGACAGAAGGTCGAGGGTGGGATCAGCATGATCGTCGCGTTCCGTCGGCTGCTCGTGTCCATCGGGCCGAGGATGAAGATCCCGATGCCAATCAGCGTTTGATGCAGGCAATTCTTGATACTGTCGATCATCACACTCGTGTTGCTGCTGCTGTTCAGGAGAAGGAGCGTGGTGCTGAGCGTGCCGAGAGTCAGACTCAGAGCTCGAATCAGATTGCGAACGCCCATGCCATCGTCACCCCGGGTGTTGGTGGTCCTGCACCGGTTTCTGCTCCCCTCGCTGCTCCTCTTGCTGCTCCCGGCGCTGGCGCTGGCGTTGGCCCCGGCCCTGTTCCTAACCCCAGCCCTGTCTATTCTCATTCCCATTCTCAACCACGAGTGGAAGCGGATCACGACCATGATCGTGACCGCGACCGCGACCGCGACCGTCGAATGGTTCAGGCATAAATTGTGTCTGCCTGACTCGAAGTTTATTGTGCATATTTAACCTTCTTTGTTTCATATAGTTGTGTTTGGCGCACTTGGTGGGCAGCGGTGTTTGTGTACTGTGTCATATATCCCTCTCATTAGCGTTAACTGATTTCTTTGACCATGCATACCCTAAGCATTAACAGCTACCCCTAAACCCTATCGATACCCTAAGCCTAAGCATTACCCCCGAACCCTAACCTCCCCCGCATGTTGCTTAGTGAGAGCTGACCAACTGTGCCAAGGTGGACTCGCCGGATATAAGCTCAGCCATATCCGAACTTTCTTCTCTCGGCGATGCAAACGGCTGACTTCTGATTACGTGTAGAGAGTTAATTCCAGCATCGCGACTAGCCATCCACTAGCATCCCAACTACGATATCCCCCTGCGATGGCTGAACCTATTCGACTTCCGCCGCTCCATGAATTTGGTGGGGAATGCGAGTGGGGTGCGGGGTGATTGTTTTTCGTTGCTTTCTGATTGCTCGGAACTCAGCTTTTTGCGCATAAATCCGAACTAGAGTCCAAGTCATGATATAACTACTCATGCTCTCCTTTGCTTTTCTCTTCTCTTTGTATTCTCTCTCACTTTCCATTAACCTCCCCAATTGACCCTAACGCCACCATGGATCCCTCCCAGGTCAAAATCCCTCCGATGAAGAACCTCACGGTGGACAACATCACCGAGAATGTCATTAAAATCAACAGTCTCTGCGAAGACCCCCGCATGAAATACATCCTCGAGAGACTAGTCACCCACCTGCACGATTTCGCGCGCGAAACCCGCCTCAGCAGCGACGAATGGATGACAGGCCTCCGCTTCCTAACAGAAGTTGGCCAAATCACCACCGACGTCCGACAAGAATTCATCCTCCTGTCCGACGTGCTCGGTCTCTCAATCCTAGTCGACTCAATCGACCACCCCAAACCCCCCGGCTCAACCGAAGGAACCGTCCTGGGCCCCTTCCACACCCACGATGCCGAAGAGATGGCCCCCGGCCAGAGCATGTCCCACGACCCCAACGGCGAGCAATTACTCTGCGTGTGCACCATCAAGGATATGGCCGGGAACCCGGTCGAGGATGTCAAGATCGATATCTGGGAGACGGATTCGTCGGGCCACTATGATGTTCAGTATGCTGGCCGTGAGGGCCCCGATGGCCGGTGCATTATGCGCTCCGATGCCGACGGTGTCTTCTGGTATAAGGCGATTACACCCGTGCCGTATCCCATTCCGCACGATGGGCCGGTGGGCAAGTTGTTGACGAAGTTGCATCGCCATCCGTACCGGCCTTCGCATATGCATTTCATGTTTGAGAAGGAGGGTTATGATCATTTGATTACGTGAGTGTTCTCTGTGTTCTGTGCTTGATTTGATCTTGCTGGGTTGTGGTTTAAGAACGGCTGCTAATGACCTGGACAGTGCTCTCTATCTCCGCAATGATCCGTATGAGACTTCCGATGCTGTCTTTGGTGTGAAGGATTCTCTGTTGGTTGATACCGGAAAGGTTGGACCCGAGCTGTCCAAGAAGTACGGCGTTCCGGAGGGCCAGGCTTTGCTCACGTATGACTTCGTGCTGGTCACCGACGAGGAGACTAGTCAGCTGCGGGCTCATAATTCCAAGGTTGCGCTGGACCAGTTGGGTCGGAAGGTGAAGATCATCAATGGTTTGCCGGTGCCGGATTTAGATTAGAAAGACTTGCATATGTTTCTTGTATGAATTCCCAATGGTTATTTCTTCCAACGCTCGATTTGGATGTTGTGCATTTAACTAGAGATTTTGGATCCGTTGGGCTAGATTGCTGCAATATCGAGGCCATTTGTGTAGGTCTCAATGACAACCTCACGATCTAAGTTATATCTACTTGGGATATTGGTATGAACCAAGTGTGAGTATCTGGATGCGCGCATATTTGAACCTCGACGGTGATAGTGGCGCGGTGATGACGAGGATTGGATCAGTTGATGTTCTGGGTCGTGGGTTAAGCTCAACTACAAGGTCGATAATCTCCCAGAAGCTGTGACTATTTGAATTTCTTCATTCTTATGTGGTTGTTATCTCATTACATCAATGGCAACTTGGTTGCAAAATGAAACATGTAACAAGATCTGGGTCCTAGACAGCAATCCACCGCTTCTGCAAAACAGGGGTGGTATGACAAAGGTCTGGAGCAAAAAAACAAGCAAATCGCAATCGTAGTGTGGCGTGTCCGAAGACCGCCAAAGGTATGGAGTTCCCTAATGCATCCGTCTGCCTGACTTCATGAGAGCCTGGAAGGAGGACTCAAGACTCTTCTTGAGCTCCTTGTAGGTGACAATGAACATGTTCTGCTCGTCACGGCTGATCAAATTGATCCTCTCATCAGTTCCGGCATCAAGCTTGTTCAGAGACATCAAGACATGTCCCAGGTCAACCACAGCGTCGCCATTGGCGTCCACCTGATGGAAAACATAGTCGCGGAACATCTTCAGGAAGTAACGTTCTCCAGTCTCAGACCACTGTCGGTCCAGTTCGTATTCAGGGCGTTCGTTGACAAAGTTGAGCTTGGCCATCAAACGCACAAGTCGTCCATTTTCCAGCTCGCGGCTGAGGTCAAAGGTGAGTTGATCATCCATGTGTAGAGCGGAGTCAAAAGTCGACATCAGCTGAGATGCGATTCCGGTAATAAAAGTATCGATCGTTCGGTCCTGATCTTTCTGCAATCCATTCAACAGCCAGAAGACAGAGTTCTTCATCTGGGGGGTGTAAGCGCGGGTGAAATGATCCAGGGACTTGGTAGGGTTGTGCATGAGAGCAGGAGTGTTGGCACCCAGGGTGACAATCAGTTGTCCGAAGTTGACGAGATCCTGACGCTGCAGGTCTTCCACGGTGCGCTGAGTGTCGAACTGCACCACATCCAGGAGTGCAGAACCATTCAGACGAAGGCGGTTCTTGCTGGTGAGCAAGACCTTGCCTGGCTCAAGAACTCTGGCAGCAAGACCCTGCGAGTGAATAGCCTTGAGTGCATTCGCGATTTGAGTCATGTAGCCCCAGAGCACCTGCTCTGGGACAGGAACGGTTTGGCCGCGGTTTGGGAAGCGGTTTCCAGCGCCCAGGTGCTGCTCTGCAAGAGTCTTGGAGAGGGGGTGATAATCGGTGACAAGAATCAAAGAGCTGTCTTGGAAGCTTCGGCTGGTGAAAGCATCATGGACAGTCACCACACTTCCACTGCAAACACGCTTCCAGGCCTGAACCGACCGGATAGCCTTCTCATTGGTCAAGCGGAAGCCTTATTGGTTAGTTAAGATCAAATCTAATATTGTGAGATTCTCTTACCTTCAAGACGACGAAGGGCATAGAAGTCACCGTCTTTGCTAGACTGTGCCTTGTAGATCCAGGTGGGATAGCCAAAGGTAGCAGCATTCTTCTGGTGAGTAGTGTCCAGCGGGACAAGAGAGTGGAAGTAGTCAACCTGAGCAGGAAGGTTGGTGTCTAAACCGTTAGTCTGATTCGGAATGTAAGAACATTTTGACATACTAGGAAGGGTCTGTAGAGCAGCAGCAGATTTCTTTTGCAAATCTTCACGAGTATCGTTTGGAAGGAACAAATCATGAACATTGCGCTGATATCCGAGAGTGTTCTGGTTATGAGGACCGATGGGGGCATAAAGATGGTACTGGACCTGCAGCAGCATAAGCATCTGAAATCTACAGAAGGGTCATACAGGCTTACCGGCTGCTGAAAACCGGCTTGGCTTGCAAAGAATGCGCCTCCCATGGTAGTAGGGTCATGGGCATAAGGATTGGCCGAGACGGGGCCGACTGCACCGGGGGTCATAGGGGATGGAGCAGCCACGAAGGGATCAAAGGCACTGGGAGACGTAATAGTGCCATTGCCATTGCCTGGAAGAGAGGTCTGTATGTGGTAATTAGCAGAAGAATTTAAGCTCAGAAAGTGGAAGTTCGGATTGAGGCTTGTCCGAACGTATTCAGGACGGTAATGCTCTGGGACTGGATCGAAATCCTCGACCAGAGCATTCATGTTCGACATAGACGTATTGGGGAAGCCTCCGTACATCTTGATCGACTCGCCTAAGATATGTAGAGGAAGGAAAGAGGTTGAAAATGGGAAAATGACCGAGAACGCGAGGAAATCAACAAGGACCAAGAACCAAATTCCAAAAGGGAAAGACGAGGCAACAGCGACTTCGTAGTTGCGACTTCAAACTTACCACGTGCTCAAAGCCCTGGGGCACAAATTCTTGAATATCTGCAACTGCCCAGTCTCCTGCTTCTGCCCGCACTCCAGGCGTACTTGTATTCGATCCTTTTTTATGTCAGTCCATATCTCTGATGTCTCTGATATCTATCCTTTGACCACATACGTGAGGCACCTCGCGGCTGAAAGGGAGCTGCACTTGCAGCTTTGGGAGATATGGCAGTCGACTTCTTGGGGCCGGTTACACCATTCCCAGAGAGTAAAGATGGTGTGAAGCTGGGTGAGTCTACGTTAAAGCGTTTCTTGCTGTTAAAAACACCGCGTCATGTCAGCTTCATCCACGAAATGACCGATATTGCATCGCCATATTCACCTGTCCGATTGGTTGGCGTTTAGCTTTGTTGGGTCATGGTTGAAAGCGCAGCCTTGGAGCAATCCAGATCAGCTTCAACATCCACGATACCCGTGGCGCGTAACCGGGAGTGATCTTACCTTTGTCTTCATAACGGCATCGACCGTAAATGGTCACGTTGCGACATAGAGTCTCTTTCGCATTCTCTGGAACGCTATCTGTCAGCGCCATCACAAAGCCGGTATGTCCCTCCGGACGGCTCAGAACACCTCGCTTGAAGGAATCTCACGAAGAACTGAGCGGACCTTTGGTGGCTTTGTTCTCACCTCGGCTCTTCATTTTCGGCGAACCAGTCGTTCGACGTGCGTCCTCCAAAGGAGGCTTTCCGGCGGATGCCATGGTGTATGACGGATGTCCACGAGACAGTGCGGATCAGCGCAAGAAGATCCCCATTGAAACCGGACTCGATGTGGAGCAAAGGATATTATCGAGAGGAAACCGCATTCCCCGTCGATCTGATATCGAGCGCGTTTGGCGATTGACGGCGGGTCAATTCCGGGATCACCCACGGAGGTCGGGAACTCAACTGAGAACTATCGGCATGAATCGATAAAGATAAGTCAAAAGCTCTCTCTCATCCCAGAGAATGATTGAGAGCGACGGTTTGGATGGAGATAGAGACGCGGGGCGAGGGACGAACTCGAGTGAAGGGGGATGCGCACAGACCAGGCGGTCAGGACGTCAATGAGCTTCAGGCCAGCTTCGTCATTGCGACTCTTCTAGTTTCCCCTCCAGCTCTTTTTTCTTCATGGATGTATGATCTTCTTTGCGTTTGCATGGAAATCCCTTTGTCGCCATGTCCTCGGACCTCGATCTGGACCAGCTCTCTGAGAGCGAGAGAACTGCGCTAGAGATGTACATGGCCGTGACAAGTCAAGAACCCTCAGAAGCAATCCCTCTACTGCGTCGGTCACAATGGAACGTTCAAGTAAGTTTTCACACATTGCTATGAGATATTGACCTCTTGACTGACTCTAAACTAGATCGCTATATCCAAGTTCTTCGATGGCGAAGGCCCCGATCCGCTTGAAGAGGCGCGTTCAGCTCTTCAGACGCCGCCGCCGCAGCCGAACCGCCGAACCCAGAATCTCATGACAGAAGATTTGACGGAACAGCTGTCTCGATTCTCACAAACACGTGCTACAGACCCCGCCCCACGAGTTGACACGCAATCTGGGGATCAACCCGTTTACCGCCCGCCATTCATCCTCGCCCTACTCTTCACTCCGTTCAATTTAGTCTACCGACTCCTGTGCAGCTCGTTCCGCCTCTTCGGCACGTTATTCCCATTCCTGCCACGCTTATTCAATGCCACTGCGAACCCCGCACTGCAAGGTGCCCGCCGTAATACCACTGGCCGCCGGACTCTGGCCCCCAAAGATACAGCCGCTCGATTCATTCGCGAATTCGAAGAGGAGTATGACTCCCACCCGATCCCGTTTCTCGAGAACGGATACAATATGGCGCTGGAGAAGGCCCACCGCGACTTGAAGTTCCTCCTGGTCGTTCTTCTGGCCCCAGAGCACGATGATACGAATAGCTGGGTCCGTGATACTCTGCTGGCACCAGAAGTGTTGGAGTTCATCAATGACCCTCAGAACAACATGTTAGTATGGGGAGGTAACGTCCAGGACTCCGAGGCCTACCAGGTAGCCAACTCGTTGCGCGTGACGAAATTCCCGTTCGCAGCCGTTGTCGTCCACACCCCGAATGTCTCATCCACCGCTATGTCAGTTGTGGGCAGAATCGCAGGAATCACTTCGTCCTCCGAGGTCGTGAACAAGCTCCGGGCTGTCGCTACCTCCCACCAAGAACCAATTGAACGGCTGCGCTCCTCTCGCGCTGAACAGCAAGCGTCGCGCAGCCTTCGGGAAGAACAAGACTCGGCCTATGAGCGGTCGCTGGCGATCGACCGAGAGCGAGCGCGTCAGCGACGGGAGGCCGAGGCAGCGCGTCACCGTGAAGAACAGGAAGCCGCCGGCCGCCAGGCGGCAGAGGAGCGGCGGCGCCGTGACCTCGCTCAGTGGAAGGTTTGGCGCGCACAGTCCCTTCGCGCCGAGCCTGGACCCGATGTCAAGGATGCGGTGCGGATCAGTGTGCGGCTCCCTTCCGGTGAACGGATCATGCGCAAGTTCGCCCCGGATGCGGACATGGACGAGCTCTATGCGGTCGTGGAGTGCTACGAGGTTTTACAGGATGCAGACCAACCCCAGGCAACCGAGCCGGTGGGGTTCGAGCATCATTACGCATTCCAATTGGTTTCCCCGATGCCCCGGACAGTGTACCCCGTGGAGGAAGGCGGTTCCATCGGAGAGAAGATCGGCCGTGGTGGGAATCTGCTGGTGGAGCCTATTGAGGAGGATGAAGACGAGGATGGGGCATCTGATATGTCCTAGTGACTCTACTGTACCTGTGTACATGCTATGTAACTTAACTCTGACTGTCCACATGTACGGCGTATGCAACCCACACCGCTTCAGGGTCTGTTCTGTTTAGATTATTCTCCCGAATATTCCCGTCTGACATCAGAGTCCGAATTCACAATATGTGCATGGGTGTTCGCAATATCCGGGGATCCGTATGATGACCGTGTGGCCTGAAAAGTCAGGCCAGAAAGGCCGTACCATGCTTGAAACCGAACCCGAACCCGAGACCCTCGCCTCCCCACCAGCCACCGTCCAGTAGCAAGGCGACCGTACAGTAAGTTAAGTAGTGGACCCTGGAAGAGAAAGGAACCGATAAGGTTATGCAGTGGATAAGCTCCCCCATGGACCAAATCTGGTCCGTTTCTTCCCCTGAACAGACTCAGCATAGCTGAGTCAGCTGAGTCAGCTCGGATCCAGGGAGTGGCCACATCCGACGCGTCTCAAAAACGCCACACGGAGATTTGGTTCGGAGGGCGCTCGTCCCGGAGGTTTTGCCCCTGGTATACTTGCATATTCCATGCTTCCCACCGTGCATCGAGCTCGAGGGGGAAAAAAAGTAATGAGAACAAAAGTGTAGAAACATACACTAGAACAATCCACGAGATGAACAACCAGAAAACAATGAGCCACTGTTGCGTCAAGGAATCAACAAAGAAACCTGTTCGTGCGAGTCGATCACCCACTAGAAGCCCTCTGATATGTTCGGTAAGATCGAAGCTCCGCCCCGGGCAGATTTGGATAGACGGCCCCCATTTTTCTATCCCGGATGCGAGGCATGCATCTTTCCCGCTCCCGATCGGTTTGTGTGCTGTTCAGATCTTGCATCCTTTTCCACTCTCTTTAAAACTCCCGATGGTCGCCTAACCATTTCCCTCGTTCGTTGACCATATTTTTAATATTCTAATTCCCGGATCACCCCCTTCGTTCTATGGTGATCCTTTAATCCCTGATATCCCTTTTTTTGAGTCCCCACATAATTGAACCCCTGGCAACAAACAGGTGGTCAAGCCACAATGGATATGTCGATGCTAGGGACAGGAGCTTTCAGCTCCAATGCCACCAGCTCTGAGATGGACGAAACGCACATTGCGACGACAGAGGCCCGCAGACACGACCCGCGGGCTAGTGTGACGCCGAGTGTCTTCAGTGAGGAGACCATTGTTCCGGAAAATGCCAGTTACCACGAGTCGGTGCAGGCCGGGAAGAGCGACAAGTCCGAGAAACCAGGCAAGGCCGGCAACAGCAAGCGCAGTGTCGAGGATGACAATGAGGCCCAGATGGAAGCTCAGGTAACCTACCTGGCTCGTGAACTGACTCGTCAATCGACGCGCTTCTCCGTCGCGGGCAACACCGCCGAGAACACATTCCTCGAGACGCAAGAGGACTCGACCCTCAACCCCCATAGCGAGAACTTCAAGGCCAAGAATTGGATGAAGAACTTCCTCGCAATTCAGTCCCGTGATGAAGAACGATACCCCAAGCGCCAGGCAGGTCTTGGGTTCAAGAACCTCAGTGTACACGGCTTTGGCAGTCCCACGGATTACCAAAAGGATGTTGCCAACTCCGTGCTGCAGATTGGGGCTTTGGTCCGAAGCATCGCCGGCACCGGCAAACAAAAGATTCAGATTCTACGCAGCTTCGATGGTCTGGTCAAGAGCGGCGAGATGCTCGTCGTTCTGGGACGTCCTGGATCTGGCTGTTCGACCTTCTTGAAGACCATCGCTGGCGAGATGAACGGTATTCACAAGGACGAGAACTCGTACATGAACTACCAGGGTATCTCCGACAAGCAGATGCAGAGCCAATTCCGTGGTGAGGCGATTTACACAGCCGAGACCGATGTGCATTTCCCCCAGCTCTCAGTGGGAGATACTCTCAAGTTCGCTGCGCTCTCGCGCGCACCGCGCAACCGTCTGCCCGGCGTCAGCCGTGAGCAATATGCAACGCACATGCGTGATGTTGTCATGGCCATGCTGGGCTTGTCACACACCATCAACACTCAGGTTGGTAACGATTTCATCCGTGGTGTCTCCGGTGGTGAGCGCAAGCGTGTCAGTATCGCGGAGGCCACCCTCTGTGGTAGCCCTCTTCAGTGCTGGGATAACAGTACCCGTGGTCTCGACAGTGCCAATGCTTTGGAGTTCTGTAAGACACTAAACCTAATGGCCAAGTACTCTGGTACCACCTGTGCCGTTGCCATCTACCAGGCTTCTCAGAGTGCCTATGATGTCTTCGACAAGGTAACTGTTCTGTACGAAGGTCGCCAGATCTACTTCGGTCGCACCAACGAGGCCAGAGACTTCTTTACCAACATGGGCTTCGAGTGCCCCGACCGCCAAACGACCGCCGATTTCCTGACCTCGCTTACCAGCCCTGCTGAGCGTGTTGTGAAGCCTGGATTCGAGAACATGGTTCCTCGTACCCCCGATGACTTCGCCGCCGCCTGGAAGAACAGTGATGCTTACCAGGCCCTCATGACCGAGATTGCCGAGTTTGATGCCGAGTTCCCTGTCGGAGGCGAGGCTCTGCAGAAGTTCACCGCATCTCGCAAGGCCATGCAGTCCAAGAACACACGGGTTAAGTCGCCTTACACTATGTCTGTCGTAGAACAGATCCAGCTTTGTGTGTCTCGTGGATTCCAGCGCCTGAAGGGTGATTTCAGTTTGACCATCTCTGCTCTTATTGGAAACTTTATCATGGCCTTGATTATCGGTTCCGTCTTCTATCAACTTCCCGACGACACATCCAGTTTCTATTCTCGTGGTGCCCTTTTGTTCTTTGCTGTCTTGCTGAATGCCTTCTCCAGTGCTCTTGAGGTAAGTGAATATCCACCCTTATATAAGCCCTACTAACCCCATCTAGATCTTGACTCTCTATGCGCAACGTCCAATTGTCGAAAAGCAGGCCCGCTACGCCATGTACCATCCTTTCGCCGAGGCTATCTCTTCTATGTTGTGTGATACGCCCTACAAGCTCCTTAATGCTATCACTTTCAACGTACCGCTCTACTTCATGACTCGCCTTCGCCAAACCCCAGGAGCCTTCTTCACCTTCCTCCTCTTCTCTACCGTCACCACCTTCACCATGTCCATGATCTTCCGTACTATCGCTTCTTACTCGCGTACGCTATCACAGGCTTTGGTGCCAGCTGCCATCTTGATTCTCGGCTTGGTGATCTACACTGGTTTCACCATCCCCACCCGTAACATGCTTGGCTGGTCTCGCTGGATGAACTACATCGATCCTATCGCTTACGGTTTCGAGTCTTTGATTGTGAACGAGTTCCACGGCCGCGAGTTCGGCTGCGCGTCATTTGTCCCTAGTTATGAAAATGCCTCGGGTATGAACAGGGCGTGCTCGACAAAGGGAGCCAAGGCTGGCTTGGACTACGTCTCCGGTACTGATTACTACGTGGACAGCTTCCAGTACGCTCACGACCACAAGTGGAGAAACTTGGGCATCATGTTTGCCTTCATGGTCTTCTTCATGGCCACCTACCTTTTCGGCACTGAGTACATCTCCGAGTCCAAGTCCAAGGGCGAGGTTCTGCTTTTCCGTCGAGGTCAAACCCCCAAGCGCACTGGTGGCGTTGATGAAGAGATTGAAATGACCGAAGTTTCCTCTGCAGAGAAGAAGGATGGCTCTGAGTCCGGTGAAGCTGCTGCTATCCAGAGACAGACCGCTATCTTCCAGTGGCAAGATGTTTGTTACGATATCAAGATCAAGAATGAGGAGCGCCGTATTCTCGATCACGTTGACGGTTGGGTCAAGCCTGGTACCTGCACTGCTCTTATGGGTGTTTCTGGGGCCGGTAAGACTACTCTCTTGGATGTTCTTGCTACTCGTGTGACTATGGGTGTTGTCACCGGTGAAATGTTGGTCGACGGTCGTCCTCGCGACCAGTCTTTCCAGCGTAAGACTGGCTACGTTCAGCAGCAGGATCTTCACCTCCACACTACTACTGTTCGCGAAGCTCTTCGTTTCAGTGCTGTCCTCCGTCAACCTGCCCACGTCAGCCGCCAAGAGAAACTCGATTACGTCGAGGAGGTCATTAAGCTTCTCGAAATGGAGCACTACGCTGATGCCATCGTCGGTGTCCCCGGTGAAGGTCTTAACGTTGAGCAGCGTAAGCGTCTCACTATTGGTGTCGAGCTCGCTGCTAAGCCTCAACTCCTTCTGTTCCTTGATGAGCCTACTTCTGGTCTTGACAGTCAAACTTCTTGGTCCATTCTCGATCTGATCGACACCCTCACCAAGCACGGTCAGGCTATTCTCTGTACCATTCACCAGCCCTCTGCCATGCTTTTCCAGCGTTTCGATCGTCTGCTCTTCCTCGCCCGTGGTGGTAGAACCGTCTACTTTGGTGAAATTGGTGAACAATCCCGCACTCTGTCTAACTACTTCGAGAAGAACGGTGCCCCGAAGCTATCTGCCGATGCCAACCCTGCTGAATGGATGCTTGAGGTCATTGGAGCAGCCCCCGGATCTCACAGTGATATTGATTGGCCTGCGGTTTGGCGCGAGAGCCCAGAGCGCGTTGAAGTCCAGAACCATCTTGCAACTCTCAAATCGGACCTCTCCCTGAAGCCCGTGGAGACCAATACCAACGACCCCTCCGGCTTCCAAGAATTCGCTGCTCCCTTCTCTCTTCAACTGTGGGAATGTCTTGCCCGTGTCTTCAGTCAGTATTGGAGAACCCCCGTCTACATCTACTCTAAGATTGCTCTTTGCGTCTTGACTTCTCTCTACATTGGCTTCTCTTTCTTCCACGCCGAGAACAGTCAACAGGGTCTTCAGAACCAGATGTTCAGTATCTTCATGCTGATGACCATCTTCGGTAACTTGGTCCAACAAATCATGCCCCACTTTGTCACCCAGCGCTCCCTCTACGAAGTGCGTGAGCGTCCCTCCAAGTCCTACTCCTGGCAAGCATTCATGACAGCCAACATCCTCGTCGAATTGCCCTGGAACACGCTCATGTCTGTCCTTATCTTCGTCTGCTGGTACTACCCAATTGGTCTCTACCGCAATGCCGAAGCTACAGACTCAGTCCACGAGCGCGGCGCTCTGATGTGGCTGCTCATCCTGACCTTCCTCCTCTTCACCTCGACCTTCTCGCACATGGTCATCGCCGGTATCGACCTGGCCGAGACAGGAGGAAACATTGCCAACCTGGTCTTCTCCCTGTGTCTGATTTTCTGTGGTGTCCTCGCAACCCCACAACAAATGCCCGGTTTCTGGATCTTCATGTACCGCGTCTCCCCCTTCACCTACCTCGTCTCAGCAATGCTGTCAACCGGTACTTCCGGCGCCGCAGTGACCTGCGAGAACGTCGAGCTGCTGCACTTCTCTCCCCCTCAGGCCAGACCTGCAAGGAGTACATGCAAGCCTACATGCAAGGCTTCGGTGGATACCTCATCGACCCCACCGCCACTGATTCCTGCTCCTACTGTGCTATCGGTGACACGGACACTTTCCTCATGAGCGTGTCCAGTTACTACAAGGATGCCTGGCGCAACTTTGGTTTCATGTGGATCTACATCATCTTTAACATCTTCGGTGCGGTGGCCATCTACTGGCTTGCTCGTGTGCCCAAGGGCTCGCGCAACAAGTCCTGAGATAATCTTCCTATCCCCTCTTGTATCTATGATCTCATGGTCTTGCCTGATGGATTTTGGTCCATTCTTTTTTCTTTCTCTACTCTCTCTCTCTATCTCTCATTTCATCTCACATTTCATTTCATTTCTATCTCTCTTTCATCTCATTTGATATTGGACAGGCTTCTTCCTGTGGGCTACTATTCCTCCCAAATACAAACTTCAAAAGCCAAAAGACTCCGCTTAGATCTCTCATGCATGACATGATTCCGTGGAATTGCCTTTTTCGATACTGATACTGATACTGATACTTTGACATTGATTCTGATCTGCGCCTGCATTGCTTTTGCCCTTGGATTTACTTTTGGCTCTCTTTGTACAGTTCCCCCCTTTCATGTTTGAATTTTTGTACAAAGTGTGCTTCTTTTTGTTTTTGTCTTGCATGCGATTGTGTCTGTTGCTTGCATTGGATCTTTGATCGGGTCTTTTATACTGAAAGTAGGATAGCCATAGATAGTCGAATTTATTAAGCCTCGTTTGACTGTTCTGATTCTTGTATCTACTTGTCCCTGCTGTACTCCATAAGGGTTTGTTTAATACGGGTAGAGGATTTATATGATATGAATGTTGAATGGTCAAGTCAATTCAAGACAAGTATAATATCTCAATGTTAAGAATAATGCCCGGAAAGGAAACAAAAGACAAGAACGACGCTTACACCATCCATAGATGATAAGAGAAATGCACGCAAATAGACAAAAAGAAAAGAAAACAGATACAAAAAAGAAATCACCAAGTAAAAGCCTCCTCGACAAAATCCACAACCGCCCCTCTCCCAATCCATCCCCGAGCCGCAGACCTAACCTCATCTGCAAAAGCGCCAGGCCCACAAACACTCACAAGCGCGGCGCCAGTCCGCCCCGGCAAAACCTCATCAAGAACCACCTCCGGTCTACACCTCCCACCATGCATGAGCACCGTGGCAGAGGGGCTAACGATATCCGCAGCCCGACGCGGCTTCGAGACGAACAGCTTGACGACGAGGATATCGCGTCGACCGGGGAGACGCAGGATCTGATCCATGAACTGCGAAACCCAGCTCAGGTGATCGGTCGAGCGGACGGACCAGACGAGGTAGATCTTCTTGGTGGCGCATGTGCCCTCTGCGGCGGCTTGGAGGAGGGATCTCGTGTACAGGAGGTGGTGAGTGATACCGGCGCCGGCACTGAAGAGGACTGCGGTGCCGTAGCTGGATGGGTTTGAGGGGTGGCTTCCGTAGGGGCCTTCTATGAAGCCTGGGAGGGAGAGGGACTTTTGGGGGGCGTTGTTGGCGAGGTTGTAGAGGCGGCGGGTCATGCCTGCGCGGGCAGAGATGATGAGGGTGACTTGGGTTTTTGGGGAGGAGGTGGTGTGTGGGGGGTAAGGGGAATTGGAAGGATTGTTTTTCGAGGGAGGAAGGGGTGAGGGGGATTGGGTTTGAGATTGAGGATTTGGGGTTGTGTTTTGATATTGAGAGGGAGTGGGAGAGAGAGGAGGAGTGGGCGTGGGCTGGGGTGTGAGGGGACGCAAAGGCGTAGGGACTGTCTGTTGATTCGGACCAGGCGATTGAGAATGGGTGGGACATCCACCAGCTGACGGCTGGGATGTAGGCGAAGACGTGGCAGCCCGGTTGGATGGGGATTTGTTTTGGGAGATGGAAGGTGACTCGGCAGGCTTCGCCTGGGAGGGCTGTTACTGTCATTGAAGTTGTGCCGGATGTTGAGACGTTCAAGTGGAGGAGACGGAGGAGGCGGGCGCTTCGTTCCAGCAGCCAGATGGCTGCGATCACCTGGGACCAGCTGCGCTGGGGAAGACTGTCTATCTGGAGGTGGAGGTAGACGCCGAGGAAGGCGAAGACTGCTGCGAGCTGGTGGAGGTGGAGGAAAGTCTCGTAGAAGGCGTGGCGGATTGGGGAGGGCGAGTGCAGACAGAGAAAGATCATGGAGACGGTGCCAACGAGACCCCAGGCGAAGAAGGGAGTGTCACGGACTCGGGCCAGCATGTGGTTGAAGTCTTGCTCGTCACAGGCATTGACAGCCCATGCTGCCGTGTGCACGACGGATTCGAGGACCACCATGCGGCCCAGCCAGCGGTGGAGCAGATTGTAGGTGTCAAAGCTGATGTGCAGGATTGAGATGAGAGGGTTGTTTCGGCCTGCGAGGAGGAAGAGAGGAACCATGTTGAGGACGGCCAGCGTGCCGGAGCGACCACGAAGCTCCGCGATCAGGGCTTTCTTTTCATTGACCCTGTAGTCCAGGTAGACGCAGTAGACAACCTGACTGATGAAGTAGAGAACGACCAGGATGGCTTGCAGCCGGGAGGGGAGAGTGCCGACGTTGAGAGCCGACGACAGCTGCATCTCTCGGTTGTGTCGCTTCTTGCCTAATGGGGCATACAAGAAGTGTTTCTTGAGGTTGGGCCACCATGAGGAGCTCTCCTGTGCCCAGAAGGTCTGTTCCCGTTTCGTGGTCCCCGAGGCGGTGATTTGACGCAGGTAGGCATGGCTGATCTGGGCGATTCGGCCACAAAACAATGCGACAGCGAGGATGGCGAGCGATGCGTAGATGATTCGCGTGATGATCACATCGCGGGGGACATCCACGCCGCCCAGTCCCCTGGAGTACTCATATACGTATGTTGTATTTGCACTGTAGCTTCGAGCCGCGATGTGCGGAAAGGGTGCTGCCATTGAAGAGCCCAGTGGGAGATTGAAATGTGCCGCTTGTGGATGATTAGAAGTAATTGATGTATCCGATGTAGAAGTTGCAGATGTTGCAGATTAATGTATGCTGCCGGTCAACAGCAGGTTTGAATTTGGACTGAGCGCTTGAGGCTTCGAAAGAGAAATGACAGATTGAAGTGGAAAGCGCTTCGATATAGATGGATCGAACAAAGACGCAGTGTCATAGAAGCATTGTCACAATGAGAATTGTCGTCAACAAAGAACCTGTGGCATTCGAGGTTAGCGTCACCAAGAATCGAGTTGAGAGGGGAGACTGACTGGAATGCAGAGATGCAAGGGGGGCAGACAATAGGAGATGAGTATAGATCGGAGAATTAGCCGATCAGGAAGAGCAATAGCAAGAGCAAGAGCAATAGTAATAGCAATAGCAATAGCAATAATAGCATAGATCAGAGATCACCGGCCAAAAGAAGGACAAGAAACAAAGAACGTCTACAATGCAATACAACTCAAGGAGGAAAACCAAAGGGACTGGGCTATTCATGTAAACCTCTGCAACTCCTTAAAAAGCCCGTGAACGCCTCTCAGGCGTTAACTCTGATCCTATCGGACGAACTCCATTTTAATACGCCGGTGTTTCGAGATCTGCCAGGGACGCTCCACCTATCAAATGTGATTTGCTGTTCAGCATGAGAGGGCTCGGCGTCACGCCCAGAGCCAAAGAGACATGATAAATTAAGAGCGCAAGAGACTTCCTGATGTCCGGACCCCTGGGTGGTCTGACAGAGGCTTTGTTTAGTGGTTTCAGATCGGAGCTGTCAACCGAACTGAAACGGTGGCGTTGGATTCCATGAGGTTCATAGGGAAGATAGAGAGTATGTCATATGCAGAAGGTGAAGAAGAGTGTATAACTTATGTTAAACTGTTGTATATATTTATGTAAAATCAACGTGCGCTCACCGCCCCATCCAGCCACCGTCCACGGTGAGAATATCCCCCGACACATAACTGCTAGCGCGACTGGCCAAGTACACCACCGCTCCCTTGAAGTCCTCGGGATTGCCCCATCGACCAGCAGGAATACGCGCCATGATCCCGGCGTTGCGGTCGGCATCGTTGATAAGAGCAGTGTTCATATCGGTGGCAATATACCCAGGAGCAATGGCGTTGACATTGATGCCCTTGGCAATCCACTCATTAGACAACGCCTTAGTCAACTGCCCAATACCGCCCTTGGATGCTGCATAGGCTGGCACCGTGATGCCACCCTGGAAGGTGAGCAACGATGCGACGTTGATGATCGAGCCCCGACGGCCAGAGGGGAACTCGGAGGCATCACGGGCAAGCAGGTACGCGCCGAATTCTCGGCAGAGTGCGAAGACCGAGGAGAGATTCACTTCGAGGACCTGTTATTCCACAAATGAGACATGGCCTATTGACGAGATCACGGACAGGATATTGAAAGGGGCAGGGGGTGTGTCATGAATAGATTGGGCGGGGCTTACCTCGTCCCAGTCCGAGTCTGGGAACTGTTCGCTCGGGTGTCGCCGTTGAATGCCGGCGCAGTTCACTAGAATCTCGGGTTTGAGGCCTTGGCTGGTGACAGCGGGAATGATGTTTTTGACGGCTTGCCGATCTCCTAGTTCTGCGACATGGATCCAGGCTTGACGGCCGAGGCTGGTGATTTGGTCTTTGGTGGATGTGTTGGTGTTGTCTCTCTATAAATAGTGAGTATTCATCCCTCACTCGATATATGACCCCTCCTTTCGGGGTTTCGTACCTGAACCAGGATAATGTCGGCGCCGGCCTCGGCCAAGGCGAGAGCCATGGCTTGGCCAATGCCTCGTGTGCCACCGGTGACCAGGGCAGTTTTCCCACTGAGGGAGAAAAGGGATAGAACGTCAGTCATTTTTGGGGTATATGCGAATCAATTGCGAAGAGAAGAAGAACAGAAGAGAAGAAGCGAACAGTTTAACAACTTCACCTCGACTCCAATGACGCGGGGTTTCCCGCTACGGCAATTTCTATAGCCGGCTCAATAGCCGTCGGCAATCGACCATTTCCCCCAAAGATGAAGTGTTGGTGTAAATGGAGCAGAGAGGAAGAGAAACTCATCTCGCCGTAGCTGGACGAGAAATATCGAGCGATACGCAGTAGTTGTAGACGAGAGAGCCGTAGATGTAGAGTTGCGTTTCCCCACAGTCTCCATCTGCGGGGGTTCTACTTTTCGCATCTTCGCATTTCAACCTTCGCAGCTTCACAGCTTCACAACTTCACGGCGTCACAGCTGCACAATGTCTTAGTATGGAAGACGAATCCCCAACAGAAGCCTCAAGGCGTGACATCGCCAAAAGGGTATCAAGAGCCTGCCTCCACTGCAGACAACGCAAGTCTCGATGTGATCTGTAAGAACCCCCGGATTTCAGATCAGATCGACAGCTCACTGACTCGGAAATAGAGACAGCAATGGGAATCCAGGGAAACCACCGTGTCAACGCTGCGTCCGCGAAAACCGCGAGTGCATCCTTGGTGGCTCCAACCGTGGAGGCCGTCGAATCCGCAAAAACAAGATCAAAAACTTCACTCCGACCAATCCAAATTCAAATCCAAATCCAAATCCCTCCCCAAGCAAAGATTCCGACACATCAAGCCCAGCCGCGTCAGAGAATCGCCCCGCGCAATCACACCGGCATCAGTCTTCTTATCCCGGGCCGGTCGTCTTCTTACCTCCTAACCCGCCAGCCCCGGCCTCCGTCTCCGTAGAAGAAGACGATGCCTCTATCAATTCTGTCCCACGCAACCCATCTGACGCGTGGCAATGTTTAACGGGAATCGCGACACAAGGACAAGGCACGGGAACCGCTGAACCGCGCCAAGCCCGTGTTCGTTCCGAGTCGACTAGTTTCCCAACATATAATGGCCTGCGCGGCGGTGTGGTGTCCGAATTCGCCACGCCCAACACGGGAATCAGGGCGTATAGACTTGTTCAATCGCGCTCGCTGGATCCGGAGACGGTGTGGCAGTTGATTTCTCGTTATGCGGACAACTTTCATCCGTACCTCCCGCTGGTCCCGCGGAAGTATTTTGCGCGCAATGCACTCGATGACTTTTCTGAGAACGAAAAGCATCTTCTGACTGCGGTTCTGACAATTGCATCCAAGGACTTGGTTGATCAGCCGGAGATTCATGAGTACTGCTCGAAATATATGCACGAGTTGATCTCTGGCATTGCGGCTGGTGCCGAGTGTGATGTTGAAGCCGTGGAGGCGCTATTACTGCTGGCAGAATGGGAGCCGCAAGGTCTGCGACCTAAGATCGAGCGCGTTGGACGAGGCGAGGAAGACCGCGCTGCTTGGATGCATGTCGGGCTAGCTTTGCGCTCGGGATACTTCATCGGTATGGACCGTACGTCCTTCCGGGGTGATCCATATGGTGATCAAGAAAGTGAAGCCCGGCGTCGGCTAGCGTGGGCTAGCTGTTATGTTTCTGATCGGCTGATTTCCGTGCGTATTGGGCGTGCGTTCTGGTCGCGGGGTCCTGGGCCCATGACTGGCCTTGTTAGCCAAGATTTCCCCTCGTTGCAGCCTGTTAAGGAGGGCGATGAGGATTATTCGAAGATTTGGCAAGCTATGTTGGATCTCACACAGCTTTATGGGAATGTTCACGAGGTTTTGTATTCTGGAATGCGGGCTAGTAACCAGATGATGTTGATGGGAGATTATGTGAAGTATGTGGATGATTTCCGGCTTGCTATATTGCGGTGGAAATCGCTTTGGGGGTCTTTGGACTGTGAGTTTTCCTCCTCCGACGTTTAATATGGAACTGACATGATATAATAGGCTCACCACCTATGCGCGCAACTCTGCAGTTATCATATGAGTATCTGCGATTATACACAACGGCGTTTGCATTTCAAGCTGCCATCTCTCAATCGCTCGTTCAGCCGAAGACCGATGGGCAAGGCCAACGAGAACAATTGCGCTCCACCTTCAGAAATGTGGCCTCGATGCAAGACTCGCGATTCATCTATGAATCCGTCGATGCGGCAAAATCTTACTTGACGATCCTTGTGGACTCGGTAGATCCAGAGAAGCATCTCCATTTCATGCCCCTCCGTTTCTATCTATATGGAATCTACTCGGCCGTATTCTTATACAAAGTTAGTCAACTCTCAGCGCTCACAAATCACATGAATCATCTGACAAACCAGGCCCGATCATTCGGCATGATGCTCCCATCAGAAGAAGCCAAAGTCCAAGGCCTTGTGGCACGAACAACAGAAGTCCTCAAACAAGCCAGCGCCGGCACAGACGACGTCGGCTCCCGCTACGCCCGCCTTCTCGAACTCCTTTGGAAACCCAAAGCAAACCCCAATCCCAATCCGCCCGAAACCCCAAACCCCGATTTCTCAATACAAGCCTTACAGAACCCAGTAGCAGACCCGGGCTACATGCAATTCAGCCCCGCGAACGATTTCTCCTGGCTCGATCTGGAAGCCGTTGGAGACTATGTCTCTGGAGACCAGATATCGGGCGGGTTATTGGGTCTCGATGCGTTCCAGAATGGATCTGACATGTATCAAGGCCAGGATCGATCACAGACATGGCAGTCTTCTGCTTGGATGGGTGACATGAGCAGTAATCTTCTGTTCTAGTCTACTGCCCGACTGGCTCTCGACAGCGGATTCTTCTCCGACGGCTAATGATGCGGGGCTGCGGGGGATCGGAGATCGCCCGGGTAGCCGACGGGGGGTTTTGTTCTTCCATTTCCTCCCTTCCAACTTCTTCTCCAAATCAGACCAGTTCAGTGGCATTGGAATCATGTCTCTCAACGAGCTTCAAGGACGTCTCGCCCTCATCACCGGCGCTTCAGGGGGGTAAGTTCTCACTCATCTACCCCAAATATCACCTCCAATCTCCAAATAGACAACTTACAAAGCTCACAATCACAGAATCGGAGCAGCATGCGCCCACCAGCTCGCTGAACAGGGCATCAACTTAGCTCTTACATATGCCACAAACCTAACGGCAGTGGAAAACCTAGTAAAAGACCTCCAAACCAAATCCAACAACTCCCTCCAAATCTCAATCCACAAAGTAGATGTCGGCTCCTCCTCCGATATCGACCGCATGTTCCAAGACATTGACCAGCAACACGGCCACCGACCCGATATCCTCGTTTCAAACGCCGGGTATGGCAAGCGCGTACCTAACGTTTGGGACTGTACACTCGAGGAATTCGATTACACAATTCAAGTGAACTTGCGCGCATCATTCATGCTTGTCAAGGGGGTTGTTGAGCGAATGAAGAGTCAGCGCTGGGGACGTATTGTATTCATGTCTTCTATTGCCGCGCAGGGCGGTGGTATTAATGGATGTCGTATGTATTCGCCCTTGACTATGATGTACTGGATCCGGCTAATAATTATCTTGGTATAGACTACGCAGCCTCAAAGGGCGGCCTAACAGGAATGATGAAAAACCTTTCAACCCGCCTGGCCGAGTTTAATATCAGTGTGAACGATGTTGCGCCGGCCATGATTGGTGATACAGGGATGATTCCTAATGCTGCTGCTATTCCGGAGGTTGCGGCTGGTATTCCAATCGGCAGGCTGGGAACACCAGAGGAAACGGCGAATGTTGTCACTATGCTGGTTAAGACTGGCTATATGACTGGTCAGAGTTTGTTATTGGCTGGGGGTTGAAATGATGTATTTTTGCTGTGTATCTATGAAGTACTGTGAATGATTTGATTGATATTCAATTGGATTCAATGCAAGTGTAGCTGTATATGCAATAACGTTATATGGATTCGTAGACTGAATTTATATACCCTCACCATCCCAAACAAATCGCCCTAGTTCAACACCACACCAAGGGTATAAAGCAAACCATCATCAACATCAAACCCAGCGCTTACAACGAAGCACCTCTCCCAGGATTCTCAATAATAACCTTAACAACCGGTTTCCCTTCCTCATCAACACCCGCGCCAGCAAGCTGGAAAGCCCTAGCCCCGTCCTCAAGCTTCACGCGATGCGTAACAACCTTCTCCTCAACACTCCTCATCTTCCCACTAGCAAGCAAAGAAATAGCAGCCGGATACGCAGCCCCATCATACCTAAACACACCAATAATGTCCACCTCTCGCAAGGCCGCCGCGCCAACAGGAACAGTCTGAACCGGGTTTCCCATACCAATCTGAACCAACACTCCACCAGGAGCCGAGGCATAGATTCCAGCCTGGACACAAGCCGGAACCCCAGTGCAATCATAGACACGGCTAAAGCCGGGCATGCTCAACCCAGACTCAGAAGATGCAGCCGCAGCAAGAGCCGCAGCGACCGACTGCGCCGTAGCCAGCGCATAAGCCGTCTGCTCAGCATGCGGGGCATCCTTAGCCGGAGGAGGATTCGCCGGATCCCCACGAGGAATCAAAGCAGTCTTCAAACCCAGCCCCAAACTCTTCGCAATGTCCAGCCGACGCTCATCAATATCCGCCACGAGAATAGAAGTAAAGTTCTCACTCGCAGCCAGCGCACCCGCAATCAACAGCCCAATAGCGCCAGCACCAAAGACCAACGCCGCAGTCTCCTCTCCAGCCGCAGTATTCAGCGCGACTTCGTCTTTCGTGGGCGGGTGCGAGCGCCGCACGGCATGCAGACAGACCGCGAGCGGCTCGACCAGCGCGCCGGCGGCATCGCTCACGGAGTCCGGGAGCGCGTGGCACATGTCCGCGGGATGGTTGGTGCGATCCATGAGAGTGCCGTCGAGATGGGGGTAGGTCTTTGCACTGCTCCGGAAGCGCATGTCCTTGCAGATGTTGTAGCGGCCTTGTTTGCACAGCGCGCATTTCCGGCAGGGGAGGCCGACTTCCAGCGCGACTCTGTCGCCGGCTTTGAGGGTTGCGACGCTGCTTCCTGTTGCTGTTACTGTGCCGGAGGATTCATGGCCGAGACACATTGGCTCTTTTACGACGAAGTCGCCGTTGCGGCCGTGGCTGTAGTAGTGGAGGTCTGAGCCGCAGAGGCCTGTGGCGCGGATTGTGACTTGGACTTCATTGGGTGCTGGTGCGGCGATTGTGCGTTGCTCCTGAGGTCATGGTTAGGGTTTGGGGATTGAGTTGACGATATCTAGATATGGGCTTACGACGCGGAGGTCCTTTGCGCCGTGGAGGACAAGTGCGGTTGTGGATGTTTCTGTCATACTTGCGAGTGTGAGTGCTGTGTCAAAGACAGTAGTGGTACTTGCAGAGTCAGGAATATAAGTGCAAGAGTAAACCGATTCCCGACCCCGCGGCATTTGGAGAGCCGGAGTAACTCCGTCGGGTATTGACTGGCAGAGTAACTTCATTTCCCGACGTGGGGGGTTGTTGAGTCCGTAGTGATAAGGTCGATGTTGTAGATCAGAAATGGATGGGATAGCATAGAGAATGTCCATTATACAAGGTGCTTCTACTACTATATCTGCCTTGCTCACAACTACATTGTATGTTATAACGTGAATGTGTACTCTACTGCAAGTCAACAGCTTCACTTCTTCGTGGGTGGGGCTATGACATCGCGGCATGGGGGTGCGATAGCGGGGGCGAAGAGCTATGGTTTCTCGGTCTCTCGGTTTCTCAATTTCTCGCGCAATGGCATTTCTCTTCTTTTAATCTCCCTTATTCACTACATTGATCATCTTCCAAGGTGTGTCCCAGTCTATCCCAGAGATTATTGCGCGCTTCTAACATTGCTGCCGTAGTCTCCAAATCAATTACCATGTCGCAATCAGCTCTCCTCATCGGAGAAATCTCACACGCGCGCAAGGAGTGGGAGAGTCTTTCCTCAAACTTGACATTAAAGGTAGTCTAGCTCTCCAGCTAAAAAGGCACATTGGGATCATCTTCTAATATAAGACAGGAATTTCCCAGTGGAACACGAGAGGAGTTTATCGCAAACTGCAAGGCGGGCCAGTACGATGATGTAGTGGCTCTCTACCGGTCTAATACTTCTACAAAGGTACGTTTCCCTCGCAATTCATGTGAATGCCCCTGGTTAATTACTTCTAGTACACCGGCCCCTTCAATGCGGAGATGGTGGCCGTTCTGCCCAAGTCGCTGAAGTATATTTGTCACAATGGTGCCGGATACGACAACATCGATGTCGCTGCGTGCTCAGAGCGGAGCATTGCGGTGTCAAGTACGCCGGTCGCGGTCAATAACGCAACGGCCGATGTGGGCATCTTTTTGATGATCGGAGCGCTGCGCCAGGCCCAGGTACCAATCATGACACTGCGGGAGGGTAAGTCCAAGCCCAGAGGAACAATACACGATATTCGATCTAGTATCTGACCACGCGACCACTATTTAGGCAAATGGCAGGGCCCTATCACCGCTAACGGAAAGCAAGAGCGAGCCACACTCGGCCATGATCCCAAGGGCAAGATCCTTGGTATTCTGGGCATGGGTGGCATCGGACGGGTAAGTGCATACATAGAATTTAGTGTCCGAGAGACTGGCTAACGATGATGTCCACGTGCAGGAAATGGCCATCCGCGCCAAGGCATTCGGAATGAAGATTCAATACCATAATCGCTCCCGACTCCCAGCAGAACTGGAGGCGGGCGCAACATATGTCTCCTTTGACGAGTTACTCGCCAATGCAGATGTACTGAGCTTGAACTTGGCACTAAACGCTTCAACTCGCCATATTATTGGCGCCACGGAGTTTGAAAAGATGAAAGATGGCGTGGTGATCGTCAACACTGCTCGTGGAGCCCTGATCGATGAGAAGGCGCTCGTTGCGGCACTTGAGTCTGGCAAGGTATGTGTTTTGAAGTGATCTTTGTTCTTGAGGGTCCATCTGACTAACGGTGATCAGGTGCGCTCTGCTGGCTTGGATGTCTATGAATGTGAGCCCGAGATTGAACCTGGTCTTGTGAGTAACCCTCGGGTTATGCTGTTACCTCATATTGGTACCATGACCTACGAGACGCAGAAGGAGATGGAGATTCTTGTGTTGGATAACTTGCGGTCAGCTGTTGAGAAGGGGGAATTAATTACACAAGTGCCTGAGCAGAAGAAATAGATAGATGTATATAATCATGCACTGGGATTGGGTTTAGCATCATCTACGCCGTAGTGTACTCTACATTTGACTTAGAGACTATAAGTTAGTTAGAGAATTCAAAGTTGGACTGACACCTGATCCACAAGGCTGCCAAGACTGGCCCTTAGAATGACTCAGCATTTACTCAGTAATTACAGGCTAGCCAAAATGGGCTAGCGTTAGGGCTCGCTTAGGGCCAGAGCGCCAAGAGCGAAAAAACCGCACCAAACCTGGTGGCTCAAGCGACCGCCGGCCGACGACGAAAAGCGACAACAATTCATCACCGAGGACCATCACACCCCCCTCGCCAACTCCTTCAAGATGGTGAGTGCTGCCTGTCCCCTTGATCGACAAATGAATCGAAATCCCATTATCTACGACATGCCACCCGTGTGACGGCACATTCAATATCATATTCAATGTCCGATCATCGGGTCGACCTCGCTGTCGTCAATTTCAACCTTCAATCTTCAGCATTGCTAACGAGCAATGCTCTCTTCAGGTCCGTTACGCCGCCCAGGAGATCGAAAACGGCAAGAGCGCCCGCGCCCGGGGCTCTTACCTCCGTGTCAGCTTCAAGAACACCCGCGAGACCGCCCAGGCCATCAACGGTATGAAGCTGTCCAAGGCCGTTACTTTCCTCGAGAACGTCACCACCAAGACCATGGCCGTTCCCATGCGCCGCTACGCTGGCTCCACCGGTCGCACCGCCCAGGGTGAGTACCCTTGAAAATTTCCCAGTTTCGAATTTCGGACCCAGATGGAAGATTGTGGGAATGGAAAATAGCATCGCCAATATACGACGCCATGGACAATGAACAGAACGAGGAAGATCCAGAGGAGATGTGGTTATCGGATTGGCGCTGTTATGGAAAATTTTCGATCTGGAGGAAATTTCGTGTGAATTTGATGGAACAAGGGCTGACTCTTCACCAGGCAAGCAGTTCGGTGTCTCCAAGGCCCGCTGGCCCGTCAAGTCCGCTGAGCACATCCTTGATCTGCTCAAGAACGCCGAGGCCAACGCCGATGGCAAGGGTCTCGACACCAGCGCCCTGGTTGTCAAGCGCATCCAGGTCAACCAGGCCCCCAAGGGTCGCCGCCGTACTTACCGTGCCCACGGTCGTGTACGTTTTCATCAACCCCATTGCTTTCATCTGATTGATGCTGATTATTCTTTTAGATCAACCCTTACATGACCAACCCCTGCCACATTGAGCTCATCCTCACTGAGGCTAACGAGGAGGTCAAGAAGGCTTCCGAGGACAAGAAGGTCCGCCTCTCTTCCCGCCAGCGTGGCACCCAGATCCGCCGTGCTCTCATCGAGGCATAAACGGATCGCATAAGAAGGTGTGAGGGGACGTGTTGAAAAGATTTTTGCGGTGGACGGGAAGGTTCGGAGTTCTACGGCATCAGCTGTGTATGTTGGAACGGAATTCGATACCGGATCATACAAGATTTTTAAGGTCATGGCGCCAACTTTCGGAGGAGAACCAAATAAAAAGTTTAAACGAATGGCCCTGGGTTGATGGAATAGGATTCTGTACTTCTCGATCCCTCATGATACAAACGTGGTTCTTTCTCCGTGATATTCATTGTTTTTTTTTTTACTACCGACTTGGTATCTAGTGTAGACCGCGGATGACTGTATAGGGCTGTAGCTGAGACAGTTGGTTATCTTGACACTGTTCTGATTATACCACTTCAAGGTTGGTATCTACCTGGTATCTATTTGATATTTACTTATTTCCCTTAGCCCTGGAGGTGATAGCCCGATTGACTAGACCACTTCGGGCCCCCGACAGCTGCTATCTATGGAATGCATACGCCAAGGATGATTGCAGTAGATCTATATGCGGGGCCATTTGTACAAGAAGCCTTACAATTCCAACTCTTTCTTGGACTCTCACCCCACCAGCATAGTATATCTTTCTCTTTACACTCTACAAAATGTCCCTCAAAGATTATCGCCTTCTCTGCTTCGATGTCTACGGCACTCTAATAGACTGGGAAGGCGGCATCCTTACTGCTCTCCAACCACTCCTGTCCAACGCAACGGCCCAATTCACCCGGGAACACCTCTTGACAGTCTTCCACGAGTTAGAAAGTACCCAGCAAAAAGCAACCCCCGAAATGCCCTACTCAACGCTCCTAGCAACCGTCCACCCACTCCTTGCCACCCGCCTCGGACTCAACCCCCCAAGCCAAGAAGAAAGCCAACACTTCGGCGACACGGTGGGAACATGGCCCGCCTTCCCAGACACCGTAGACGCCCTGCACCGTCTATCTAAGCATTACAAGCTTGTCGTCCTCTCCAACGTCGACCGGGCCTCGTTTGCTGAATCCAATCGCGGGAGTTTACAGGGTGTACCATTTGACATGGTGATCACGGCACAAGATATCGGCAGTTACAAGCCCGATCTACGCAACTTCGAGTATATGCTCGCGGCCGTGGAAAAAGAGTTTGGAATTCGTCCCGCAGAAGTGTTGCAGACTGCCCAGAGTCAGTTCCATGATCATCAGCCTGCAAGGAGGGTGGGGATTCGCTCGGTTTGGATTGAGAGGCCCGGGGCTACGATGGGGAATCTGGGGGAACCGATTTTTGATTGGCGGTTTGGGACTCTTGGGGAGATGGCCGATGCTCTAGAGGGAGTTTGATGTTGTTCAGATCCTGGATACTGTTCTTGTTCGAGGGTCAAGGAGTAGATGTGAGGGTGAGATGCTCGATCGCAGGTACTGAGTACTTGGCATTTGGGTGATCGACGCTGTGGTGGACGTGTACCCGGTACATGGCACGTGGCTGTGTAGATATTTTGGAGCCTGGAGGCGTCTTGGCGCTTGAATGGCTTCGTGGACGATTGACGTGGATATGTGATTTGCCATTTGCCACTGAGAATATATATCCCCTTTGCTGCCTCGGGTGTAGGGTTCTCGTTCGTCACTAGTTTGCAGGAGCCGCCCCCATTTAGCCCCGGAGTTATTTTTGTGACTGCTCTTCTTCCTCCAAATTCCCCTGAGAAAACCACAGTCCACAGACAACACCATGAAGCGCTTTCTGGGTTCTTTGAGTAGGCGTTCGAGTGAGTTCCTCGTCTCCACGCCTCCCCGCATCTTCATTAACCAATCCAGGCTCAAGCGACAGTGTAGACCACCGCAACGACTCACCAGAAGCCATAATCGCAAGAGAATTGGTCCGTCCTGCAGATCAACCAGATCAACCAAATTAACCTTCTCTAACGACCAAATCAGACTGCATTCTGCGAATCAAACACTTCCTCGCACGACACGGTACGCACTTCCCTGGACCATGGAATCCACGCCTCAGCAAACACTCCCCTAACAAATTTCCAGAACCAACAAGGAAACGAATTCGTCCACCTCCCCCAAATAGTCGAAACAGCCGAATCAAGCCCCAATGCCGCCAAAGAAGCCGCCTACCGAATCCGCAAATACCTCGCCGACCCAGCGGGAACCCCAAACAACGTCCAATACAATGCGCTCATGATAACCCGCATCCTAGTCGACAACCCAGGCCACACCTTCACGCGCAACTTCGACGCGAAATTCGTTTCCACAATCAAGGAGCTACTCCGCGCTGGTCGCGACTGGCACGTGCAAAGCTATCTCCGCCAGTACCTGGACACACTGGAGCAACAGCGCAGCTGGGACGAGGATCTGAAACTCCTGCTGCAGATGTGGGCGAAGGAAAAGTCGAAGCCGCAGCGCGGACTGGTGAGCCCGAATTGATCTAGATCTCCATGTCAGCAATGAACGTGCAGAGACCAAGCAAAACGAGCGAGACTAATTTCGGCGGTTGGGTCTCAGATTGATCGCTTCCCCATGGCTTCAGGCGCACCGCCCCTCCCCCCTCATCCGACGTCGACAGCGAATCCGCATCGGAATGCGTATGCCGGTGCGCGCGCGCCGGACGTTGCCCGATCGCCCTCAAATGCACTACCCAATGCGGAAGAATTAGCGGCGCGCATTGAAGAAGCACGGAACTCGGCCAAGCTGTTGACGCAGTTCGTGCAGTCGACACCGGCGGTGGAGTTGGAGGAGAATGATCTGGTGAAGGAGTTTGTGGATCGGTGTCGCACGGGTTCGAGGCTGATTCAGGGATATATTCATTCGACGAATCCTGGGCCTGATGAGGATACGTTGTTGACGCTTATTGAGACGAATGATGAGATTTCTGTTGCTTTGTCACAGCAGCAGCGGGCTATGTTGAAGGCGCGGAAGGTTCGCGGGTCTTCATCGCCCAGTTCTTCGAATGTCACTTCGCCCGAGTCGACGTCTCAACCTTTGCCTTTTGCTTCTGGGGCTGGGACTGGGACTGCGGTGCCTGTTGCTGCGGAGTTGCCTTCTCCTGTTATGACTGGCGGTAGAACGTCGAGCGCCACTGCTACTGCTGCTCCTACTGTTACTGCTGGTCCTTCCGCTACTGCTACTTCTGCTAGTAATACGGGCCGGTACGAATACAGGTCTGAGGATTTCCAAGTTCAGAATCCCTTCGCTGATGATTACGCGGAGGATTCTGATGGGAGGAACCAGACGCATCAGTCTCAGAGAGATCGAGTGCATTTCCAGCCTAGCGAGCAGGAGCGTTGATCCCAACCTTGGGCGAGAGTGACACGTCTTGATTCTTCCAACACGTTTGGACTTTTGCGTTTCGTCTTGTTTATATTGCTTGCGCACAGCTATTCCCTTGTCTTTGTCCTTCATTCGTTATGATACCTTGAACATTGCTTTGCAGATTTTCCGTTCATGTGCAATTCAGCAGCTTTCTATACAGCTTACAGAGAGTGAGGTCATGCCAATATCGTGTTCTTCATTTCGCGTATTTAGGTAGATCCTGTCAAATGAAAGACTGTTCTAGCCACAAGTCGCGTCTTCAATTATTACACCTCGCAGCTCGCATCTCCGAAATCCCAAGCACGGTTATAACATATGATTCGCAGAGAACCACAGGAATACGAGCTGGTTCACCACATTCCGTTTCTGGACTCGTGGCTGAACGTCCCATGTTCCGGTTAGGCTATGATGAATAGGCTATCTGGGATCGCGGAACGTCATCTCAGGAAGTATAAAAACCCCATACGATCAACCAAACAAGAACCAATCTCAAAGAACAAGTATCCAATATCCAATATTCAATATCCAATATCCAATACCAGCCAGAATATCAATCAAAACCAAAATGCCCCTCCCAAAAACAATCCGTACCCTCCTCCAACCAACCGCCCACTCACCAACCCTAACCCTAACCCAAACACCACTCCCAACCCGCAACCCAGCCCCAAACAGCCCAGAACACCTCATCCAAGTCAAAGCCTGCTCACCCTGCGCCGGCGAACTCCTCTGGCCAAAGAACTTCCCCCCACCCACCCCGCGCCCCCTCATCCCCTGCCCCGACATGGCCGGCATCGTCATCTCCGCCCCAGCAGACTCCCCCTTCCAGCCCGGCGCGGAGGTGTACACGCGCACAAATTACACGAGGCCTGGAAACGCCAGGGACTATTCTATTGCTGTTACGGATGAGTTGGCGTTTATGCCGAAGGGCTTGGGGTTCGTGCAGGCTGTTTCGGTGCCGCTTTCTGCTATGACTGCGTGGCAGATTATTTTTGTTCATGTTTTTGGGTCTGGGTCTGGGGTTGAGGGAGAGGGAGAGGGAATGGGAATGGAACAGGCCAGGGCTGTTTGGGCCGGAAAGAGGGTTCTTGTTACTGCGGCTTCGGGGGGTGTTGGGATGTGGGTTGTGCAATTGGCGAGGATGCTTGGGGCGGTGGTGATTGGGACGTGTGGGAGTGGGAATGTCGAGCTTGTGAGGGGGCTTGGGGCGTCGGAGGTGCTTGATTATCGGGCCGTTGATCTGAGAGAGTGGGCTGGGAAGAAGGGGAATGCTGTTGATGTTGTGGTTGATTGTGTTGGGAGACAGTCTCTGGCTGATGCTTGGTGGACTGTTCAGGATGGGGGTGTTGTTTTGAGTATCTATCAGCCACCCCGGGATGTTTGTCCTGCTGAGTTCAGGGGGTCGGAGGTGAAGGATGTGTTCTTTGTGATGCAGCCTGTTAGTAGGCAGTTGGAGGAGATTACGAAGTTGGTTGAGGCTGGGTTGTGTCGGGGTATGGTTGATAGTGTTTGGCCGCTGGAGCAGTTTGGGGAGGCCTTCAAGCGACTGGATGGGGGTCATGCGAAGGGGAAGATTGTTTTTGATCTGGAGCTGAATCGGTGATCTGGATTCTTCGATTTGCGTTGCGACTCTTGGATACAGTTGCAAGGCACTTCACTGCTCTCACGCAGTATCAGTCTTGTTATAAACTGGTCGTTGAGGATCCAGGTGATCTCGTATTCAGCATGGAGTATGTGGATTGTGGAAGTACGGACTCCGAATTCATGCCTGGATGATCCATACTTTCTAGTCTGTCGGTAGTTGACCGAGACAACAGAGCTAGTCATAGATTGAATTCAAGTCTGTGGTGAGCGAACAAGATGTGATTAGGAGCATGTTATTCCGTATGGCGGGTTGACTTCTGTCGTAGATCTCGAAATGTAGATCACCGGGCATCATAACGGTGCCCGGAGCTATATTTTCCATCATTAGAGTGGATTTGACAGGTCATTCTCCCAGGATATCGATCCACTCTTTAATATGAAACCATAGAGGCTCCCCGTATGGCTAGTGAGTTTCACAAACCCCTGGCAGATGCAGGGCGACTATAGGTCGGGAGGAGAGTCAAATTGAGGAAACGTCCGAGACCCAGCCTCATTTTTTCCCACTCCACAAGCTTAATCACGCAGAATGTCCCCAGTTCGGTGCCTGTCAACCTGAAACGTTCATCCCAGTTCGGCGCGTGGGCCATGCTTGGCAAGCCCTAGCTCCAGAACGTCGGGCTTGTCTCGGAACATTCGGTCAAGTTGGAGATGGACTTGCCGCTCTGGAATTATATCGTGTTTCAAGGGACTGTAGCCCTCTGATATGATCACGGTGGAGTCTTGTTTGTGGTTGATTAGCGGGCTTCACGGTAGTCCAAATGGCTATATAACAACCAAATCCACAGCCCAGTTGAGTATGCTGGCCAGTCCTTGATTCTTTTTTTTTTCTCTCATTCACATTCTTTCACTCCGGTCTGTGACCGTGTAGATTTCATTCGTTAAGACATTCATCGGTACCGGTTTACCGTTCACTTCCATTCTCTTCAATTTCATATTCAAAATGATGAAGCAATTCACCCCCGTCCTGGCTTTCGCCAGCATGATCTCCATGGTCAACGCCCACGGCTTTGTCACCAGCCCTCAAGCCCGTATGCCCGGCTCTGCCATGGCCGCCGCCTGCGGCAACCAAGTGCAGGTCAACCAGGAGTCCGACAACTACGGCAACATCCAGGGTGAGCTCCAGGTCGCCGCCAGCCAGAGCGACTACAACGCCGCCGAGTGTGACATTTGGCTCTGCAAGGGCTACAAGTTCGCCGACAACAAGGCCAACGTCCAGTCCTACACGGCCGGCGAGAAGGTTGCCTTCACTGTCGACATTCGCGCTCCCCATACCGGTGTTGCCAACGTCTCCGTCGTCGACACCTCTTCCAACTCGGTCATCGGCAGCCCCCTCATCTCCTGGGATGTCTATGCCTCCACGGCCACCGGCGTCACTGCCAACGAGACCAGCTTCTCCGTGACCATCCCTGATGACCTCGGCAGCCAGTGTGGAACCGCCGGTGACTGTGTTCTGCAATGGTACTGGTACGCCCAGTCCATTGACCAGACCTACGAGTCGTGTGTCGATTTCACTCTCGGTGGTGACTCCTCCAGCTCCAGCTCCAGCGGTTCCAGCTCCAGCGCGGTGGTCAGCTCTGCTGCTGCTACTACCACTGCTGCCGCCGTTTCCACTTCTTCCACCTCTACCTCAGCCGAGGCCTCTACCTCCACTGAAGCCTCTACCTCGACCGAGACTCCTGCTACCACTACCTCTGCTGCTATCGCCATCGAGACCTCCATCTCAGTCCCTGTCGCTGCCCAGACTACCTTTGCCACTAGCACCCGTCAGGCAGCCTCCGCCTCCGAGGCTCCCACCTCGGTCGTCTCGACCCCCAGCGCTGCTGGTTCGGCTCTGCCTTTCCCCACCGACAGTGCCTCAGATGTCTTGAGCTGGATCGAGTCCCTGCTCGGCAACCTGGTTGGCAACAACTAAATGTAGAGTGTTATGACCCACTGGACTCCCTTGACTCCCCCTGGGATATGTCCGTCATGCCGTTTCTGTTCAATTCAGGTTGCTTGTTTGGCTAGAATTATTTATCAATCTATCTTGGATCTTACCTGGCTCATTTCTTCCTTTCTTCGCTAATTGTGATGTAACGTTGGGTTTGTTTTTGCGATATCGGCAGATCACCTTGATCGGTATACGCTGGATTGTAGAATGAGTGATTTACAATTTGCCCCGGTGCCGTCATTGAATGACGTGAGATTTAGAAAAGGCTTGATTTGAATATATTATTTTAATCATTTCAGCAGTGAATTCACAGTCACAGTTCTTCCGCTGGGAGCCAACCAGGTGGTGCGGATTACATTTCTGCGGGTATGAAATAACCTAAGCGCTTACAGAGCAGGGCTAATTGTAGAAGCATTTCTACTTCCCATTGGAGATTCTGTGTATTTTATGAATTCCTGCTTTGAAACAAACGGGTCCGAAATATAGATTGAAGTAGTTGCAAATATGACTGGTATAAAGTTAACATGGTTGTAGTTAGTTATGTTTTGTTATTTAAGTAGTTCCGACCTTCTGCCTATAGTCAGGCCTCACCTTGAGATGCCACGGACGTCACACATTTGTGGCTTACAGGAACCATGCACAGATCGTACGAGATAGATACCCTATAGCATCCATACTAGAAATACTAGAAATGTGAATCCTCCCTCCGGAAATAAGCAATCCAACGACCTCGGGATCGGCAAATGCTGACCAAATCTCCGATAATCGCAACCTCGCAGGGCAACCTCATCCCTACAGTCACTATTAATACCCAGGCCCATATCATCCAGACCATGTAAAATAGAGCATCAAACTAACAGCAATGGCAATCCGCCCCACACTATCCATACTCAAAAGAATCAACCCACGCACATACACCACAATGGCCAACAGCAAAGACTGGAACGCCAGGCAATACCTCAAGTTCGAGAATGAACGCAGTCTCCCGGCCCGCAATCTGCTCGACCGGGTACCGATCTCCTCGCCAAAGAGGATCATCGATCTGGGCTGCGGGCCGGGGAATTCGACCGAAGTCCTGGTACGGCGGTTCCCCGATGCCACGATCACCGGGATGGACTCTTCCCCTGATATGATTCAGAAGGCGCAGACAGCGCTCCCAGAGCGGGACTTTTTCGTCGCGGATCTGACGACGTACCAGCCAGAGACCGGCGATGCGGTCGACCTGTTCTTCTCGAACGCCATGTTCCATTGGCTGACGGCTGACGACCGCATTGCGGTGATCAAGCGGTTGTTGGAGCCGCAGAGTCCTGGCTCTGCATTTGCGATTCAGGTGCCGAATAACCTGAATGAACCGCTGCATGTGTTGATGCGGGAGACGGCGGTTGAGGGGCCGTGGGCCGGGAAGTTGGCTGGCGTGCAGCGGGTTGAGCTGGAGTCTGTGCAGGTGATGTATGATCGACTGAAGCCATTCTGTACGGATGTTCAGATCTGGGAGACGAGTTATTACCATTCGGTTGAGGGACCGGAGGCTGTGGTGGAGTGGGTGAAAGGAGCAGGGTTGAAGCCGTATATTGATCCGCTGGAGGATGGGGAGAAGGCGGCCTTTTTGGAGTCTTATTTGGCGAAGATCAAGAAGGCGTATCCTGTTTCTGTTGATGGGAAGGTCTTGTTGAAATATCCTCGCCTGTTTATTGTTGCTGTGAAATGAGAGAGCTGGGGACCGGACTGGGAAATAAAAAACGAATGTTTGACCTTGCGCGGATTCGATCCCTGAGTTTCCCCAGATGGAATTCCCTGTTTGGGATTTTGTATGGAGAGAGTCTGACCTGACAACAAGACAGAAAATGTGCAAATGGCTTCATCTCGGCCTTGGGATGGAGGTATCTCAACCGATTCTTTCTCCCCATTGCTCGCCACAAGGACATTTGAAGGACTTCTGTATTGGACATCATGATAATAGATATTGGCAGCTACTGCTCCCGCAATTTGAAGTCTCCCCGATGTCTCCAGGCCCCGATAGAGCGCGTCTTGCTCGTCCCCTCGACCTCCTGCTGCCGTCCACCCCCTATATAGATCACATTAAGATGCACATTTTAACCAACCCACACCAGTGGTCCAGGTGGTTGTCATGGCCCGTCTTCGTCCTGCGGGGTAGCGAGGATAGATGGTCAAATTGCCTCACTGCCGGTCTGAGGCTCCTCTATCGAGGTGATACCCAACGTTGCACATAGGCGCTAACTCAGTTGAAGTGGCCCCCTATTCCGCCGTCTCAATGAGCGTGCCGTAACTAGTAAGTTGATCTGAGGTAGGGGGGTTGAGGATTGGGGCGTCCTAGATTGGGGCTTGTCTGCGGACTCCCCCATGTATTGACGTGCGTGCCCGGGAAAGGACCGGGTTCATGGGATTTTTTTGGCTCTTTCTGTCTTGGATGATGCTATTCCCACCTGGCTCTTGCTGCCTTGTGCTGGTCTCGTGGGAGGTGTGGTGTTTCCCAGGTCTGCTGGTTCCTGCCTGTCCCAACATGGACATTCCCCATCACACTCTGGCTGGATTTCCTTTCACTTGCCTGTCCACACCACGCATGAAGCTATTCCCACTTCCTGTTCCTTCCTGTTGTCTTGTCTTTCTGCTTCCCCCCTTCCCATCCACCCATCTCAACCCATGTGACAACTGATGCTTTCCTCCCACGTCGGTCCCTTTATAACTTGACTTTGGGTCTCTGTTGACCACATTGCCATTCCACCTCTTCTTTGATATAAATAAAACCATTCTCATTCTCCTCTCTTGCTTGATGTTCCTTCCCACCCGTGAGTTTATGTAGCCATCCCCAACAATCAAAAATTACTTGTATCAAACCATGGCACTAGCCACCCTCAGTGTTGACTGATAGCTGTTCAAGTCTGTGTCTAGGCCACTTTCCAGCTGAATTGCTCAGAGAAAGGAGTAGAGAAACCAGATCACCCACCAGCCACCAATTCAGCAAGCCAGTGCTGAACGATTAGCCACACCACGGCCAAGTGAAGACCGAACCATGATAAACTATTCCAACTTCGTCTCTGACGATGTCATCAAAGCTCCCCCTTTGAGAACAAAGCAGCCCACAGCAACCCACAGCAACTCAAGAGGTCAAAAACCTGCAGAACAGTCGGCCTCTCCCCGAAGGAAGAGAAACTCAACCCAGAACGCCGACACGAAGCCCAACACAAACAACCTGGATGGTCTTGTAATAACAAGAACAGACAGAATAGACAACTAGACTTACATCCCTCTATCTTCACAGACTACAATATCAACTACAAGGCAAATTCTCAATATCAACCCGTCCCAAGTCAACAGCCGTCTAGCCAGAGCACTGCTCAATAAGACTACAGTCAAGCACACCCCAACACTCCAACAGTCACGGAGACAGCAATCTGAATAGTTCCATGCATGCTCCCAATCCAATCCAAGCTCTTTCCCCCCTTCATCTCATCGTCTTTTCATCTCATCTCATCTCAATCCATCATGTCAAACGCTATTATGATATTGACTATACAGCCCGCAGCGGACAGAGTACCTCCATTCCAGCCCTTCAATTTTGTGATAGTCACTCACGATAATCTCGATAAATCATGGATTTGAGCTATACTGGTGAGGACCCGTTCCCCATTGAAGTGGAGAGCGGATGCACCCTTAATCCTGATCTTATCCCTGACGTCACATTGACGATGTATAGTTCCAAGAAAAGTTGCAGAGCTCTGCCTATATAACTATATCATATGGTCCTGCAGTTCAACATATACTCATATTTTCCATCTCTCTCTCAATTCAACATGTCTGCCGACGCTTCCATCAACACCTCCACGGGCAACCACTCTGTGGACCCCTACAAGACCCAGAACTTCGAAGACCCTCCTCTCCCCCAAAAGATCGAAGAACTCGCCAAGTTCATTTCCGTTGTCAAGTTCGGCATGTTGACCACCCACCAATCAGAGGGTGACTACCTAGCTTCACGATGCATGGCCCTCGCCGCACAGGTACGATCCCACCAACGCGCAACCACCCGGACGCCTCCAAGCCACAAACCAAACTAACAAAGTCAACCCCAACAGGAAAACGGCGGCATTGACCTCATCTTCCACACAAACCTCTTCTCCGGCAAAACAATGGACCTCACCGTCCACCCCAAGGAAGTAAACATGTCCTTCCTCGACGCAGTCAGCGGCGCCTGGGCCTCAATCTCAGGAACAGCATCCATCATCAGCGACGCCGCAGTCGTAGAAAAATACTACTCCCCCATGCTCAAGGCCTGGATTGGCGATATGGGCGACGGCGTGCATGACGGCGGCCCGTCCGACCCTCGCATTGGCGTTATCAAGTTGGAAGCGAAGCTTGCCACGCATGTTGTTCCCCAGAAGGGTGTCATCGGCCGTGCCTACGATACTGTCAAGGGTGCTGTGCAGGGCAGCGTGCCCCATATTAATGGCATTCGGGAGTTGACAGAGCAGGAGTTGGCTGAGTGTATGTTTTTCCCCGTTGGGCTGGGTTTGGACCATGGTTGGCTAACTTGATGAATTTAGGGCGCCGCACTCATCAAGCTTAGGGGGTTTATCTCTTTGATATATCCGCCTGTGGCTTGGCCTGATGTTTATTTCATGACTTATGATATATCTACTATCAATCTATCTAGGACGTGACTGCTTCGGCTGTCATAAGATTACCACTTTCTAGCTGGAGCACACAGTTGCTGCAGGAACTATAACTTAAACTAAACATGTCCTACGTGGTAGTTGCGTTTCTTTCACGATCTCCCGCAATTGTATATTGCAGAGAAAACTGGCGACTGCATGATCTGTAGTCTGACTTAATGTGACATACAGTAGTAGCCTTGGGCGTAATGTAGACCCAACTTACAGCCCGTCGTATCTATCAGAAGTGACCCAGAACTGCACGCTACAAGTGTAATACATTAATGAGGTCGACTTCAAGGTTCCTTTCCAGCTCAGTCTGATTCCTCCAAGGTTTGATACCATTGTGCTGCCTCAGCGTTGGAGAGTGTCAGGGATGTAAGGTCTACCATTAGTATCCCAAAGAAAAAGATTTGTTATAGACAATAAGCTCGTTCAGAGTTTATAAAGGCCAATGCTAAGCCTTCTGTATATTTCTAGGTTCGATGCGATAGATCCGTGATGATATGAAAACTAACCAAAGCCTCGACATAGGTAAATAAGAGAACGAATTCTGACTTTCCGCCATGAAAACAAACAATGATCCAAAACCAAGCAAACCTGGGTATTTCCTTAGGCGCAAAACTCCCGCTACCGTAAATCATGAGATGGCGTCCAGCGACGCCCGAGTGAGGCAGCCAGTCCTCAGATAAGGACCAAAGGGAAGCTGACAGGCAGTCTGCCATTGTGCATGAGCATAGCAGTACGGGCCCGAGGAGTAGCCTGCAGTTTGCGGTAGGCCTCGCGCACATGGCGGGGTTCAATGGGGGTGCGGCCCTCCTCGGGGGGGTCGAATAGGCCGGTCTCGCGCTTGCGCTTCTTGACGTCTTCGCCCGCATCAGCGCCGCCGCGGCGGTTTTTCTCGTTGTCCTCGCGCTCCTTCACGCGCAGAGCCTGCTCAGTCAAGGTTTGGACGATCTCGAAAGTGAGGAAGCCGAGGATGTCAACAATATCGTCGTTGGGCTTGGACTCTGTCACGACTCCGAATCCGGCCCACTCGCGGAACCGCTTGCTCTTGCGGTAGGTGAAGGATGCCTGGCGGCACTCGGACCAGAACACGTACTCTTCCTTGGTCATGTGGCGGGTGCGCTCGTCGGCGGCGGCCAGGCGCTGGAGGGTAGCGTAGTTTTGCTCCTCCTCTTCTTCGTCCTCTTCGTCCTCGCGCTCTGGAATCTGGATCGAGTAGAAGCTGTTGACGTCCCAGGCGAGTCCGACCTTGGCCTTTTTGTTCTTGGGTTTTGAGGCTACATCTTGGGGGCCTGCAACAACACCAGCTGCATCGTCGGCGGCGGCAAAATCGGCGGCGTCACCGCCACCTTTGTCGTCGGAGTCCTTGACGTTCTTGCGGACGTCCTTCCACGAAAGAAAAGTTCGGAGGCGAGAGACCTTGGCCTTGTCATGGCGGATCAAGAAGATCAAGTCATCAGTTGAAATGGAGCGCACTCCGCGGCGAGTTGCAGCAGCGGTGCTGCGAGAGAGCTAGAGCAGTGTTAGTGACCACGTGTCAGATATAAGCTTTTAAGTACTGACAATTTCAAGGACTTGCTGGCGAGTGATTTCTTCAATCAAAGTTGTGGTCTCACTGGATGGTTCAGCAGTCTCTCCAGAGACAAACATCATCTTTACAATAAGAATTAGCATTTCATGTCCAGTATTGAGATTTGGTTTCCAGAAGGTTCCCTCCTGGTTGTTGGCGGTGCTGGTGTTGATTCTGACGCTGGCGGTAATGCAAGGCCGTTGCTCATAATGAGACATGAATGGGAGCCAGCAACAATGACTGCAAATTAGCTATTGCCCACAGTACGAGATGGCTCAAATTGAGTAAGTTCGATGACAGGTTCATCCAAGCTGCGGCTCGTGTCCAAAGATATGCTCGAAATTTCTTCAATGACGATAACAAAGGACTAATCGACCATAACGCTTCAACCTCGACTGATGTCTTTGAGCCAGCCTTGCAAGAGGCGAAGCTATGATCTTGCTTGTACAGAGAGGGTATATTGACATCAAGCTGAGCCACCACGCATTGAATTCTCCCAGAGCAACTAGGATGTCCACGAATACAAGACATTCAGCAGATCAGACTTGTTGCAATCAACCCCCGCTGAATTGTATCCACAACATGGGACTGGAGCATAATCTAGTGGAGCACAGATTTTCAGTCTGTGCCGAGGCAATGCTCGATATCCAGGCAGTATGATAATGCATATCGAGACAATTGCAAAGTCATGCAGAGGACATGTTTCGACAATGAAGCCAATTGGCATAGGAAAGCCGCATTGGACATGCACGAATGATCATCCCATACATGAGACGAGCCAATATTTGATATGGTATGTCCACCGAAAGAGCAATGCTCATCACGACCTTGTGCAATGGTATACCGCGTACCAAAGCGAAGCAAGACCGAAAGCAGTGGGTGTAACGAAGAGAAGTCGAGATACCGTTGGAGTAAAGATAGCGTCGTATTATGAAGCGAAATAGACAGGCGAGATGATATACGTAACATCTGTCTAGGTGTTCGGCGCATGAGTCGCGTATGGACATGAATTGCATGCCACGCGCAGCCATCGCAGCCATCGCAAAGTCAAGAGTCGTGACTTGCACCTCTTCCACGCCAGAACTCATATTCAACAACCAGAAAGCTTACCCAGAAACCAGGATACAAGGAGTGAACGGAGCTATCCAGGGAATGGACTCACCTGCTGAATCTCCTGACGGTACTTGGGGTTTCGGTCGGACATGATGAGGGATGGAAGCCCTTCTGAGGGGAATTGAGTTGAAATGGGTGCGAGAGACGAAAGGAGAGGCTGATATTAGGGTAAGACGAGCTGGAAAGAAGAGGAATCGCAGTTGCAACTCCGAGGATGCAAAGGATGCAGCGAGGATGCAAGGAAGATGCGGAGGCTCAGTTGGAGATCCGATAGCGATAGCACCGATAACGGCGATATCTTTATCCGGCGGTGTTGGTATTCTGCCGGTTTCGCGGGGCATGGCTCACTTTTTTATTTCTATGGACATACTGCATTGTCTTGTTTAGAGCTTGTTCAATTATTCAATTGAAATCCAGATTTACTAGTTTGCTCAACAGCCTATCATACAGTCAATATGCTGCACCTTGTTGGCCTCGGTCTCGCCGATGAGACTGATATCACTGTCCGCGGTTTGGAGATCGTGAAGAAGGCCGAGCGAGTCTACCTGGAGGCATATACGAGTATTCTTCTTGTTGACAAGTCTAAGCTGGTGAGTTGGTTCAATCCTAGTCTCAATGGTCATTGTGATTTCATTGAATTTGTGACTCACCCACCACGAACTAAACAGGAAGCTTTTTACGGCCGCCCCGTCATTGAAGCCGACAGAGAACTTGTGGAAACCGGCAGTGATGACATCCTCGCCGGCGCCGACAAAGTTGACATCGTCTTCCTCGTAGTCGGCGATCCATTCGGGTAAGAGACCCCCAACACCCCATCTATAACCATAACCACAAGTCTAGACCCAGAACACCCCACTAACCAGAATTACAGCGCAACAACCCACACAGATCTCGTTCTCCGTGCACGCGAACTGAACATCGAAACAAAAGTCGTCCCCAACGCTTCAATCATGTCCGGAATCGGATGCACAGGACTGCAACTGTACAACTTCGGCCAAACAGTAAGCATGGTATTCTTCACAGAGACCTGGAAGCCCAGCTCCTACTATGACCGGGTAAAGGAGAACATCCAGACGGGCCTGCACACGCTCGTATTGCTAGACATCAAAGTGAAAGAGCAATCGATTGAGAACATGGCTCGCGGCCGACGGATCTTCGAGCCGCCTCGTTATATGACTGTTGCGCAATGTGCTGCGCAGATGCTTGAGACTGAGGAAGAGAGGAAGGAGGGTGTTTATGGGCCTGACAGTCTTGCTGTGGGCGCTGCGCGGGTTGGAGCTGCTAATCAGCAGCTTGTTTCTGGTACGCTCAAGGAGCTGGCTAGTGTTGAGATGGGGGCGCCGTTGCATAGTCTCGTTCTCCTTGGTCGGAGGACGCATGATCTTGAACGGGATTACATTCGGGAGTATGCTGTTGATAAGGAGACTTTCGATGCTAGTTATGCTAAGGGATACGGGGCTAGCTTGTGAGTGGTGTGATTGAGGAGTATAATGCTAGCTATAAATAAAGGTCTCTTTTTATGATTTAGATGTTTGCAAATTGTGGATGATATGTTGTTCACAGTTAATCAGATCTAGATTGGATGACTGACCAGATATAGACTGCCTGGTAGCCTCTATCCTTATATGACAGAGTAAGAAATGCAAGAAATGGTATCCAAAAGACGGGAAGCAAAAAACAAGGAAATATGCAAGCAAATATGCGAGGACATCAATGTCCACCGGTGCAGGTAAAGAAGAGGTCATTGAAGATTGGAAGAGATGTAAAAGGACCTGCACCGGTAGAACACCAAAAAAGACAAACCAAAGCCAACCAACACCACCGAGTATATGCAAATGTCAAAGCAATGTACAATCCAACTTTAGAACAAAAGACACGCTGATCGTATCACATCGCTAATGGGCATGTTCGACTTCATCTTCCTCGCCCGGAAGAAGAAGTTCATGTCCAGAGCCTTCGTAGACGAAGATGGCAGCCACGCAGCCAAACACGGAGACCAAGGCAATCAACCACCAAGCAAAGCCGACCATGCCGATATCCAGACCATAACCGTACCAGGCACCCGAGAAAATAGGGCCAATGGTTCGGAAGGCGGAGGAAACAGACTGGCCAATGCCGTGGATTGTGCCGAGGACCGAGGGATGGGGCGAGCAGTTGTTCAGCAGGATGATAGAGGTTGGGAGGGTGAATGTTCGGGCGGTGACCTGGAAGAAGAGGACAATGATAATCCAGAACCAAACCCAGGGACCGTTGGCTTGGCCCGGAGGAGGGATAGAGGAGGGAGCTAGTGATATGTATGGCGCAATGAAATATGCAACCGGGAAAAGAGACAGGAAGTATTGGTAGCTCTTGGCCGTGCCCAAGCGGCCGTTGATGGAAGGGTAGATGGTGAACTGGAGGAACATGCCAATCACACCCAGAATGGCGGTCGCGAATCCGACACTCTGCGGCAGCATACCGAGTCCACCAGTGAAAATGAAAGGCAGGCTGCGGACGGGGCTAGCAGGGTCATTGGCATCGTACCGAGGAGTGGACAGGAATAGGAGCCAAAGGTTGTTGAAGGCGCCCATTTGGAAGTCGAAGAAAGCCTGTGCTCCAAGTGTGCACAAGACATTCTTAGTCCAAATTCGACGGAAGGGCAGGACGCGTTGGAGGCGCACAGGCTTGTGTGCCTTTTCTTCGAGCTCGTAGCTTTCGGCGCGCTCCAATCCGCGGCTCAATAGAGGCCCGTCCTCGTCATAGTCGCGGAACGGAAGCCGTGTGTACAAGGTCGAAGAAGAGGGAACGACCGTCTTTACACTGCGCGCAAAGAGCTTCATGGCAAAGGAGCCCAGACCAGGCTTGCCCTTGCAGGATAGGAGGGTCTCTTCCAGTCCATATGCCACGAGGACAGCCGTGCAGGAGAGGAAGCAGAAGTTGGCGAACATGGGAAGCGCGTAGGGGTACTTCTCAAGCCACTGCACACCATTCTCACCTCCAAAAGATGAATTGGGACCGAAGAGACGGGGGTAGCTCTTGACGGGATCGGCGAGCATACCGCCCATGACTGCACCAGTTAGCACCACCTCGCAAGTTGTACCGATCAAGAGACTCACCTGGGCCAAACAACGAAGCCACATTGAAACCGATGGGCAGGATCAAGAAAGCGCGCGAGTGGTACTTCTTCTCCTTGACGTTCTCGGCAATCATCGTCCGAATGATACCAACCGTACCGTTGATAGCACCACCAAACGAGCGCCAGAACACAGCCTGCGCGAACGACGTCGAATAGGCAACACCCAAACATGACACAGCAGTACCAACCAGACCAACAAGCAAGACAAATTTCCGACCACCCCATTCGGCATCAGCAACCCGGCCCCAGGGAATAGCCGTCGCAAACTGGGCGGCGGTAAACGCACCCTGGAGAATGCCCGCCTGAGTCGCAACATCGGAGTCGGAGAGATTCTCGTCAAAAGACTTGAGCTGATAAAACATATAGGCCTGCAACGAGGCAATCTGCAAGAAATCAAAGACCCGACAGAGTCCCAGCAGCGCCAATTGACCCTTGTGCGGCAGCGACATCCACGTCACAGGCGTCGGCTTGATAGGCACAGCGGGTATTTCGGCTTCCTGGAGGGCCAGCACGGCGCCCTGGCTGATTGAACGACTGCGCACATGCTGGGCTTTGCGGTCACCACCCATATCCATCGAGGTGTTCCTGAGCATTGTATCATCGGCGGGATCGGAGTCGGGGGAGGAGGGGCCTTCTTCAACGCTGGCGAGGGAGTGGTTGGACTCGCGGCGGCGGCGTTGCGGATTCTCGGAGAATTCGCCGGGGACTTGGGTCAGATGGTAGCCACTCGACCAGGACGTCGTACGCGCGTGGCGGGCATTCGTCTTATGGTTCCTGGCCATGGAGGAATGTGTATGTAAGCCGGAGTAAAGCTGGGCCCCTTGTATTTTTGGAGAAGTAGAAACCGTGAAGAAGGGAGTTTAGCCTAGTTAACTGTGAACTCCAGGGCTGATCGGTAATTTACTCCTGATGACGTCCGTTGAAGGCCCACAGGGATATGGATATTCGCTTCTATTGACATCTGTCTCTATACGAAGTACAGCAATACGACTTCGGTTTTCTTTCTTTAAGATTGGGATAATTAATCAATTGTTCACCCTTCTGTTCATGAGTCCACATTTCGTATTCAAATCTATTGTACTCCGTACAGTATACCTAGATCATACACTGTGTAGACAGCTTGCGACGACATCTCCACAACAAACGAGCCCACCGTTCCCCTGACCGGTGACTCGTCAGAGTCTCGCCCGTCTGACGACGGAAGTCTTGGCACTTTTGACAGCCCAAATACCAAAATACCCCTGAACTTACAAGAAACGGGTAAAATTGAAATTTCCAACTTTATCTGCAACACCCACAGCAAATAAGCTCGAAACTTGAAACAAATACCAAACAATACACCAACAATCTCAACTCCTTCGACTTCCAAACGGTAGTCTAGAGCGGCAAAGTCCGCGCTAATACTGTTAGCGTTTCAGTCCCGATCCACTGTACACAGTCACAGTCACATTTCCCGAATACATTGGCATATACCGGCATTACTTCTATACTGTATAATGTACATTAGCGCCCGGACATTTCTCCATGTCTTAACCCTACAAGGCTCGCCAAGAGATGAGTAATGCATATGCCTAGTACAATACAAAACATGAATGCAATCTAATTGAATCCTGCGACAGCCTAGGAGGGGATCCAAATACATTAAAATGACCAATAGTGATTTATCGAGAAAGTTGATGGGTACTGTAAATGATACGTGTACTTTGTATCTTTGTTACGGGGTACAGGTTGCGGCGATCAATAATTGATTACAGTACATTATCCACTCCAGGGTTGTAACTGATACAAGATTGGTATCATTTTATCGATCTAACACAATTATCTGGAGCCCAAAACAAGGAACTAGAAATAGAACTACTGTAGACTTCTCTAACAAGTAACCAAGACGGAAATAGTAGGGAAGAAAATATCTGCACTCCGCCTCGGAATTACGTATACACACTGCGTAAGGGTCGGCTGTCGGCTTTGTGTTTATTCTCGGATTTAGGGTCTCGTAATGTATTGTGTATGAGGGAACGGGTAAGGAGAATGGGCCCCGTGGGTGGCTTCTTTGCGTGGCGCCGCGTGGGCTTCAGACTACTGTATACCTACCTTCGTGTTCCATGTGGATTCACATGCTGGGATCGACCGTGTCGAATTAACGTGTTGGCAAATTTACTGGTAAATCTGATAGAAAATAATTTAGTGACTTGTATTGTCTTGGATATATGTATGTACATGTTTGAAAACCAACCGAGACCCAGGTATAGATGCAAGTGATAACGTAACTGAAAAAAAAAGGGAATGAAAAAGTTTAACAGCGGAATCAGGAATACTGAGGTCAGTCCGCCCTCCTCTGCGAACCCCCCCCCGGAGCGGGAAATAGCGAGAAGGTTCACCCTCGGCGGTCCACCTGCGCCAATTCCACCAGGGAAGATCAGTGGCGCGGATGGGAGGTTCTTTCCGCTCAGCCATGCCATTCAATGGCTCAGAAGACTCCTGGTCCCGCAGGTGGTCGAGTTGACGTTTATGGTAATAGCGATATGCAAAGTAGATACCCGCAAAGAAGGGGATCGCCACGAGACAGACACTGCCCCAGGCGAGTAATCGTCCAAAATTCCACCGGTTCGAGTAAGTCATTGTACCTGATGAGTGTGGGTAGTTGGAGGGGTATGTCCAGATATTGGATCCGGGGTTGTCGGGGTCGATCCAGGGGACTGTGTTGACGCCAACAGGGGGTATGAATGGTCGGGCGGCTTCTTCGCCTGGGAATCCGTAGCCGGGGGCATCGAGACAGGTCGAGTCGGCGCAGAATTCACGTAGTTCGGAGGAGGGAACAAAGGTGTATTTTGTTTCGGATTTGCCCAGGATTTTGCCTTCGCTATCTATGCCTTCAACCTTGGACCAGAGGTAGAAGCTGGCATTGGTATATTCGGTTTCGAAGCCGGTTTTGTTGACCTCGTCTAGCAAGGTCCACGGTCCAGTAATGTTCATTGCTCCGTAAAATCGCCATGTCTTGACGAGGGTTGCGCCATTCCAGCTGACGTAGAAGCTTGTTGGGGAGATGGGTTCGGCGGTGCGGGAATAGGACCAGAGAGCCGGTGAGTCGGTTGGCATACCGTCCCATTCGAACTTCGTGGCGCGGTAGTTCATGACAGTATCTTTGGCGAAGGCACCCCAAAACAACAGATTGCCTGCCTCGTCATGCTCGGAAACAAATGGATTGTTGCCCCATCCAATGAATACATTTCTGTTTGGTAGCATTTGTAGGTTTCCTTGACTTGAGCTCACCAGGTCATTTCGAATGGGCGCATAATCACGCAGCTGAAGAGCCGTGTTTTCCACATGGTCGATTAAAATAATCATACCAGCCGAATGAGCATGAGTCTGGTTGTATCCATTGTAACCATTGTTGTAAAGCGAGACAACAGAGTGTGTTGCATTTTCGAATAACCATCGCGCATCGTGTTGCTGCGAGAAACTGAAGTTGATGTTCTTAAATGTCGGCTGTGCACCATGAAGCCTCCAAAGAACCGATCCGTCTTTTCCAGAGATCTTGTAAATGGCACAGGTATGTCTCGACGAGATCAAATAGTCACCATCGGCGTTCTTATCAACCGAGTTGATATGGAAGTAATCCCACGGCTCGTGCACATTCAGTCCAGTGCCGGAGGTATCCGTGTGCGAAGGCCAAGTATAACTCATTGAAGGATCAACATGATCGAGCGAGCGCCATTCAAACAAGACCTTATTAGTCTCGATATCCACTTCCTGGAACACACTCTCCATCACCCATCCGACGCCGGTCTTGACGTTCCATGGAGTCATATCAAATTGGCGTTGCTGGTAAATAGTCATCAAAGCAGTCTTGCCATCATTGATCGGACGGAATTCGTGCATGTCACTCGAAGCCATTCCTCCGCCGGGTTGCACAGATCGTACGACCCGGTACTGATTATCCATAATGATACCATGGCCCCGACAATATCCTTTCTGCTGGTTTCCCTGGAAGAAACATAGATGATCGGCGCCATTGTACTGGCACACATGGATGCCGTGCGCATTGCCGGGCCCTGAAATTCCCCAGCCACTCCATACCAACTCCTATGTCGCATGAGTCAGCTCAGTGATCTGCATCTGTCTCCGCAATTCAGGACCTACCCCTGTGGTGTCAAAAATATAAGGACCGGGATTTGACAGCTCATATGGTGTGATGAAGATATAACCTGAGCTTAGTTTATCCGACTCGGACTTTTCCACGTTGAAGACTGGAGGGTAGATATCGGGTCTCTGTGTTGAGTTTTTAGCACATGACCCGAACGTGGCAGTCAGGGGGCAACTCACGGATTTGTAAAAGGAGGTTTCTTCTCCAACCACGCGGTCAGCGCATAACCACAGGAGCAGGAGCAGGAGCAGCGAGGGGGGAGCCCTCATAGAGGACATGATAGAGGCGACCATAAATCCTCATCCCCCGGACAAATTAGAGACAAAAACGAGAGCAAAGTGGCAAGAATGTTCATGCAAGGAGGGGAAGATAAAACATAAAAGCTGAATGTCCCAAGTCCAAGCACAAAGAGTGTACGAATCCCACTCCACAATGCCTGCAGACTGTGGACAGTAAGAACTCCAGCCTGATTGGCCGATAGCAGTTTAAAGCTGATGGAAAGTGCTTAGTCAGGGGGCCCTTCAGCCAACGCGAGTCAACGCCAAGATGTCCAACTAACTTGCGGGGCTCGGTAGTTCCTGCTATTGTTTTGTTCGGTGCTATGAGTTCTCCTGCTGAACTTAGCTCTGCAATTGTTTCTTTCCGTCAATATCTGTCGATCAACTCCCACTCTCTGTTCATCCGCGTATTACCAAAACATAATACAACCCATGTCCCGACTCACAGGCCACGTCATGTCCAACTAGTCCAACACGCTAAACCAGCCCCGAACACCTTAACTCCGAGGCATACGTACCCCATCGTGAGATCGGGATCCATACCGTCAACAGCCTCAAACGCCTCAGACACTCCCAAACACTCCCAAACACTCCCAAATAAAGAGTTCCGTAACCTAGCGGACGAACGATGACCCCACTAGTCAGCCAAGACCGGATATGGAGACGGATACCCTCCGTAGCAATTACTCAATACGGACGCAAAGTTTCTTTTCCGTCTAGTGGCACCCTAAATGTAGAAACTGATGCTGTTGCAATGCGCCCGATAGAGTCTAGCCACGTGCATGTGGCTGAGAAGAAGCATCACCTCTTGCGTATGCCACAGATCTGGTGGCTTAGGCTTTGTCTGCGTGCATGTGAGTTTTGTCAGGGTGTACGTTATGGGTCTTACATTGAAGGGTTGAGCCGATATTCAATTATTGACGAGCAATTGAGCTGCCATTACTTTACAGCTGATGCGTATGTATTATCGGATTACTTCGGATGTTGAGCAACAAACCAAGAATAGTTTCCGAGGCCAAATACGTATTTACTTACTTGCATCCTTCCATGTAAATCGATGAGAGGATAGGTGCATGTAAGATAATCAATCTACAAGCTAGTTACCAATAATCATAATATTGCCAAACAATCAAAGAAAAACAAGCAAATCAACCGCAAAAGATAAGATCCCACCCCTCCACCACGCGTGGCGAACACATGTCCACACGATTGGACATACCCAAGCAATGAAAGTCTTGGCTAGATTGCAAGTATGCACCCACTTCCAAGCCGTCATCACATACGCACACATGCATATGTACATGTACACATGCACAACAGTACGTATGTCACAGCAAAATGAAGAATAGACCAAGGCGCATAATCCAGCAGACACAAATCAGTCTGGACCGTAGCCGCCATCTCCGATGATCACAGGGAACAAAGCGCGAATCTATTTTAAGTCTGGATACAGTCCCCGTAGCATATCGTGGTATTCAGTATTAAGTAGTGTAGCTGTATTGATATGCAACGTTTATTTACTCTTTATCAATTGAGAACAGGGTAGTGGAAAGAAATGTAGACTCAAATCTGGGACATATTCTAGTATCGGTGTTACATACAGTACATGCGAGGGTATCAGTGTACAGTATGGTAATACGTTCAATCCGAGCTCGCCAAGACACTAATTAGCCAAGAGACCCGAATCTCCCTCCAATAAAATGAACCACTGGTTCGTACAGTACGAGTACGAATCAATCCGCGTAGCGAGCTCCGTTGAGATTCGGGGATAGTGAAGGACATGTAATGAAAGTTTTCTAAAATCGATTATTTACTTACAGTACTCCACGTACTAACGTTGAGTGGAACCTGATTGAATTCTATCACAGATCTACAGTCAATTGTAAAGGTTCGGGAATAGAATGATTTATAAAACATTTATGAGACAAGTGATATTTTAGTTTGAAATGCCATTTTAACTCCAATGCGCCATGCCTTGCCTGGTAAAGAAACCCAGTTCTTGCCACATCCATTCAAACCAGTTTAGTCCAGAGGTGAGGGGTTCTCCAACCCCTTGCGTAACAGCAATGTAAAGATCATCCCTCAGTTCAAAAGTCGGGGGTGGATTGTCCCACAATGTCAAGCGTAGGGAGAGGAATGCAACCCCTGAGCAGTGCCCAGGTAGAGAGGATGCAAGATCAAAGAGTTCAAGAAAAAGAAATGTGAAGTAAGACAATATGTACCAAAAAATTACCAATTTGGCTCCCTGTGCTCTCCCTCCAAAAATATAGATGAGATGCCGGAGATGTGGGTATTAGAGACGTTGATAAACAGTGATCTGCTCTTTTGGAAAAGAAGACAAAAATCACATAAAACCCGACGAACCAGCGAACGCCCGCGCACACTAGCAGCCAGCACAGATAGAAAACAAGTAACGACTAACGAAGGATCATGCAAATGCATTACCTCGAAAACCGCTTGAAAGCAACAGTTGCAGCAAAGCCGGCGGCAAGCAATGAACCACCAATGGTAACCGCCTGCAAGGCAGCGTTCATCATCTGGTGACGGTTACGGGTGCTGCAACGCTTGTAGAAATCGGCCATGTCGTTGCCGCGGGGGAAAGGCGTATCGGGCATCTCCTCCTCGAGGAACTCGCACAGAGGAGCCCAGCCGTCGTTAATGTTGTATTCGAGCAGACGCTCGGGGGGAACCATGCTGCGCACTTCGGCGACGTGGTCTTCGTAGACTTGCTTGCCCTTTCCGGGGAAGTCGCCGCGGAAGAAAGTCTCGAAGAACTTGTTGAGCATGGGGTAGTACATTCCTGCGGCCCAGCTGAAGTTTGACACAAACTTGTGCTCTGGGTCTGAGACACGCCAGTAGACGGTCTTCATAACGGATCTGTTTGATTGTCAGTCTTGGCTCGGGTTGAAAGGTGTATAGGGGAACATACGCGTGCCATGGGTCAACGTCGCGGGTGGTCAGGATGACCTTGGCATTAGGGTATGCCTCAATGAGCTCCTTTGCAAAGGCGCAGGCAGGCCAGTCACAGACGGCCTGGCAGTCACCCAGCAGCTGGTCCCATTCCTTGCGGCCGAACTCGCCTTCACCCTTGTACTTTGCGTTCAGGGCATCGTGCCACATGAGGCAATCCGGCGGGTTCTCAACACTGGCGCACATCATGTGGTAGCACTTGCCATAGCCCAGACGTTCGAAGGCTTTGCGCAGAGCTGTATCGGAGTCAGTCTGGTTCCCGGATGTATACCAATACCAGATGAATACTGGTACTGGTACTGATGCTCATACTCACAGGCAGTTCCAGTTCGGCCAACACCCAGAGCTAGCACCTTCATGGGCACTGTACGGTGGCACTTCCGGCGATCAATGTTTGTGTCATCGGTAAAGACATCAGTCATAGGCTGAGGAGCCAAGTTATCGGAGAGCGCGAGAGACATGGTGAATAGCTCAATTGCAATATATCGAAGTATGGAGAAGCAAGAGCAGAAAGATAAAGAAGGGACAGACTGGAAAAGTCTAGAAGGAAGGGGGTCTTTAAGAAAGATAGATAAGGGGGAAAATCATCAACAGAATCGAAAAAAAAGAAATAAAGAAATAAAAGATATCCACATTCAGCATGTTGATGTTCTGTCAAAAGTGGCGTCTCTTACTCCGAACACTCCCCACGTAATGCACGTATTGTAAGAAGCGACGTCACAGGCTGACGCACAGGGATGTCCAGGATTGTCAGGGGAATGTGGAGTTGGTATGTAATGAACAATACCGCCCTGCCAAGCCTGTGATCCACGTATACGAAGACGTTCTGCCGTTGGCCTCCGGAACTGCCTTTGACGATCCGTGCATGAGCCAATCCTCATTGGCGCAGGGCTTAAGGGCAACGCGTATACACTGTGGAACTGTGCCACTTTGATTGCACTGGACATTGAAGGTGTTGCATCACATTCAGAAGTATCAGTTGCCATACACCTCTATATGCACATCTGCACATCGGCACATACACATATCGTCAATCAAAGCACACACCCAAAGTATACATCTAAGACAGAGAAACCAATCTGCCGAGCTCCACTGCAACCAGATTGCTCAGGGGCTCGGAGACTTGGAAACCTGGGAACTTGGGCGTGGCTCGGCAAGTGGCGTCGATAACATGGTCGAGACTCAGTAACAATTTCCAGGCGGGCTCCACCTTGCCAAGCCGCATCCAATATACAACGGATCAACACTGGAAAAAAGGTAAAAGACACCGATGCTGCGGTGCAAATGGAGTCCGCCTCTCCTGGATCGGCCGCGCACCACCTATCTCGGGCAAGACTTGCACGCATGCGGATGTGTCGTCTCGAGGGGAACCCCCATGTTTCAAGAGGGTTGAGTGGCAGACGTTGACTGGTGTCGGAAATTGTGTCTGCTTTTTTAGTCCTGGGACATGTACTGTACAGTATCCTTGTCGGTGTCCAGTGGTGCTCAGTGATCCTCAATGGTCAGCGTTAGATTGTGCTGGTCCAATACCCATGTACACAGTACGGTGAGCTGAATGATCGTCCCGTGTGAGAGATTTTTCCATTCGGGGATGGCTGCTCGTGGGCCGGATGATCTATGCCAGGGTCGTTATTCTCGAACAAGTTCTGACGGACCGAAGGTTTGGCGTGAGTTGATGTTCGTAGGCTGTGTTGTGATAAGACTATATCGGATGGCGCTGGTCCGAATACAGTCAGTAACAGAGTCATTCATGGTACTGTACATGTACGGGGACATGTACAGTAACGTTCAGCATCACTTGATGCATTGATTCATGCTGAGTATATCATAGAAATCATGAGCGCATTAAGCAGTAGGGTGAAAAAAATGGCCAAGCAAAGGGAAACCCTCCAGGGTGGCAGGGGCACAGGTTAAATGTCCAGTGCCAAGACCTCATAGTAGCACACCACCATCGTCGCAATCGATGTCAACGATCACCTCACCAAGCCTTAACCGATTAGGAAGAGCCTCAGCCGAACTCCATATGATAAACATTACATCTAATCTAAGCTTAAACGCTGCTTGGTCCATGGGGATCTTCGCCATGCAACGGCAGTGTTTATCGGCAGTTGAAGTTGCGTCTGAGGGGGGGTCAACACAGGACATATCCCGACGAGAAAAGACAGAGAGAGAATACGAGTGGAAAGCTTGGCATGACCATAGAATGAGCTATAGATTGGTCCGTGATTTCGACATTGGGGCCAAAGTGGCGGAATGACGATGTGATGTTTGATTTCGATATCCCATATCCCCTGAACTAACCCTTGGTGAAAGTGAACGTGAATATGAACTCGAGTAATAATGTTGTCCAGTGAAAGCCACAATACCCCTGAAACTCCATGCAAATGACGGTGCTGTCAACCGCAGCCTGTAGTGTTGTTGGTGCCATCAAGCCAATTCGAGTCCGAGTGATCTCGATGTCGGCCACAGTCCCCGTTCACTACTCCAATTTATCAAGATGCTCCAGCCTCGTAAGCACGACCTGCTTGCTCGTTTCTTCGATCTCGCCTGCGAGAAAGACTTCGTCCAGGATAGCGTAGACCTGTCAACGAAATTAGCTCGGCTCCCTGCACTCCACATTCGACACGCCATCTTCACACACACCTTGTAGAAATTGAACACCAAATCCAGCTCGCAGACATTGCCAAAGAATTGATCTAGCACTTCGACAAAGAAATGGATAGCCTCGAGATAGGCGAGTTCATTGTCATTGGCATCGACACAGACACAGAAGAACAATCCAGCATATCGGCGGTAGACAACCTTTGTACTTCGTCGGAATTCGACGAAATTCGACTGATACTTCTGGTCTCGGGGGGCGACAAGGCGATGAACCTAATGGTGATGAGTGTTGTTTAGCTGAAAGGCCCAACAGACTGCGATGCGCAATGCGGGTGGTGGTGGTGGTGATGGTGATGGTGATGGACGGAACGAACCTCGCCTTTCAACTTGACTTTCTCCTCATCCTGCAACGAGTATTAGCCAAGTTCACTTTCTCTCTCAATTGCTGTTATGTTCTGGCATCACTCACACTGTATGGGGCATACCACTTCGCCAGGCGCGTTTTCCCCCTATACCATCATCAGCACATTGAATCATTAAAATGAGACCTGCGGGACAGCCACTCACTGGCGATTCTGAACCAGGATAAATGAGAGAACCATTTTGGTGTTAAGCCAGGGTGTTACCTGGTCTGCATTCGTAAAACCACTCGGGGAGAGTGCTGCGACAAGCTTTGGTGGTTTCTCCGCTGCTCCCGTTATCGAAGCTCCCCTCAACCCCATATTGCCATTCTTCACCGCCTACAGATTTGATCTTATCCTCGAGCACTCTACTAAGGAAGTGGAGAGTCGGAATTCGCTGATTTATTTAACATGTGGATTTGTTATTCAATTGGATGGACAGGTTCAAATATATGGAATAGAAAGTGGCTAATACAGTATTTTCACAAGATAAGAGTATCAGACATAAGGCGTAGAATTCGTTAAGCTCCAATCCCGAGGCACAGCCTTGCAGGTAGGCATGAGGATGGATGAGAGATGATTTAGTGGTGTTCCCCGAGGCTCAAAAGGCGCACTCACTACCCAGAGCTCATTCGGTTGAAGAATCTCGTCAATCGAGCCTATAGACAACGTTAGCACGAGAACACACATTCCAGACATGCCCACGCATAGACAACAAAAATCAATCCAGACTCGGATTTCAACATACCGTCACACTCTGCGGACTAGAAGGCTCCGTGGGATTCTCCCCATGCCCATGCCCGTTCCCATTCCCGTTGCCACGCCCATCTCCTTCATCATCCTCATCCTCGTCCTCATAATCCTCATCTTCACTCTCCGACTCCGGAAACCACCTCTCCGGATCCCCGTTGTAAACCAAATACCACCCAATCTTCTCACCAGGCGCAAGCCGATCCCTCAAGGTCTCCAGCGCAGCAGTCTCCTCATCCGTAAGACCAGACCCCTGCTCGACAACATCCTCGATATTCTGTCCACCGGTCGAAGTGGCTCCATCCCCGCCGTCGGGAATCGTCAGCACGCGCGCACCGACATACGCATAATCTTGACTGACAGTCCCGCTTGTCTCGTCGGCTGGATCGTACTGCTCGATAAATTGCAGCTCGGGCAGGCGGGGCAGGATATCTGGGTTCGTTTTGTTGAAAGATTCCACGATGAGAGATGTTGTAAGGGGTTGTTGGATGTATTCTGCGGCTGCTTCTTCTAGGTTGTGGAGGACGATGTAGACTCGTATTCCAGTGAAGCCTGCGCGTGGCCAGCGGAAGCCGTGGAGCATGTATACTGGCATGGTGGGTTTGCTCTCTCTCTCTCCTGCGGACTTTTTTTTGGTGAGATCTTGGGGGGTTGGAATGGCTTGCGCGTGGCAGAGTGCCTAAGTTAGGTCGCGTCTTGGTAAGTTGAGGTGTCGGTTCATATTGTGGAGGGCGGTGATCGATCGTTTTTGCTGGGGTTTCCCGTTCCCGTTTCAACGGTCCCCGTTCGGCGTTTTGACACTTTGGTAGGGGGGTTTTTTTTTCCTTGTCAAGGTTTTATTATTAGAGTCTACAGTATGCAAGCGACTGCTTCCATCACGTGGGGACTTGGTGCATATACCTTGTCTGCAAGTTCCTCATTTGGGGTAACTTAGATCTTGCTTTGGGGTAATCGGGAGTTGATCGCTATATCTCGATCTATAGGTTGGCTGCATAGCAAGGTGCATCACCCGACGCTTACAGTTGCTTTACTAGCCAGGTGTTCGTTCATACAGTACTATATACAGAGTGGTACGGAGAATCAGGCCAGTTTACAATTAGCAACAGATAAATTTGAACCGTCAATTCATAAATGTGATCTATCATGCGAGCAGTGACCAATTCAATCCAGATCACAAATTCCCCCTGAAGAGGATTTGACAATAGCCGCAACAGCCAGACGATCTTTGTGTCAAGCCCACTATTCATGGAATAGCTTAATTGACAGACCCAACTCAAGGCCGTCGTTTCAAATCAGCAAATCTCCGAGTCAATTCATCGAGCTCTGGTATCCCGTTGTTACTCTTGCTCTTGGAGGCAGCCCCATTGCCTTCTTTCGAGACGCCTGAATCTTTCCCTTCTGTCCCGGGTACTTTGACTCGAGGATTGGGGTTGTCCGTTCTGGGAGCCGGCGGCGCAACACTAACAGGACTCCGACCTGCAGCAAGCCCACGCGGGGGTGTAGCTTTGGTCAATTCACTAGCATCAGAAGCTCGTCTCGTTTCAGAATTTGGCCTTGAGTCATCCTGCTTGCTGGAAGTTTGCGGGATTTCGATTTCATCGCCGTCGTCTCCCCTAACATCGTCCACAAACTCCGGCGCGTCCCCAAGCTCATTACCACCCCATTCAACCCCATATGCCTTTGCAATCTCTCTCAAATAAAGCTCAACAAGCTCCTGACCAGGCGGACGAACACGCAATCCCTTAAGTAGGCGATCAGGTACCTTGACGGTATCAATCTTGTTATCCTGCGCCAGAGTCATGAATTCTTTTCCGTAACGCTCACCCAACATGGTGCGAAGCATAGTAAGCTCACGCAACTCATGAGGGAACCGATGCCAAGCATAAAAGATGACAACAGCGGCCTCATCAAGTGCAGTGTCCATATAAGGAATCTCCTCATCCGTGGCAGAAGCATCACCAGAGTCTTCTGCAGCCCCTGCCGCCGTGATCGGCGTGCCCGACCGCTCAGCCTCCTTCTTCTGAGCACCACCGCCCAACCATCCAAATCCAAAGCGCGAGCCAGAGCTCTCGCTCTTAGCCGCCGGCGCGGTACCGGTCTGAGCCTGAGTGCGCTGCTTGAGCAGCTCTTTCGCGCGGATGCGGGAGCGGTTGCCTTGGTCGCCGAAGGCTAGCTGGTCGAGGACGTTCGCGCGTGCCAGCAGGAGCTCGCAGTATAGCTCGACCATCTCCATTACCTCCACGGCGACGTCTGTTGCGATGACATTCTCGACGCGGATGCGCGCGGAGGCTTCACGGCCTTCGCTGAGGAGTTGGGAGAGTTCGCGACGTTGGACGACTGATGAGGCCGTGTCTTTCTTTTGAACAAGGCGGAGGCGGGGGATGAGGAGACGGAGGGTGGATACTAATCTAGTCTGTTCCATATTAATTGTGTTTCTGGTATGTTTGGGTGCAAGGTGAGGACATGTTATGGTGATGCGGTGATGCGGTGATGCGGGGTAGTCTTGAAGCTTTAGGCAGCGAGGTTTGGGAAGTATCATCGAGATCAGAGAGGGCAGATGCAAGGCAAGACAGAGTCAGAGTATTCAGAGCTGAAGAGCTTACCGTTTGCGCTGAGGGAGGCATGGTGTGTGTTGAAGAGGGAAGTCAAGCGGGGAGAGTCTCCAAGGTTGGGGTTAACGTTACCCACTCTCTTTTATACAGCCAAGTCCAAGTCGAATCTCGCTTTTTCCCCTTTGCTTCTCTGGATTGTACTCTTCACTTGTGAGATTGGTTATTGTATCGGTATCTGCACTCAACTACAGCCAATGGAAGTGGTCTTGTTACTTTCGCAGCCCACCTGATCTTCAAGTCAACTGTCATTGTCTTATTATTCCAACCCATCAAGCGATCGAAATGTCCGGTAAAGGATGTTGGCCTTCATGCTGGCCTTCATAAGTAAATATGAATTGCCCCGCCCGCTCAGTCAGCAACCCGTTATCTCCAGCTCCAACCACACTTGGGCAACTCGTATGCGCTTCTCCCTCATGTCACATCCAAATGGAGGTATGCGACCCATGCTGGACATGTCGCAACCGGCGCATTCAATGCGACCAGTCCGGCACACCATGCGCCAAGTGCGAGAAAGCGGGACTAGAATGCTTCGATAAACGCCCGTTCAGATGGGTGAAAGGTGTGGCAATTCGCGGCAAGATGCAAGGCCGCTCATTTGAGGGTAAAGCAGGAGACTCGTCTTCTGCTTTGAAGCCTGTACGGTCACCAGTCAAGAAACCTCGCACGCCGGTCAGTGGCGAAACCCTGCATAGTGCATTACAAGACCCATCTACATCGCACTTAGATCACGTTTCAAAGTATTACATAGATTATTGTGAGTCTAGATGCGAAGCGCAAGAGAACAAGCATACTGACAAGATGTCAGATAACGAACGAATATGCAAGTTATTCATTGTCTACGACAGCGACAAAAACCCACTCCGGAGTCTGATCCCTTACGGAATGAAAGAGCCAATCTTACAAAAGGCCATTCTTGCTCTGGCGGCGCGGCACCACGTCAACTCAGGGCAGCCGTTTCATCAACTTCAAGCGCCGACCTCTCCTGATCTCATCAATGCTAATCGAGACGCACTGCTTTTCAAGCATCAAGCTATGGAAGCTCTATCCCGGGCCCTAGGCAATGCAAATTCAGACTCATCCAAAAAGGATACTACTGTTGCTAGTATCTTTCTGCTCATATTTTTGGATCTTTTGGAGTCTGGGAGTGATGGCTGGAACTTTCATCTCGAGGGTGCTAAGAGCTTGATTTCTTCTCGGCGATTGATGGGGGACACTGGTATCAACGATGGGCCTGGTCAGACCATTCAAGAGATTCGAGGTTTTATTGCTAAGCAAATACACCTGTGGGGTTTCCTTCATACTTGATGTTCACTGCTGGCTGAAGTGTGACTGACTGAATACAGGATTGAGACTCTGGGAGCAACCTTCCTACGACCCAAGCTACTATCCGAATTCATTTCCGCTGACGAAGAAGACGCCCAGTCCCAAGAAGCCATCGAGAAATCTTTTCTTGGGTGCCCGGAATACTTGTTGAAAGCGATACAATTCCTCTCGAATGAACGAGATACTATCGCAGCATCGAAGCTCGATCAAGCCGCCATCCAAACACATATTCAAGATACAACAGCCATGCTGTCTCTTATCCAGAATTTTGACTGTTACGCTTGGGTCTCAAGCCTTCAAACTTCCAGCCAATCAACCCCAAACAAAATAAGCAACCTCTGCACCCTATCGCAAGCATACAAGATCGGGGCTTCGATATATGGTAGACGAGTCCTGGATGCCCTCACAGACGATGTCACCTTACAAGATGACTTGTTGTCGGAGCTATTGGGTCTTATTGATGCATTGAAAGAGGACGAGGCCCTCTTCAAGTGTATTCTATGGGCTATCTTCGTCGCGGGTCTGGAATGTCGCACTCAAGCACAAAGGGATTTCCTTGTTGAATGTTTAGAGAAGTTTTGGGTGGCGACTAGTTGTTTGAATGTCGTTAATGCGGCGAATATCTTACGGGATTACTGGCAGCAAGAGGATAAATTGGAGGTTTCTTCGCGGTGGATCTTCGACATTGGACGGTTAGGTCGGGACTGGCTTCTGATATAACTTTGTAAACATGCCAATGGCATAATCATGTCAAAAGCGACTTGAATGCTTTCAGCAAATCCTCCTTCAAGTCCTCCCAGTTCTCCAAGCCAACACTGATCCTCAATAACTTCCGATCAACCTTTGAATCCGACAAAGCCCTCCACTCAATCAAAGACTCAACACCCCCCAGACTAGTAGCATGCTGAAAGAAACACAGCCTAGTCGGCAAAACCTTCGCAAACTCCTCCCGATGCAAAACAATCGAGAACACAGGTCCGAACCCATTAGGCATCTGCCTCTGCAACCACTCTCCATCCTGCAAACTAGCGTGATAAACCGTCTTGACAACCGACTGAACAACCGCCTCCTCACTACCTTCAGCGGGAGACTGCATCGACATAGCACCATTCATCCACGAAATCAACTTCGCAGAATTAGCACTCGCCCGCTGCACACGCACCTCCAACGTCCTCAAACTTCTCGTCCCAAGCCAACTCTCCATACTCCCCATAACCGAGCCCAGCGCAATACGATCCTCAAACAACCTCTTCGCCCAATCACCCCGCCTAACAGCAAGAACCCCACAAAGCAAATCACTATGGCCTCCAAAATACTTCGACCCAGAATGCATAACAACATCCGCGCCCCAAAGGAACGGATCCTGCAAACCAGGCGGGGCAAAAGTACTATCAACAACGAGGAACGCGCCACGACCATGCGCTTTCTGTGCATAGGCTTCGATACTGAACGCCGTGCCGAGCGGGTTCACCGGCGTCTCGAGGAGGATGACGTCGCCGGCGGAGAGATCCTCGGCGGAGCAATCCAGTGGGAGCTTCTGGAGTCCTGATAGACGGGATATCACAGATATCACTTCATGGCTGCCGTGGTAACCATCACCCACTGAGATCCGGCGTGGGTTTAGGAGGGTCAGAGCTGCGTGGAGGGCTGCTAGACCTGTCGAGTAGCTTATTGCTTGACCTCCTAATAGCGATGTAAGGATCGCTTCGAAGCGGGTTGAGTTAGGGGCAAATTCGCGGGAATAGACGAAGTTTTTGCCGTTGAATTCGTCCTGAGATTGTCAGTTTCATTTGGGTTGACTGGTTGATGGTGATGTCTTTGATGCGTACCACTGGGTCTTCGGAGGGAATGAATTGGTCTGGGTCATTGGGATATCTGAAGATTGTTGACAGATGGATCGGAGGTGCAACATCTGTTACTAGATTCAAGGCATCGTCTGCATGCAATGCTCTGGTTGAAGGGTGGCTGTTATGCATCGGTGCCATTTTGTCTGTCTTGGGGAGATATCGAGAAGGGTGAAGAAGTTTTAAATCTCTGCTTTTATATTCTTTTGACAGAGATTCTTTCTCCACCTCTATCAAGTTCCCAAAAGGGCGTCCAATTAGACTTACAACGAAGTTGGCTTTGATGCTGAATGGTGGCAAGCCAGAGCCCCACTCCCGTCAACTTCCGGAACAGGAAAGGCTTAGGTGTATAGAGGACGACATGTCATCCTCTTTTTCTAATTTGCCATTTTCTGTATCAAATATAATGTGTTTTGTCAAAGGAAGAGTAGAAAAAGGCTGGTAGTGGCGTATCCAGGGCCCTGGTGAGGTATTGATAATCTCGTCATGAAAATATTCCAGCAAGTATACCGATTATGCATTGTTTTGACCTCTGATCCGTATTCGCTCATTTTTGCCTATTTTTGCCCATTTTGCCCATTTTGCCCATTTTACTAATTCGAGTGTATGTTAATTCTATTGCTGGTAATTGGGGGTCAAATTTGTCAGTCATGCATGCTAGAGGCGTTAAAGGAGTTGTGGCAGACTGTACCATCCAAGGCAGACGTTCGTTTTTCGCAGCAGCGGTAGACATGGGTTGGGAAGCTAGCAGGAGGACTTCAATCAGTAAGTGGTTGTGGAAAGCGAGTATCCTCTCTGATGAAGTTGGGACTGTTTGGGGAAGGACGAGAAGAGGATATCGAATCTGGGCTGGGTTAACCGTATGGGTTGTGAGGGGTGTTCCAGTCTCAGTCAGGAGCTAGGAGGAAGGGCTATGGCAAGTTCAAGAAAGGTAGATTGAGATTAGATCAAAAAGATGGATTAGATGCTAAATCAGTGGAGTTGTTTGCCCCCCTGGACTGCCCGTTTGGGTGGACGTGTCAATTTCGCGACGTTTTCTCATTTCTTGGTGGGAGAAAATAAGGTTTTGACTAAGACACGCGTGTTGGGACTTGGAAGACGCGTCCAAGTGATTGATAAGGATTTAAGGTATTTGCCTGGTTTGTCGTGGCCACGTGTGTTCCTGCCTCTTCAGTGCCGTGCTTGCCTCGGAGTTCAGGCCCTTTGTTTGCCCTGTCTCGGTCCAGAGGAGGCTGACTGTTCAGTCTACTCGGATATCTTCCTCTCTCTCCCTCCTCTCTCTCCCTCCTCTCTCTCCCTCCTCGCCTCTTCTCCTTCTCTCTGTGTATTTATACGTTCCTCTCTCCTCTCGTGGGTGTCCCTTGTATACCAGTGGCCATCTGTACTGTGTAGGAATAATATATAAGTAGTTAGTTTATAAAAGACAATCTCCGTACAATATTTCCTGTGCCTATTTCATATAAGTAGTTACGGCATGCTTGCAACAGGTAGCTTCTTGGTGTATACCGAATCCAGAAATGGTCAGACCATTAACAGAGGTTCTAGATCCCATCCAAGCCATGTTTACATGATTTTATATACAAGTAAATTATCTCAATTTCATAAATTGAGAAGCTAAATCCGCAGGTCTGTCAATCTCAGCTTGGAGATACCGACTGATCTGTGGGTTGAGTCTTCCACTGTAGAATCTATTCTCACTGGCAGTAAATTTAATGCAGTAAGCATATAAGTCCGACAAATGAGCATTCAATGGCGAGACTTGCAGCCCTGAGTCCTACTGCAGAGCACACCAAAACGTTCATGGTAGCGAGGTCCCAAACGGCGGCAGTGGGTCATCTCGGCATGAAGAAGACGAGTACCATTGATTCAAGACCATACAAACCCCGAGTCAGATGAGACAAAAACAAAGCCGAGCGAATAAGCTGACATGCACGGATCAATCCTAGATTTAGTGTCTACAACAAGGGCCCAAGACCCAGAGCAAAAAAACACACATCCAATGAGAACCAAAAGAACCCGAGCAGACCAATAAGGAAGCAGTTCATGTATCCCACCAGATCTGGCACTTGAGCCGAAGAGTGGTCCAAACAGAAAAGAAATTGAGACTCAGCAGTCACATTAGTATATTTAGAACATTTAGGTCAACCCTAAGCGGCCGACCCACTGTCAATTGCGCATTCTCATTGGTCTGCTCGGTTTATGATATCATAGGCGTGAGATTTCGGTGCCGCCATGCCTATTTGGGAATAAAGTCAACTGTATGGTTCATTTTAGTATTTGCGATGCGTTTCAGTATCTGTGGTTGTTGTAGGGGAATATGTAGCGGGTGTCTTATCCTTCTTCTGTCCCTCTATTTAGAGGGCTGGGTTCGCTCTTTCATGGTCTGTTGTATATCATCACTGTCTTTACCAATCGCCTTGGCTTCTTTTCTTTCTTTTTTGGCATTCATCTATATCCGAGGTAAGAAAAGACTTTGATACTGGATCCATAACTGGACCTGCATATCTCTCTATTCCAGTCTTACACTACTTCTTTGCTCTGGGCAATCACTAACAAAAGCCTATCTTCTACAGATCTATCTCTATCTCCTCAAACCACCAATATGCCTGCTATCCCACCAACAATGGATACCACATCAGCAACCACGTTAGACGTTACAACATCACTCCTAAAGCGTGGCTCTCTCAGCGATCCCTCCAAGTACCCCCTCTGGGTGTTCCTCATTATCATCGGCTGCATCGTGGGTGGTCTCATCGGCTTCAGCGTGTGGACTATGTACCACGGACTAGATGATACCAATGCATTCAAAGATGTACCCTTTGAGCAAAAGAAATACATGCGCGAGTCCCGACAGCGTAATTTGAATGCTTTGGCTGTTGAGGCTAGGAGGCCTGAAATGATTATTCCGATTGATCAGATGAATTGGTAATTTGGGATTTGACTGGGAACGGAAATATGATGCACTACTTTGGGGGAATTTTGCATTGATCTGGGCGTTATCTTATGGCTTTATGGATTGTATACAAGATGGCTAGTTGGTTAGCTAGCTCCGAGAATTAACATTATACATAAACAGTATGTTATTACTGTCGCTCTACTGTACTGTACACTTTAACGAGGCTCATGCATCAGCCTCACGCCTAGCGCATTATATCATGCATATAACAGTCAGAAGCATGACTTTTACTATAGTCATAATGATGATAATGTCCAATCAAGATCATGCTATCTAGTCAGGATCATGGTGCGCGGTCAAGATCACAACGTTTCGCTTATTTCCTATACCCCTGAGTTGATCTCAGGATCACGACGCAAAATCAATGCTGTTGAGACTCGATCCTATACTCATAATGAATGAAACAATCATTGGCCTGGAAAAAAAGTCTCAAACGAACATTTCTTTGACATTCCCGGCCATTCTATCTTTTCTATTTCAAGTCTTTCTTTGCCTTCCTTCTTATCGTGATATTGACTCGTATATACTTTGCCGAACGCACTAGGCATGATGTTAAGGCATAGGCAGAATTAGGATATAAAATGTTAAAAATGTACAGAATAGTCCACGGTCACTGTAAATGCTTTATTTAATAAACCATTCGAAGGACAAGATTTGATTGATTGTTCAATTAGAGGCAGCGAACTGCTGGCCCAAGTAGAAGAGAAGGTAATCAGTGAAAGAGCGATGTATAATATACAAGGATTTAGAATCCAAGTCCTAGCAGCGAAAATCACAAGGTTTCACGGGGAAAAGAAGCTGTTTTTTCTTATATTCAACAAACATTATCCACCAGCTTGACCGAGACAGGCCACCAACTGTGAAAACAAAACCCCAATGCATATCAGAAGCAGAAAAAGGGATATCCAAGAGGAAAGAAAATAATAACAGTGCTGGAGAGCCAAGGGATATATAAGTCATGAAGCGGGAAGTAAAAAAGGCCAACGTTGAGCGTCGTCAAGAAAGGGCATCCAGGGGATGTAAAGAACCGTAAAAGGGGGAGGATTATGTAGAAGCGAAATTAAAAAAAAATGTGATGAGAAATGAAGAAAATGCCGATGTAGTGACCGGGCTGATCACCGCAGCAGACAAAATTGCTGAAAGGATGCCCTGGGGTGTTTTCTGTACACACTCTTGTACACGGATTGGTGATCATGTACAGCAAATGCAACTAAAGCAGCCAGTTGAGGCTGATTTAGAAGTTCACGGCCAAGGCAGCGACAGTACCAAAGGCCAGGGTCAGAACCGAGACAGCAGCACTGGCGGCACCATTGGCACCAGCGGAAGAGGATGCAGCGGCGGCAGCGGTGGTCGAGGAGGCCATGGCAATTTCAGCAGAGCCAGTGAGAACGTGGGGCTGGTAGGTGTAGCTCAGAGAGCCGGTCGACTTAGGCAGGCTAGTGCTGGAGGCGGCGCTAGACATGGGGGTCATTGTGGAGCTAGCACTGACGGTTGATGTGGAGCTAGAAGTGGGGGTGGAGGTCGGAGTCTCGGTCGACGAGGGAGTGGGAGTAGGGGTAGAGGTGGGGGTAGGAGTGCTGGTAGGAGTCTCGGTCGAGGAGCTGGTGCTGATGCTGGTGCTGGTGCTAGTCGGGGTGGGAGTAGGGGTAGAAGTGCTGGTGCTAGTAGGAGTGGCGGTGCTGGTGGGAACCGAGATGGTTTCGGACTCAGTGCTAGCGCTGCTACCGCTACCCTCCTTCTCGAAGACGACGATGTGGGCGGTCTCGCCCTTGGGGACGGTAACAACACAGCCGGTAGCGCCGCCGGCGCCGGTGAAGGGAGTACCGATCATCTCATTGACGGAGTTGACAGCGGGGTCGATCTTGCAGGGCAGGCCGTTGCAACCATCACCCTCGCACACAATCTCGATACCGAAGTCAGGCTTGACGTCGCGGAAGGGAGTAGTGGGCTCCAGATAAATGGGGTTCCAGCCGATCTTCAAGTAAGTGTTACCGGAGGCATCAGTGTTGGCACCAGCGGTATACGGAGACCAGTTGCCGACGGGGTTCGCGGAAGTACCCCAGATGCAACCCTCCTCGGCAGAGACACCGGGGGCGTTGATATAGTATTGGGCAGCAGTAGAGCACCAGTAGGACATGCCAGGCACAGCCAGATCTTCGAGCTCTTCAACCATGGTCGGGATAAGCATGGCTTCGTTTCCGGGCAACACAGTCTGACAGAAAGACACGGCCTTGCCAGCCTTGTTGTGAGCTTTCACAGCTCCCTTGGAATCCTCACAGTAGTCACGCTCAGGGAATGGCTTCTGAATCTCTCCGCTCTCGTCACAGTACAGACCACCATTCTAAGTCCGGTTAGCTATGGCTTCATTACCGAGGCAGCAATTGATATTTACCATTGACATGGGGTAGGAGTAGGAGGTAGCCTTGGGATCCCACTGCATAGAAACCTGACCAGGGGGGCAGGCATAGGGGCAGTAGTTTCCAGGCTTGCAGGGTTGGTTAGGGCTCATAGCCCAACCGGCATTCTGCTCATTCGGGGTGACAGAAATCAGGCCAGCATCAGTGGGAAACTGACACTTTCCGCTCTTCTTTTCCAGGGTAACATCACGGCTATGGGCATGGCTGTGACCATGGCCATGTTTGGCAGCTTCAGCGCTCGCGATGAGAGCGATGAGCGCGGCGGCGCGGGAAGATGTGACCTCGAACTTCATTGTGTCAGGGGGAAAGACTGGATTTGAATCGATCAAATAAAAGAGTGTATAAAGCGAATGGCTAAGTCAAACGAGTGACAGAATATACGGCCGACGGGCCAAGGGACAACAATGCTCGCAGAGATGATGGTCAAGGGAAAGGAAAGTGTATGGGGGAGGAGCACCAAGAAAAGGGACACGGCCTGTGCAAGCTTGGAAAAGGACCCCGGCCGGCTACTCAGACGACCAAGACCATGAGTGACGGTGCTAACCTCAAAGAGTGATAGATCTGGAATGATATGCACGCATTTCCGGTACAGTCAGAAAGCTAACTTCTTCACTTTGGACGGAACAGACCCTGAGTGGCCCTGGTGTCGCGAACTTGCGGATTGAACCCATAATTGCCCATAATTGCTTGCCCCAAACAGGACTCATGCGCGGTGCCTTGGACCCCCAAAGTGCTGTGCCCCTGAGCAAACTCCACTAGTGGTCAGCCATATGGGGCCGCTAGGTGTTTAGCGTCAGGGGCGGCGCCAGATTGCAGCCAATGATAGAGAATTATACCCCGATGGTTCCTGCTTGGCAAGTGGAGAGAAGCCAATAAGCTTGGTGTAAATGAGGACCCACGGCGTGTTATCTAGCGAACTCTTTCAACGGTGTGGTCCTGGAGTTGAAGAAAGAGGCAAGGAGAGACATGATAGGAGTTGAGATCAATTGTTTCAAATCACATGACATCACAAACCCGAAAACTGGACTGTAATTGTGGGAAACACAAAATTGGACTACCTTGACTGTCGCGACAAACGGAGAGAGAAAAACCACTTAATGGAGCGGATTGCAGTCATAACCACGGGCAACTCCCGGCAGAGCAAGCAAAAGGAGCGACTCCACATAAATTGAGTTACTGCACAGGGGAAGTCATTAGCCCTAAAATTGTCCACGGGACGGCTAAGCTGATCAACTGTCAATCCCAATCAAATTCACCATGCTGTTCTGGTCTGGACCGGTTGATCAAATTACAATCCTGCTTTCTTGTTGAACCCAGCCAATGGCACCGTTTATAGGGGGATCTCGGAGTCTTTCTTTGACAAGCGCGGGACCATATGGCCAAGAGATTCGACCGTTGGATGACGATCTCTGAATGCCAACATGCTATTGTGGGGGTCACTGCATGGTTCTACGAGGCTTGATTTTGATGTGGCAGCAAAGCGTTTGGAATGTTGACTTTCTAGTACCGATGATAAGGGATATACACTGAGCTGGACATCCAATCTCTAATTGGTTTAGCTTCATGTGGGTGATCAAATAACATTAAAGTTGCTTTTCGACTAATGCATGAGGTTTAGTCATTTGAACCTCTTCAATGACTTATCATGTGAAAAATTGAATGCTGTGCGTAACGTGCACAAGGTAAGAGAATTGAATTTGAGCCCTGCTTTTCTTTTTTGAAACAAATTGTTTTCACTGTGGAGGTGAACAATTTGAGGTAGGTGAGCAGATCAGGTGCTTTGTGTGAGTCCCAGAGTCAAAGTGGATAGGGTTCAAGAAGGCAGCATTTCCTAGACCTAAACCATAGTTCTACGGTCTCGAGCACATGGTATTCTGGACATTCTTGATCAATGAGTTGTTATTTGGATGCTTGAATGCTTCGAGGCTAACGTGTGTGGGCACTTCCTCTTTATGTACTTCTCGTTGTGTTTTGCTACCCAGGGACCTTGGAGATTTCAAGAATAGCCGTTCAAAGGAATGATGACAAGCACCAGGATATGAAGTTCATCCTAGCTCTAAACTGGAAACAAAATTTTCTGTTCCATGATTTACCTTAAATGATGATTCTTCGTCATAGCCAAATCTCACAGGCAGATCCCTAGAGACACCTTTCAATTCCGCTTCTTCCACCGCCAGCCAAGGGTTTGACGCCAAGGGCTGCCAGTCATTTTCCGCCGTGGAGTCTTGGCATTTCCCCGGGTCGACTTTGATATTAATCTAAGTTTAATTAGTTATGATTAAATGTGGATTATCTAAACGTTCATCTTTCTGAATATCATCATCGTTTTCTTAAAGGGGTATGCAATTTGTTCACACTGTCAAATTCTCAGATAATTAATCAGCACAGCTCAGCCCCAGGCTAAGCAGGCAGCTGAATACAAAAATTGGGGGCCAAAACCAAAACAAAGCTACGAGTATCAATTGAAGCAGGAGAATAAATGCTACCTGCCGAAAACGATCCGCCTGATCAACCTGCCCGACGCGGCCCCATCAGAGATTCGCACTTGAGTCTAAGATAAGCATGAACTCTCAAGAATTGTCTCTATAACTACGCTCGGTCTCACAAAGTGGAGGCCATAAGCCATGCCTCCAATGTCCAAAACCTGCCAGAGCTGCGCAGATTCCAAGGTGCGATGTGTCCGCACTGTGAACGCAACGGGCGCATGTAACCGGTACGACGCAGAAATCTTATGAGAAAAACACCAAGACTTATATGTCAATGCTAGATGTCTCCGCCTGGGTCGAGAATGTCTCTTTCGCCAAACCGGTCGTCGATTCAATGGCTTCCAAAAGGATCGGTGAGCAGCTTTTATATGATAATCGACGACAGCATCACTCATTCCCTTTTTTTTTCATTTTAGCAAGATCAAGGCGCTCGAATCAAAGATAACCGAATTGATGGCCGATCGCACCGCGCCAGTAGTAGAGAATGAGACCAACTTACACATCCTCAGCACAATAGCAACAGATGGCAATATTACAGCTGAAGACATCATCGGAGGAGGTATCTTGACAATAGAGACAGCCGAGAGCTATCTACAAAATTTCAAGACCAAAATGACCCCGAACTTTCCATTCGTCGTGGTGGCCCCTTCAATATCTATCATGCAACTCCACCAAGAAAAGCCATTCCTATGCCTGACAATCCTTGCGTCAGCTGCATATGATAACATGCCCTTACAACGGGCGCTAGGGGAAGAAATCAAGAAGTTCATTGCTTCACGCATGCTATTAAACGGCAAAGTCTCTTTTGACTTGCTGCAAGGGTTACTAGTCTTTCTCGCCTGGTGAGTCTCCACTTGACCAAGAGATTTAATTTGTGGGGGAGATGCGTCTGACATTATCTGACAGGTCGCATTATTACTCGCGTCCACACCGTTATACACAATTTCTCCAGTTGGCTCTTAGCCTCATTGTTGATCTGCGGTTGGATCGACCGCCACAAACGAGAGTGTGGAAGACAGGTTTGCGCTTTGGGCTGAAGTACAATATGGATGAGCAGTTGTTGGACCGTCCTCACTGGGGGAGTGATGAGCAGAGAGCTGTTCTGGGCTGTTATTATCTATCATCATCGTGAGTTTGACTTGGTTGTTTCTTCGGATTTGGCTGATGTTTCTTAAGGATCGCAGTACTTGTGCAGAAACATTCGACTTTTGCACATATGCCATATCTGGAAGAGTGTTGCAGGTCTCTCTCCCAAGGTAACGAGTATCAGCATGACGAATATATTAGTTATATCATTCGGCTGCAGTTCATCGCAGAAAAGATCGACTCTTTCTCTGCAAAGCATGGGATTGAGTTAGATCATCCTGGCTCGGGGTCAGAGCTCTATATCATGAATCTCAAATCAGAACTAGAGGGGTTTTATCGTCAACTTCCTTTCAATGTCGATGAAAACTGTGCGTTTAAGCAATTCCATATACAAGAAACAGGCACAATGCTAAGCTCATTATAGCTCTTCTGGCTACCCAATACCATGCAACCGGACTAAGTCTATACCAAGTGTGTCTCACCAACGCAAAACAAACCCTCCGGCCTGACTATGCATCTCCTACCTGGCGCATTGATATGAGTCTTGCAGCGCAGATCTCAGCCAATGCGATTCTGGCCCAATACATCCTTCTTCCTCCAGGCGAGGAACTTGGATTTAACAATACGCAGTGGGTACAGATGGCGTTTGCTTTGCTGGTTTCATACCGATATTCTGCGATTGATTCCAAACCAGAGCAAAAGTCTGCCTTTGTTCATACTTTGTCACAGATTCAATTGAGGTTAGGAGCACTATCTACTCCACGTGTAGACTTGAAAGGTGCTCGAGATGTTTTCTTTCATTTTAGAAGCCGTGTGGTTCGGATTGAGAGCTGGTTGGGCAATAGTAGCAAGGAGGAGTCAAGCACCGCAGATGATGAGGGCCTTCGCATTTTTGAAGATCTCAACACTATGTCAAATCCCGAGGCTGCTCAGTTTGAGCGTATCATGGAAGACATGGGAGACGTCGGTGATCCTCTTGGGGACTTCTTCTCTCCTTTTGTGGATGAATGGCAGAGCTTTCAGGATCATTATTTTTCGTCCTTCTAGGGGGTTATGGGTGCCTAGTAGCAAAACAAATCGAGGATCCATTCTATCTTGCTCATGTATCTCAGCTAACGTTAACTGAGACAGCTCGTTTTGTGATCGAGTACCAGGCTCTCTGGAATATTATAAACATGTGAAAGTCGAAAATCAAATTATGCAATATTTGAAGAGATCTAACAGCCATGTGGATTATATGTCTGGTGTTAAGTTATCACCGAGCCGACGTATACACGTACGCGCCAAGACGATCTATATCCCCGACCCGATTTGTGACATAAAAGCAAGGTATCGTCCAAGAAATGTCTGGATCATGACTGACAAATATTGAAAATGACTCTTTCAATCCTCTTGATCTCATTTTTCATTTCGTTCATCTCCCCAATACTCTGCTTCACATCCTGTCCACTCCTCGGTCCAGCATTCCCCTCATTCACTTTAAATACAACCGATAGCACAATCTCAGCAGCACTGAAAAAGCTCACTCGGGGGTTTGATACTTTGGTCAACACTACAACGGGCACTCATGGGGATATCTCGCCAAATACAACATTCAGTATCACTTTATTCTCGTCCGACAATGGGAACGCCAAAGATGAGCCATTCTTCTGGCAGTATCACCACACAGCACCTGCCTTGCAAGAATCTTCACATGAATCCCAGACTGCATATCAGAATAGCATCTATCGGATAGGTGGTCTGACAGAGGTGTTCACCGTGTGGTGTCTTCTTATTGCTGAAGATGGAGGTCGGATCTTTAATGATCCAGTCACAAAGTATCTTCCAGAGCTACTTGATGCAACAAGTGATCAAGACTCAATTGAGCACGTTCGATGGGGAGATGTCACTATTGGCCAGCTTGCTAGTCATATGTCTGGCATTGCTCGTGACTGTAAGTGTTTGAATTGGACTATCATCCTAGCGATATCTTATTAACAATGAACAGATTGCTCGAGTGATGTGACTCTACAGGCAGCTCCACTTGGCTTAGGTCTGCCTCTGCTTCAGGCTACTCATAAGTCTTGCTGTGATGATTCCACCAAATGTAGTACCAGCGGTATGAATCTCACGACCTTTCTTCGCAATCCGCATGTTAACAAATGTATAGATTTCATACGGCACATAGCCGCCCAAACACCCGTCGCCCAAGCAGGGGTAACACCCAGCTATTCTAACATGGCATTCCAACTGCTAGGCTATATTATAGAAAGGCAGACAGGGAATTCATACAGCGAGGCCCTGCAACAAAGCATTTTGACACCACTCAACATGACTTCAACCACCATATTTGCACCAAATAATTCATCTGAGGGGATTATACCCATAAACAAACAAGCCAGTGGCTGGTCAACCCACGGAAGCAGCAAGGAAGCGTAAGTCACCTCTCCGAAGAAAATACAATCAAGCCACCTCAATAGAACACAATACTAACACAAACTTCCAAACCAAAGATCAACAGCCCTCTTCACAACCCCAAAGGACCTCTCAAAAGCCGCAAGAGCAATCCTATCCTCGACTCTGCTCCCAGCCCCAAACACAAACACCTGGCTAAAGCCAGTCTCGCACACCTCAAACCCAGCAAACTCCCTCGGTAACCCGTGGATAATTTACAGCGCTGGGAACTACCCTAATACCTCAATGGTAGATATCTATACCGTTCTGAGTAACGAAGATCCCAAGGAAAGTCTCTACAGCTCTTACCTAGGTCTCGTGCCCAGTCTCGGCGTTGGGTTTGCCATTTTATCCGCTGATACCGAGAAACCAGCCGATTTGAATGCTCATGCAGATCTGATTGGGGATGTCGTTTTGGAGGCTTTGATGGAGGTTTCTGCCGAGCAAGCCTTGACTAATTTTGGCGGCTTGTATGTGGATTCCAGTGCTGCGCTCAATTCTTCGATTGTGCTTGGTGTGGATGAATTGCCTGGATTGTTCATCCGGAGCTTTGTCAGTAATGGTACTGATTTTAGGGCTACATTGGCTGGTATTCTGGGTTTTGCCTCTCCCGCTGATTTGAGTATCAGGTTGTATCCTGTGCAGCTGGTTGAGGGGTCTAGGTCTGGGTCTAGAATGGAGCTTAGGGCTGTTTTTCAGGATGTGACTGAGTTGGCGGATGCTGGGACTCCTACTTGTGTGTCTTGGTTGAACTTGGACAAGTTGCGGTATGGTGGGAGGGCATTGGATGAGTTTGTGTTTGAGTTGGATCTCAAGAAGAGGGCTGTCAGTGTTGAGATCCCTGCTTTGCAGATCACACTTGAACGGAGTTAATCTGACTTGGTTGATTTGCGTTGTCGGAGGGTGTATCAAATGTTCTGTCATAAATCCAAGCCATATCATCGTCAACTATTCATGAGCAATTTGAGACTATTCACTGTGCTGGGCTTCTAGACCCTTCCACCCAGCAAAGGCTGCAATGTCATTACGGTCTCTCCAGCCCCAGGCAATACAATAATGCCTAGCAAGGAGCTGCCATTCCTCCATCTCATCCAGCATCTCCAAGCCGGCAACCCTCTCCTTCTCCTGCTCACTAATCCACTGCTTCCAGATAAATTCAATATCAGCCGCCGCCTGGCCGTTCTCAAATCCGTGCTCTCGGAACCGACCGCGCTGCGCTTCGAGCGATGCATACCGATGCAGCGTCTGGAGCTGGATACCGCGCGCCGCAAGATTCGAAACCATGACCTGGCCGAACGAATCATTTGGCCGAATAGGCTCATAGAGAATGAGTCCCAGGGGGGATCTTTCTTTGGGATCTACAGCACCAAAGAGACGCGTCGTAAAAAAAGAAACTACCTCCTCCGCCTCAATTGGCGACAGGTAGATGAGACAGCACTCTGAAATCAAAAGAGTCGGCAAACTCGTATCGACGCCCGGTAAGATTGCCCCAGGATCACTGCTCCCAGCCAGCGATCGCAGATCAACAGGGTGGACATGATAAATAGGTGAGTGAAGCGCATCTCCAACTTCAGATATCGTGACCGAGTGATTTCCGGTCTTCTCCGAGTCCGTTTCCAACGCGCGCTGCATCATCGGCGCCGAGCGGATCGCGCGGATCTTCGCAATCGTGTTAACTGCGAAATCAATCTCATGGTAGACAAAGTCCGGTTGTTGTCGTGAGGATAGAAGCCGGAAGACACGCGTGTCGGAACCAGCCCCTAATGAGATGATCTGTTTCTTGTGTTTCCGTCCTGCTGGTGTGTATGGACCGAGGAAACGAGCTACGAGCTGGTCGATAGCTGTTGTGCGAACGTAGGTTCCTATTGCGCGAGGACATGCGAGTCAGCCATTGATTCTATGGTGGGAGCTTCAGCTAACGCTGGGGGGTGTCTTACCTCTGTTAATGATTGGGAGCCGTCGGGTCGCGGACCCTGGGGGTGTCAATGCCGTTGCATATGCGTCGTCGAGGTATCCCAGTTCGACAGCGCTGAGGCGGGACACGCTTGCGTCATTGTCGGTTCCTTGCACGATGCGGTCTTTGCTAGATGGGATTGAATCTGCGCGACCGCCTCGGCCACGACCTCGGCCTCTTCGTAGTGTGTTCAGATTTGGAATGTGGGATGCGGCCATGAGGAGTGGAGGAATGGAGCTTGGACTTGCATGGTGGGGGTGGTCGATGACTGTATATGACTGCCCGATGCATATATCATCTCCAAGGGAGTCATGCGATTGTTCTTCTTATAATTATTGCAATATGACCCTCAGGGTCATCATCTTAATATTCAATGTTTGAATGCAAGACACAGTAGCCATGCGTGGAATGTGGCACGTGCTATGAAAAATGAAGCTGAGGCTCAATGACTTCTTTTCCCTTATATTTATTAAAACTGAGCGGCTTTCAACAACCATCCGGCGGTCGTCTAGTTGGTTTATGGCGTCAGACTGTAATTGACCATTGTAATCTGAATGTCGCCGGTTCGACTCCGGCCCACCGGAATTTTTTTGGTTTCCTTTTTTTTTATCCGGCAGTTTTGGAGAAGACAATGTGTGCAGCATGCATGTTTTTTTTTATATTTGCTATATATACCTTTATGTTGCCCTTATTAATCTTTTTTAAGGATGAATCCAGGGCCGAACGACTCAAAATGTTATATGGAAAGTTGGGTGAGACTAGACGGGTCTACCCAGTAACTTATATATCTCTAGTGCTGGACACCTCAACACGAAAACATGGCCATTTTTGTACACCTCTATACTAAAATGCAAAGAGGAAAGCCATGAGGTCTACTGTCCAAATCTTCACAGATATACTCAACCAATGCGGACCAATGCTGTCCTACGACAGTAATGTATTCGCTGACAATGTATCGCTAGCACCTTTTATACATAAACAAAGTTGTTTCGGCACAGAGGACAGGTACTCTGGTTACTGCTCTTGAACCAGCGGAACAAACAAACCGAGTGGAAAGTGTTCTTGCAAGTAGCACAGCGCTTGTTAGGCGTCTGCATGTCCGTCGAAATAACAGAGTAACAGATAGCGCATTCGCTCTGGCCCTTGAGGGCACCCTGGACGTTCCGTCGGAAGGCCAGCAGGCCATCAACCAGATTGCCGTTGGCGAACATGATAACACCCTGGATCGTGAGCAGCCAGCTCTTCCACTTCTTCTCGTCAACGAGCACGCGACTGCGACCAACGACCAAGGCGGGTTGGAGGGGGTATGCGGGGGGGAGGGAGATGGAGATGGCTACTGGAGGGGATTCTTCGTCGACGGGGATGGATGCGATGATTTCTCCTGTCTTGGCGGAGATTTTCACATCCAAGGCTCGCTCTTCATTTGGATCTTGAGTTGCGACCCAATCGGTTACGCCCTTCAGGGCATCCTCGACCACGAGAGGGGAAATCTAGATGCTGTTAACTGTGATCGGGCAATATGCAGAGTGGGATTCAGGTGAACATACGTATTTCTCTGTCCATGATTCCACTGGGCCCTTGATACGCTTCTTGGTGTCGATCCACCAGTTCTTGGTCATGTTGGCGGAATATCTCAGGCACTGGTAGTACAGATGAACCAAGAGCCACTGTGTTTCCTTCTCAGCGGACTCAGATTGATCTGGCTTGAAGGACCGAATGTCGAGCTTGGAAGCATCGATCATTTTTCCGTGGGACTTTTGAAGGAAATCGAATGTGAATTCCAGTAGGGGAATAAGGACATTGTTCTCCTTAATATTTCCCGTGTAATACTCCTGAACAGGAAGCGACTACAATGTTGTTAGCCAAATTGAATCGATCGTAGGGATACACTACATACTGCGTTTGTGAAGTGGTCATATACCACCAGCCAGGCTAGCAGGTATGAGCGCATGGTGGTCCACATCTTATCATCTCCATAACCAGAAGAGATCATTTGCACCGTTGGTGGCTCCATCAGCAGAGAAATAAGCTCATCAGGGAGACTAACAGCAGTCTTTGACAGGGCAACATCAAAAGACACTTGCTCCTGACAATGGGGGATATAGCGATGAAGGATTGTGTAAGCAGTGCGTTGAACCGCCCGGCTGTGTGCAGTCAGAAGATGGAAGGTCTCACTGACATCATCCAGTTTGTCAACAGGGATGGTAGTGATCAGGCGTTGCAGTAGTTCAACGGCAACGTCGCGAGGTTGATGGAATGTGGTAGACGAGTCTATATCGGGTTAGAAAACAATGATAACTAGGTCGAGAAATCTTCGAACGCTTACCAAATTTGTCAATGGTAGAAGCCACATCATTAAACAATTGAGTCTTGCGGTCTGACCAAGCGTCCTGGACATCATCATTGCTGTCATCCTCCGAGATGGTCTTCAACTTCGAGAACAGCCTGAATGATGATACGAGTAGCGGCAAAGCCTCTTCACCCCCACGAGTCTCTCGGAACACAGAGCTCAGAATGTCCATGGTTTCTTCCCAGTGAGATCCATAAATTTCACTCAAAGCCGGAAGAACAAAGGAAAGAGTTTTGATAATCTCAGCCCTCAGACCAAGAGGCACCGATTCAGATTGGAAACACTCGATCAAGTGCTTGGTCAGGAAAACCAGTCGCTGCGTGGGAATGGTGGAGACGACCTCTTCCTCCCCAGATAGGAGAATATTGAGCAATGAAAGCTTGCGCAGGCCTAAAGATGGTGGAACGGTTAGTCAATAGATCTGTCAAGGTTCACTTCGGTCAACTTACCACCTAGAGAAGTGTCCTGAGGTTTCAGTCCAGTAGAATCCGCAACCAGTTCGTTACAAATTCGATTTCCGATGGGGTTTGAAAGGATAGGGCCTCGCAACACGGAAAACCAGGACGCTGAACGAATAGCATTGGCAGTCCGGGCCTCTCTGCAAATTGTTGCAACATCATCTGAAGATTTTGACGAATCAACAGTTGTCATGAGTTTCACAAAGGCTTCGCCAACCCGATAGTCTGTGGGCGATGTGCCCTTAAGATCTTCCAATCGGGCCTCCCAAGACTTAGTGAACAAGGCTGAAACCGTCAGATCGGACGCGGAGGCAACCGGAGAGTCCGAACGGATCCAACCCCCAATCACCTTTCGACCGCTGAATACAGTTTCCATGTACTCCTCGCGCTGATCAGCCAATTCGAGACCAGAGATACCATTGGAGTTTTCGATACTCAGATCATCATCAATGAGTTGAACAGCCAATGGGAGGAATTGGAACAAGGTCTCCAGATCTTCCTGCTCAAGATACTTTACAACTTCTGAGCTTGAAAGGATACTGATAGTGAAGGTTGCCAAACGGAAAGCAGAAGAGCAATGATCCGAGTCACGGGGAATGGTAGGCCACAAGGCCTTGAAAGAGTCAGATAGCTCGCGGTCGACCAGATGGACAATACCACCAAGAGGACTCGTGATTGCAATAGAGGAGCGCGGTGGAAGCTGAAGGAAGGGGCTCAAAGCTTCTTCCCATGTGCGACGAGTGGGCAAAATGTTCTTAATTTTGCCAGTGGCACCTTCGGCTGTAAGACTTGGTAGCAATTCGTCTGCTATGGCAAGAAGTGATTCGATCCTGCGAGTGATTGATTAGTATGCGCCCTGGTAGATGCTCAAGATCAACACTCACGATAATGATTCTTCGTTCACATTACTGAAACCACGTTGAAGAATTTCGATGCTTGACTTGGCACTCGTATCGCCAACAGCAGTTGCCTTCAAGGATCTCAGCAATGACTCCGCTACACTTGATACTTCCTCCTCGGGTGATTCTGCAAGGAAGAGAAGCTTGCCCGCTAACTTCGAACCGTGAGGACCAGCCTGGAACTCGCGAAGTGATGACGGTGCAGTTTTTCCAATATGTGAAAGCCCGTGTAAAGCATCGAAGACTCTGTCATCTGAAGACAAGGCGTCAATCAGTGACAAGAAGATTTGTTGCATCAATTCACCATGAGATGACTTGTTCTGGAGAACAGCGGTGATGATGGGCCAATGGGCATGGCTGCCCCGGCAAGCCTTATCAAGAGCACGTACGACGAGCGAGTTGAGCTTTTCTTTGTGACCAACCTCGTTGAAGTCGAGAGAAGAGAGCAAGCTTTGAAGGACATGGACATTTGACTGCTCAGGCTCCAGAGCCAGAGCCTGCTCAACAATGTTCTCGAAACTGGACGCATAGCCGTCCCACTCCCGACATGCAAGAATGATGGCAATTAAACGGTCAGCAGATGGCGAGACCAAAAGCTCTGGTGCATCGTTTTGTACAAACTTCAGAAGATCTGAAGATTTCTTGGTAACAGATGGCATACTGCGAACACACTCTTCAACTGCAGCTGCAGCACCGTATGGCTTGCCATTGCGAGTGCGCAAAACCTGCAAACACCCCTCAAGAAGGGCTACAGTTGATTTTTCGAAGACCTGTGAGACTTGAGCCTCGACTTCAGTCTCTGCAGTCCGGGACATGACGGCAGACTGCAGAGCCAATAGCCTTTTTGATTGGGCACATATAGAGTCTTGTGAAGTGCGGAAGTCTTTTGATTGTTCTGGCGATGACAACCTCACGGCTTCTAAGAGGCCGTCGGAAAGGGCTGTACACAATGATTGCAATGCCGGTTGCTGTTCCGTAGAAGCCAATGTGGAGAGATAACTGATGCAAGTTCCTTCGGCTGATTGGACAGGAAGAGACCACTGAGACAGCTCTGGGTTGACTTGCACGTAGTTGACCACCAAGGGAGAGAGTCTTTTTTCAATAAAATCGGACCTTTGATCATCGGGTAGCAAGCTTGCAAGCCACGTTCCGATTTGAATGTAAGATTTCCATCCAAGAGCCAAATTTTGACGTGGCTCTTCTCTTGAGTTAAGGCCTTCCTGCAACGCCTCTGTTATGGCAATCGCACTTGTGGATGTAATTTCGTCACCAGAGGTTGCCTTGTCAGCACCTGCGAGTACCTCTTGGGGTATGATCCGAAGTAATTGATCAAGATTCGACCAATAGTTACCATGCCCCCCTTGGGATCCTTTTTGCATATACTGGCGCAACTTTTTCGAAGCAGATGACTTTCCGGTATAATCGTCAGTCCAAACTTGAGGTCTCAATGATGTCAATAAAAGAAGAGACTCAGACAATTCGGAGCCTGATCCAATTTGTTGAAGAGACAAAGCCTTTCCAATGACGGCTGAGCTGAGGGTCTTCCAGTCAAGCCACCCAGGCTCCCTAGAAACTGCAGACCGAAGCAGAATGTATATAGATCGACGAACATAGGGATCGTCGTGGTGACAGAGAGACCAAAGGGACTTGCTTCCTAATAAAGTCTCAATCTCCGGTAGGTTCTTTTGCAGATCTTCATCGGCCGAGTTCCCTGCCAATTGTTAGTTGCGAACTTTAGGGCGGAAGTGTCCAGCATACCTAGTACCCGGTTGAAAAGCATGATTGCGGCCCCAACAACGCGAGCGTATTTTCCTTCAGCATCGTCTCTCTTGACTGTCCTTTCATCACTCAGCGTCAGGGATGTTTGGTGAAGAATGACATCATCTACAAAGTCCAAAATGGAGCCTTGGTAGATCTTCCACACATTGTTTCTCTTTTCTTCCGACGAGAAGACTCTGGTAAAAGATTCGAGGGCGGTTCGTTGCACAGGTCGATCGTTGTCGTAAACGCCGGCAAGCCATGCTCCAATGACTTTAGGTAAATTGGGAACAATGCGCTTTCCCACAAGGCCGGAAATTGTACCTTGTATCGGGTGTGCAATTTGTCGAACTCGGCGCGAAAGATCAATTGAGAGGCGAGGGTAAATTTTGACCTAAATCACGAAGTCATATTAGTGAACTGTATAAAGATGAACCAGTCTATACATACCCAAGCGTCCAGAAAACCGTCATCTAGGGTGCCGCTGTTCGCTTCAACCTTCGAAATATGATCCTTCAACTCTTCCAGTGCCTTTGTGCGTGTGATATCATCTTTTTTCAGCAAATTCTTGAATGCAATGACTAGTTGTTGGTCTGCAATGCGAGAAAGATCCGGCGGCGCTGCAATATAGGTGAGAGCAGACGGCTCTTTTCCTTGACCAGAGAGTCCACCAGAGAAGCCTCCAAAAGAGCCCAAGGCACCAGCAGCAGCGCGACTGCTGGAGGCCTGAGATTTGAACTTTTTGCTCATGTGGGGTATGAGGTCAGCGGGATAAGGAAGTAGTGGGGGACGAGGTCGAAATCGGGGGATTGGAGGATTGCAGCAAAAGTGAATGGCTGCAGGATTTGACGATAGGATCAGCTAAGTGATCGGAACGCTAAAATCGACTTCGATCTAGTGTGTGAAGCTGCAAGTCGACCCGATCTCCAACAATCTGCGGGACATGATAGCAATCACGTGATTCGGTGTCATCGCTGTCCCAAACAGGAAAAGCGTCGGTGCGCGAAAGATGAGAGCTCGCGCTCATCTTGTCTTTCGCTCTCCTGCGGTCTGTATTGGAGCCCAGCCAAGATGAAGTTCTTCATTGAGTATGTTTTGATATATCCTACTTTGCCTCTAAGCTGACTCTCACCGTTTTCAACAGTGATCTTCCGGTGCTGTTTCCGTACCCTCGCATCTATCCCGAACAATATGCCTACATGTGTGATCTCAAGAAGACCCTCGACGCAGGGGGTCACTGTGTGCTGGAAATGCCCTCAGGAACCGGCAAGACAGTTTCGCTACTGTCATTGATCGTCGCCTACCAGCAGCATTATCCGGAGCACCGCAAGCTCATCTACTGCTCCCGAACGATGTCGGAGATCGAGAAAGCTCTGGCCGAGCTGAAGGCGTTGATGGAACACCGCGCAAAGGAACTGGGCCATGAAGAGGAGTTCCGTGCGCTTGGTCTGACCAGTCGAAAGAACCTTTGTCTTCACCCTTCCGTGAAGCGAGAGAAAAGCGGTACGGTGGTTGACGCTCGGTGCAGAAGCTTGACCGCGGGATTCGTCAAGGAGAAGAAAGAGCGTGGAGAAGATGTCGACCTCTGTGTATATCACGAGGTAGGTCTACATCTTTCAATAACGCGTTGGATGATCTAATTGGTATAGAACCTTGACCTACTCGAACCGCATAACCTCGTCCCCCCGGCGTCTTCACCCTCGACGGACTATCAAGATATGGAGAAGAACACAAGCAGTGCCCTTACTTCTCTGCTCGGCGTATGGTAAGATATTGAACGGGAGCATGTGTGACTTTCAGATTTAACAAGATCACTAGATGCCGTGGTGTAACATCATCATCTATTCATACCACTATCTGCTAGACCCGAAGATTGCGGAGCGAGTATCGCGAGAGCTTTCGAAAGATTGCATCGTGGTCTTCGACGAGGCGCATAACATTGATAACGTCTGCATCGAATCACTGAGTATAGATTTGAGCGAGGACTCCCTACGAAAAGCAACTCGAGGTGCGACTAATCTAGAACGCAAAATCGAAGAAATGAAGAGTTCGGATGAGGAGAAGCTCAAAAATGAATATTCAAAGCTGGTGGAAGGACTGCGAGAAGCAGAGCAAGCTCGCGAGGAAGACCAGTTCATCTCAAACCCGGTTTTGCCTGATGACTTGTTGAAGGAAGCTGTTCCTGGAAACATCCGTCGAGCCGAGCATTTCGTCTCTTTCTTGAAACGGTTTATTGAATACCTCAAGACTCGGATGAAGGTCACTCATACCATATCCGAAACACCCCCTTCATTTTTAACTCACCTGAAAGATCTGACATATATCGAGCGGAAACCTTTAAGATTCTGCGCTGAGCGTCTAACGTCACTTGTGCGAACACTGGAGCTGGTCAACATTGAGGATTACCAACCCCTGCAAGAAGTGGCTACCTTTGCAACTCTTGTCGCAACTTACGACAAAGGGTTCGTTCTCATCCTTGAGCCATTTGAATCAGAAGCAGCCACTGTACCAAACCCAATCCTACACTTCACTTGCCTGGATGCCGCTATTGCTATCAAACCTGTATTCGACCGCTTCAGCTCCGTGATCATTACTTCGGGAACTTTGTCACCCCTGGAAATGTATCCAAAGATGCTTGGCTTCACTGCCGTTATGCAGGAGTCATACAGCATGACACTCGCGCGACGATCATTCCTGCCTATGATCGTCACCCGAGGTTCAGATCAAGCACAAGTCTCATCTTCCTTTGGAATCCGTAATGACCCTGGTGTTGTGCGGAACTATGGAAGTCTAGTCACTGAATTTTCTCGCATTACACCGGATGGTGTCGTGGTCTTCTTCCCGTCTTATCTCTACATGGAATCCATTATCAGTATGTGGCAAGGAATGGGCATTTTGGATCAGATCTGGAACTATAAATTGATTCTCGTCGAAACACCCGATGCACAGGAATCTTCACTTGCTTTGGAGACGTACCGAACAGCGTGCTGTAACGGACGTGGTGCGATCTTGTTTTGTGTCGCTCGAGGCAAGGTTTCCGAAGGTATCGATTTCGACCATCACTATGGCCGTGCAGTGCTTTGCATTGGTGTTCCTTTCCAATACACTGAATCTCGAATCCTGAAAGCCCGTCTCGAGTTTCTGCGTGAGAACTACCGCATCAAAGAGAACGACTTCTTGTCTTTCGATGCGATTCGACACGCTGCTCAATGTCTGGGTCGTGTCCTGCGCGGCAAGGATGACTACGGAGTCATGGTGTTGGCAGATCGCCGGTTCGAGCGAAAACGTCCACAACTCCCCAAATGGATCAATCAGGCAATGCTGGACAGTGAGACAAATCTCAGCACAGATATGGCCGTCTCAAACGCCAAGAACTTCTTACGGACCATGGCCCAGCCTTTCAAATCCAAGGATCAGGAAGGTATTTCCACTTGGGGCTTGGCTGATATTGAACGCCACGAGGCCAAGCGGAAGACCGAGGAAGAGCGAATGATGAGAGAGGAAATCAACAATGGACACATGGAGGGTCTCGTCCCGTCTGCATCTCGGATTGTGGAGGACGAATTCGATGATGACATTGACGAAGACCTCATGATGATGGATGCCCAATAAAATAATCGTGTTCTTCATACTGGGACCGGGCGTATATAGTGGTGCTTTGGGCATGAACTCTTGGGCGTTATCATTTGGCAAGGATGCCATTTCGCATGGGCGGTGTTTGGAGACAAGTCTCGTCTGTCTCTTGTAATTGAACTAAAACATTGAAAACCATTCTCAACTTCAAGTCCTCCAAGCCGTTTAATGAGTATCTACTTGTAGTAAGCGATAGTATATAAGTAGTAATATAAGTGAAAATAGTTGCCCCATTCTGCTATAGCCTTTCAAGTATTAAAGACAAATGGTTACTGATTAGTTGGATTTGTGAGAGCCACCATAGTCCTGGTGCTGCACTTGAGTATTGCAGTGACCCCTTCAGGTCCTGAAGAATAGTAGCAAAATATCCTTCAAGGCAGGGTTGACACGCGCCCAATCTAGAACACGATTAGCTTTTACCAATGAAAGGCAGCTGGACGGCAAGTGACTTCGAAAAGATCTATTTATTGGACTAAATAAGATGCTAATATGAACAGGGACAGACACTTTTTGGTTCCGCTGCAAGAAGACAAACTCCAGATCATCGACACATCAAAGATGAAGCGACAGAAAACAATACAAAACATTGAAACCAAAAAGCTTCGCAAGAACACAATATACACATGAGAAATGACAAGATGACCATACACATTTCAAACTCCGTCCAGTCAGAGAGGCGACTATGCTACAGGAGCAAGAATATCGAAGGAACCAGTACCAACGGTACCGACACGACCAACAACAATTCTGCTACTAGGGCTCTTGAGGTTATCGACGCCTCTCTCGAGCACAACGTCCTTCAGGGCACCAACAGTAGTCTCGAAACTGGCACGCGCGAAAGCAGAGGAGGCATCCTTAACCAGACCATTACGGCTGAAGGCCTTGAAGCCACCAGACTGCGTCATCACATCACCAATCAAGTTCAAGTGACGGTTGTCGACGGAGATACTGTGACCCTTGAAAACGGAGTCCATTTCACGGACGATGGTGGCACGTGCAGCCTCAACACCGTACAGGTGAAGCATGTCGTGGATGGAGTTGGTGTACATCGAGTGAGGCTTGATGATGTCCTGGTAGTCGCGCATGGCGAGCAAGTTGACACCCTCAGTGAGGACGTTGGCGGGATCACCACTGTTCTCATCGGCCTCAACAAAGACACAGTTACCCATGCCGGGGATGGATTGAATGACAGCAAGGTGGAGAACCTTCTCGACCAGGGGAAGGAGCAGAAGCTTGGGGGTCTCGATGTCGTACTGCAATTGGATAGTGCAGGTGTTGCCCTTCTTAGGGTCGAACTTGAACTTGGTGATTTCCTCGAACTTGCCGACAACGTCGTCCTCATGGGCCTTGTTTTCTTCGGTTTCAGAGTCGGAGTCGGAATCGGAGTCAGAGTCAGATGAGGAACGATCTTTCATCTCAACATCACGAGAGCCCTTGGCGGGCTTGCTAGTCTCAACTTCTTCATCGTCCTCGTCATCTGAGCTATCTTGGCGTCGCTGGATATCCCTCTCGTCATCGTCAGGGGCTTCGTATGAAACCTGGTTACTCCTGTTCTGAGCACCGGAAGCCCGCTTGGCATCATCCTCGTCATCTTCATCATCATCATCGGCTGGCTGAGCCTCGGCGTCACTTCCTCGTGGTGCCTCGGCAATTCTACCGACAGAGACACCAATATCTGGCTGAGCAGTCGAAGACTTGGTACCCTTCTTCTCCTCGTTTCGCTTCTTGAGTTCCATCTTGGTGAGTCTGACCAGACGGGGAATGAACTTGGTCAGAAGAGCCATCTGGACATCCTGAGTCTGGATGGCATATTCCTCGATGTACTCCTCAGATGGGAAGAAAGTGATGTCAATGTCGTAGATCTTAGCCTTGGAGTGGCCAATACCGGAGCCAATGCGCTCCTTGACTTGTACTTTGTCAACAATATCAGCAATGCTCAGCTTGCTGATGGCTTTGGCAAATCTCTCAGAATCCTCCTTTGAGATCTCCTCATTCAGAAGCAGTGTCATCGTAGGCGTCATAATATTAGCACTGGCAGTCATAACGATTTCACGGAGACGGGGGATACCCAGCGTCACGTTCTTTGCGGAGTGACCAGCCAAATGGAAAGTGTTCAGTGTCATTTGAGTAGATGGCTCTCCAACGGACTGACCAGCCATAATACCGACGGCTTCACCAGGGTCAATGATAGACTTCATGTACTTCATGTTCATCAAGGCTTCGAAGGTCTTCTTAGAGACCTTGCCCTCAATGTTCTTCTTCTTGTCCTTGATGAGCTGGTTCTTGTTGGCATCCGTGTACTGTTCAACTTGGTTAGCAATGTACATTTTGACAGATCTGGCAGAGTGAGATAGATACATACCTTCTTCAATTCCTGGGAGAACGCCTCAGACGTACTGCCTAAGTTTCCACCAGGGGGGAAGTGAGACAAGACGGGGTCCATAGCATCAATCTTTCCGGTCTTGCGAACGGCCTTCATGGCATCCTTCTGCCAAGTAGTCACATTCTCCTTAGCCAGAGTGTGGAAGTCGTCGGCAGAGACCTGCTTAGAGATGGAGACGTGGTTCTGGGCGAGGAAGTCGAAGTCGTTGAGATGGACTTGCTTAGTGATATCAAGACCATCCTCTCCGTACAAGAATTGCACAATGGAGCCATCAGAGGTTTCACGGACAGATGAATCGTACTCAGCCTTCAGGCCTTCCATACCCTTGATCAAACAACGCTGCAAGTAACCGGATCTGGAAGTTTTGACAGCAGTATCAATCAAACCCTCACGACCGGCCATGGCGTGGAAGTAGTATTCCTGGGGCTTAATACCAGTCAAGAAACGACCAGAGACGTAACCACCAGCCATGGGATGTGTTTCGAAAGCCTTGAAAGATGGAAGGGTCTTTCCACTGATCATGAGCGGTACACGGCGACCTTCCAAAACTTGTTGGCCCAAGTTACAAGAAATCAGATTGGCGTTGACACCAGATCCCTTGGCTCCTGAAATTGTCATAGACTGCATCTGGTTCCAAGGGAAAGGCTTCGCGAGACCTTCGGGCAGACATCCCTTGGTGATCTCGGAGGAAAGCTGAGCAGAGCGAGCGTTGGAGACGCTATCCAGACCACTTTGCTTATCATCATCACGAAGAACCTCCTCGAGTCGTCGGTTCAACTCCGCAGTCTGGTCACCAGGAGCCTTGTCCAGTGTGACATACTTGAGAGCAATCTCGCGACCCATCTCTGCTGCAGTGCTCAACTTCTCTTTACGGATACGGTCACCTTCCTTGGTCAAGCGAAGATCATCAATACCACAAGAAAAGGCGCGCATGTTCAGAACACGCGTGAGCAATCTTCCAAGAACACCAATCAGCTTTCCAGCGATGCTGTGTCCGTAGACCTCGTGAATAGCATCGATGAGACCGCCGGCAGTCGGACCAAGCTGCTTCTTGTCAAGAATACCACACAGATATTCACCGTCCTGGAAGATGACATCTCCTTCCTCGTTGTTTGTACCCCAGCGGTTACTGGGGGTCGAGGACTTACTCTTCAGGGTAAGACCTCCGCGCCCAGGAGGTTGAATGTTCTTAAGGATTGTGGTGATGATCTGTTTTCCGGTCCAAAGACACTTGGGCTTCTGGAAAGCAGGCTCGACCAGTTGAATACGATCGGTGACAATGTGTGAGTGCTCTGGTCTCAAACAGCTGTATAGCAGCTGGTGGTAATCTTCCTCATCGTAGAAGCTATCACGACAAGTGACCCAGGTTCCCATGGAAATATGATCTTGAATCAGACCTCTCAGCGGCTTGCCTGAGGTGGCGACAAGGTACTGGTGGTCAGCATCAGCCAGCATCCTGGCTTCTGCCTGAGCAAGCTCGTTCTGAGGGAAATGCATGTTCATTTCGTCACCATCGAAATCGGCGTTGTAGGTGTTACAGTTGGCGTAGTGCATGCGAATGACACGCTCGTTGGGAAGAACACGAGCCTTGTGACCCATGATGGAAGGCTTGTGAAGGGTAGGCTGACGGTTCATCAAGACGTAATCACCGGTGGTAAGGTGACGGTAGACCTTCTTGTTGCGCGAGCCCTTCATTCGCCAGTTTGAAGGAGCAAGCAGCTGATTGGCAAGTGCTGTACGCTCTTCCAGGTTCTTGAACTTGAGGTTGATCACTTGCCCGTTCTCATTTTCAATGGAAGAGGCACCGGGGTACTTGTCAGGACCGTTGATAACAGCCTCCTTCAATTCCCAAAAGTTGTGGTTTGTCACGGGCTCGGGGAAAGTCAACTTCTTCGCAAAGACAAGAGGGACACCAATTTCATTAGGTTCGATGTTGGGATCAGGCGAGATAACACTTCGAGCAGCAAAGTTGACACGCTTACCCATCATGTTCTTACGGAACAGACCCTCCTTCTTCTCAAGAATTTGCTTGATGCCGTTAGGCTGGGCCAGGGCAGCTGCGCCAGTGGCTGAAGTACGATCGCGATCAATAAGACCATTGACCTGATCTTGGAGCTGAACAATAGCCTGAAGGAGGTCACTGTAGTTCCGTGCCCGAGACATAGTCTTCTCTTCCTCATTCTGAATCTCCTTGCTGATCTGGTTGATAGTATCACAGCCCTTCAGGATTGCGTTGAAAGAGGTGTTTTGCTGGGCTTCCATGACAGTTCCAGCACCCTGCTGAACAGCAGGACGGTACTTGTTCGGCGGTACCATCAAGTTCTTGATGAAGAACATGTCTGCCGACACAACCTTGACTCCCTTAGGCACAGGCCGAGAGTTGTAAACCAGCTGCAAGACATCGCTGTCCTTTGTGAAAAGAAGACGAAGAGCTCCATAAACTTCGGAGGAAGACATGAACTCTTGACCTGTGGTGCTCTGTGTCGCTTGCACCACAGCCGCGCCACGAAGGATTTCTTCTTCGGCTCCATGAGCCTCAGCGCCATTTGTCTGAGTACCATTTTGCTTGGCTTGGGTTTTCCTTTCCTGGTCGAGAAGGACCATGGTGTTTGGTGCCTGGAATCCACCGGTGATCATTGCAAGCTTTGACTTCTCAGGTAATTGCTTTCGGAAGATCTTGTTATAACGGTCCTTTCGGTATGAGGGGGAAACTCTGCCAAAATATTAGCTGATGTACAAGCAAATATCAAGATATATTGCACAACATACCCGCTACAGTTAGCACACTTGTTGAAAGAGTTGATCTCCTTCAGGAAAGTCTTGATCAACTCTCTTCTGGCCTCCGCAGCGATGGGGTTCTGTCCACCAGCCATCAAGCCATCGAGCTTGCCCTCAGCCTTGGCTTCCCGGATGCGCCGACTGACAAACTCAGTTCTCTTGCGCATATAATCGACATCGTCATCTTCTTCGTCGTCAGATTCTTCTTCCTTGCTCTTTGCCTTTTTAGCGCCCTTTGCAGATCCCATAGAATCAACAATAGCAACCTCGTCGATCAACCCGTATTGCAGAAGGCGCAACTTGCAGATGTACATGTTGACCTGGCTGCGGCCCATCTGCAGGCGAAGACAGTACACACATTGTGCTCGGAGAAGGCGGTAGATATGATCGAAGAAAGTAACGTTATAGAGCGGGACTGGAAGCTCGATATGTCCGGGGTGTCCGGTACAGGTAAAAGCATTCTGACGACATGTGGTGCAACTGTAAATGAAGAAAAAAATCTCTCGTTAGAAATTGTCCATCCAGAGTAAGACACATCAATGACTTACACATGATCTCCCCATGCGCCCATAGCAGGGTCCTGAAGACCACCAGGTACAGGGTTGTTAAATGAATCCAGAGTCGGAGTATTGTGAATTCTTTTCACCGAGAGAGCTTTAATCTCTTGCTCGGAGTAGACATTGAAGTCGACCCCATTAATGGTCGAGGCGACCGGGCGCGCGAAAGTTGCCATGGTAGCCTGCAGCTCCTGGAGCAACAGAAAACGCTGGCGCACGAAATCAAAGTGCTCGGATTTGTCTCCAAGTGTAGTTCTGGAGCGAACTTTTTTTCCGGAGGAGCAACTTTTTTTGCCAGGGTCCACCGCCTTACCCTTTTGAGGTTTCTGCGGGCCACGCTCGTTGTCTGACACTCTTCTTGCTTGTCTATCTGCACTTATTCAATCTGTTGTGTAGCTCAGTTGCCAGCTCACAGCGATTGATATTTATTCACACTATGGCGGACGCGTCGGGTAATGCGCTCAAGCGCCCTCATCCTCAGGATGAAGACAACAACGCCAAAAGGACCCGCTCCAACAATGGATCCCCAGTATCCGGACAAGCAGCGCCTGTGAAGGGAAAGGTTGATATTGAAAAGATGGTGGCTGAGGCCAGGGCAAAGGCAGAAGCTGTACGCGCTCGTCTACAAGCTGCACGCGGTGGCGCGATACCAACGGCACCTACACCCGATTCCTCAAGTCCTACTCCGCCAGCACCATCACCTGCGCCCAGTCCTGCAATGTCGAGATTGGAACAAATGAAAGCTCGGGTTGCTGCAGCTACAGCAAAAGCCAGCGCCCCTCCGCAACGGCCTCATGCGCCCACTCCATCTTATCAGCCTCCTGTTCGCGACGATGAAGGAAACTCCAAGGCTCGAGGTGGTCTGGATGTTGGTCTTCATCCAGCACTACTCTCTGATGCTAAGCCAGAGTTCCGAAGTGGAAAGGGACGGCAGGGCAAGGGAACAAATCAACGTGATGGCAAGGCACAGCTTGACCTCTCTGGTCCATCCGTGGAGGAAATCAAGAACAATCCTTATTTCGATCCTACGCTTGCGCCTAAAGCGACAGTGGCCAAGCCACGTCAAACTCGGCAACTTCTTTTCAACCAGAAGGGCAAATACATTCAGCAGGCGGCGGCCCTGCGAAGGCAAGCACAGTTGGAGGCAATGAAAAAGAGCATTGCAGCCCGAGCACGACAGGCTGGCCTTGATGAGGAAATGGACGTGGAGAAATCATATCTTGTCCCCGCTCCACCAGATCTGGAATGGTGGGACGAAGGCTTGGTCAATGGCAGCAACTACTCTGCAATTGACGATCAACAAAATATCAAAGTTGATACCCCGGATTCGATTATTACGCGATATGTTCAACATCCTATTCTTATTGAACCCCCGCAAGAGAAACATGTGCCTGCTCAAAAGCCCATGTTCCTCACTCCGAAAGAACAAGCCAAGATTCGTCGACAGCGACGTATGGCAGATCTGAAGGAGCAGCAGGCCAAGATCAGACTGGGTCTTGAGCCAGCACCCGCTCCCAAAGTGAAGAAATCAAACCTCATGCGAGTTCTAGGCGAACAAGCCGTCAAGGATCCCACGGCTGTCGAAGCTCGTGTGACCAGAGAGATCGCTGACCGAAAAGACCAGCACGAGGTCGCAAACGAGGAGCGAAAGCTGACCAAAGAGCAACGGCGCGAGAAACTTGCAGCTCAGCAGGAGAAGGATGTCTCGTTGGGCGTCTACCAAACTGTATACCGAATCGACAGTCTTGCAAGTGGCAGGAACCGCTTCAAGATTGGCAAGAACGCAGAGCAAAATAATCTAACCGGCATGTGTGTTATGCACCCGAAACTTAACTTGGTAATCGTTGAGGGCGGAAAGCACTCCGTCAACAGTTACCGAAAGTTGATGATGAACCGTATCGACTGGACTGAGAACCCAGGCTCGGACCGTATGTCCGCAGACAGCCCTGAGGCCCAGGTTTCATGGTTATCAACAGAGGATGACAAAGGACAGCCGAGGGATTTCAGCGATAACACATGCACTCTACTCTGGGAAGGACAGACTAAGAACCGGTCGTTCAAGAGGTGGTTTGGAGCGCGAGTTTGTGAAACAGACTCAGCAGCCAAAGATGCCCTTTCCCGAGCCAAGATGGAAAACTTCTGGACCCTGGCAAAGAGCGCCAAGCCTGCTGAGTTCTAGTTGGCCTGTTTCTCTCAATAAAAAGCCCACTCGGGTCCAGTTCTATGTATTTTATTTAGAAAGCGAGCTTGCTCTTCATTCTTAGCCATTGTCATTTCAGCTCATGCACATGGTGCCTTAGATATGTACTATTGACAATTTCACCGCATGTCTGCCACTAGAAAAAATGCCATGATCAACTTTTACTTAAACAAAGAAATTCCCTAACCACATAACCCCGTTCCGTATGCAAATGTTCCGATGCCAGGATATCACTGAAGAACATGTAAAAAGACAAACATCAAATAGATCAGGAAGGAGGACCCTGGTGACCCTGGTTTCCGTTGTTGAGGTTCCGCAGCAGATCCAGCTGAGCTTTGACCTGGTCAAAGTTCATAGCAGGGGGTTGGGCCTGTTGCTGGGGATACTGCTGCTGCTGAGGCTGCTGGAATTGCTGTTGCTGTTGTTGGGGCTGTTGAGGTTGTTGGTATTGCTGCTGCTGCTGCTGCTGGAACTGTTGCTGTTGTTGCAGAGCAGCCAGGAAAGCAGGGTTGATATGGGCACCCTGGAAGTTACCAGGCATTTGGTAACCCTGCTGGAAGGGGAACTGGAAGGGGAACTGAGCCGGTGCTCCACCCTGTCCGAATTGGGGCTGCTGCTGTTGTGCGAATTGTGGGTTCTGGGCTTGCTGCTGGGCAAATTGTGCATATGCGGCATAATGCTGGGGCATCTGGGGCATCTGAGGCATCCCATAGCTAGCCTGAGGCTGCTGGTACATGGGCTGACCATAGGGTGTGGGCTGAGTCTGGGGTTGGGGTTGAGGCTGGGACTCGTAGCTTGAGCTGTCCTGCTGGTGAGGACGACGGTCCTCCATCTCCCTTCCTCCGCGACCAGCTCCGCCTCTACCGCGTGCTCCACGACCGCGGTCACCACGTCCACGGCCTCGTCCACCACGGAAACCGCCGCGCTCAGTGCCTTCGACTGGGGCTTCGCGAGCACCCATCATCTCGTGAAGGTTTGTGGGACGTGCAAGAGGGGTGTATCCCTCCTCGCCTGCAGCATCGTCGTAGTTAAGCTCAGTTTGGTTCAATTTCGAAGGGCCTGGTGCATTCTTCTTTGCGCGGGGACCGTCTCGGGCTTCCTTGCGCTCCTGACGCTTCTGCTTGATCTTCCGTTTGTATTCCATCTCCGCTTCGTCGTCAGAGAACTCCATCTCTTCATCACCAACCTCCTCATCGTGGAAGTTCGAGGCGTCACTTCCCTTCATACCCTTCAGTGGCTGAGTGAAAATGAAAGTAGAGTGTTCTTCCACGTAATAGATATCGATACCCTTGACCAAGCCCCTCTCCTGGACTTCGGATGCAGTAGGGTACATGACTGTGTACATTGGGTTCTCAACTCTGCCTAGTGTTTCCGTCACAACACCAACAACGTTGCGCTCAGCAGAGCAGAGCAAGGAGCCCGATTCGAGGACTTGGTATTCTCCAGAGGTGTTGGCTTCAATAAGGACAGCATTGTCGATGGCAGCTTGAACCTTGCCGAGGAACACGATCTTTGTCTCGGGTGTGATCTTAACATCGGGGATTGGTAGAACCTCCTGCTCAATCTCGTTGGCGGTCCGAAGTTGTCCACCAGACTTTCCCTTGTCTCCGTCATCATCTTCCCCAGCCTCAGCCTGCATGAGAATGCGCGCCTGCTCTTCGGCAGTCAGAATAGGATAATCTTCGTCGTCGCTATCATCGGAGTCCGAGGAGTCGGAGCTGTCAGAAGATGACTCGTATGGCGAAGAGTCGACCTCCCACTCTGGGTGCTCCTCCTCTTTCGTATCCTCCTCCTTTAATTTTTTATCTGTCTGCTCAACCTCCATGGTATCATCATTGGCAGCGGGCTCTTCCTTGGTGAGCATCGTGCCAGGCTCCTGTTGGGGATTTTCGGCGAGGTTCAATCCGGGAAGGGTTGCTTGAGGCTTTGATTCAGGTTCCTCCTGCTTCATTTGACTCTCAGGTGCCGTGTTGCTGGTATTCGGAACCGGGGTTCCTCCTGTCAAAGGTGTGTTGTAGAAATCGCTGCCGTTGTCTGGAGTGCCCGCAATAGGCGGCATATCGGCCATACTGGGTGTCTTCGAGGTAGTGTCGTCTTTGACACTTGCAGTCTCCACTGGAGGGTTCTGGCTATCACTCATCTTCCAACAAAGGACAAGATATTAAAAATAAGCAACAATATTGGGTTAATATGAAGATCAAGAAAAAAAGCTAACGGGAACTTTTTTTTATTTTGCCGGATTTGCCAGGGCGGTCGGATCAGCCTTATCGGTTATCGTAGCTCCTCCTCTTCATGCCAACTTGAACTTGTACAACAAAATGGCGACGGCATCGGCTCATGGGCCTAAGACGAAGCAGCGGTATGTCGTGGCTTGATAAGGTGGAGTTTGTTGCTAACATTGTCTTGATAGTCTCCCACCACCTCCATTTTACATCCCACTTAACATAACCCTTTACTTATGCTTAGTGGCCAATGGCCTTGCAGCGCTATTCTCCCCAATCCAAGATTGCGATGAAGTGTTTAACTTCTGGGAGCCTACTCATTACTTGCAACATGGATATGGTCTTCAAACATGGGAATACTCGCCAGTCTATTCTATTCGGAGCTGGCTTTATGTGTCATTACATGCCGCAGTAGGGAAACTGGGGTCCATGCTGGTACACAGCAAGACAGCTGAATTCTACATGATCCGTTTGACTCTTGCATTTGTGTGTGCGGCCTGTCAGACTCGATTATATTCTGCCGTCTGTCGCAATCTGAGCCCCCGAATAGGTCTCTTGTTTGTGATGATTGTTACGCTCAGCCCGGGCATGTTCCATGCTTCAACAGCCTTTTTGCCATCAACATTTACCATGTATATGTCCATGCTTGGCTTTTCCTCTTTCTTGGATCGGCAAAATGGACAGAAGACAGCGCAAGGAATAATGTGGTTTGGTCTGGGTGCCATTGTCGGATGGCCATTTGCTGGTGCTTTGATTGTTCCTCTTTTGATTGAGGAGGTCGTTCTTGGCATTTCTTCCAGATCCTTTGCCTCACTTTTCTGGTCTCTCTCCGATGGTGCTGTCCTTTGTTTGTTCATTGGGGTAAGAATTTTTGACTTGATTTCCGAGATTTCCGAGCTAACATGTTACAGACTGTTGAGGTAGCAGTCGATTATGCCTTCTTTCAGAAGCTTGTTCTTGTGCCATGGAATATTGTCGCATACAATATCTTGGGTGGTGAGGGCAAGGGTCCAGACATTTTCGGCACGGAGCCCTGGACCTTTTATATTCGAAATCTCCTGCTCAACTTCAATGTATGGTTCCTGTTTGCCATGCTATCCGCGCCAATTATGTTCCTACAGACCGTCTGCCGAGCCAAAGGTACTTCTGTAAAGACATTGCTACGTTCCATGGCCCTGGTCGCTCCTTTCTACATGTGGTTCGTAATTTTCTCGGCCCAGCCTCACAAGGAAGAGCGATTCATGTACCCTGCATATCCATTCCTGGCACTCAGTGCAGCTCTAACGTTCCATACCATCCTGACCTGGCTTGGGTCTACTGACTCAAATTGGCTGATCCGACGTGTTCCGGCCAAACTCAAGCTCGTCGCAGCTGTGTCTGTTGTCCTGGTCGCTATAAATGCCGGTATGCTGCGTACCCTGGGTATGGTTACAGCATACGGTGCCCCGATCAAGGTTTTCGAGCCACTTCAACAGGTGAATGTAGCGCAGACAGGCGACTCGGTATGTTTCGGCAAGGAGTGGTATCGCTTTCCCTCTTCATACTTCCTTCCCCACAACATGCGAGCGAAGTTCGTCCGAAGTGAATTCCGAGGACTTCTCCCCGGTGAGTTCCCGGATGCACCGAGCTACCTTGGCCGTTTGAATGGGGCTTCGCAGATCCCATCCGGCATGAATGATCTCAATATTGAGGATCCCAGCAAATATGTAAGTTGAACGACTAGCCGTGATGATTCTCACTGACTTAATTTAGGTTGATATCTCTCAATGCTCTTTCCTAGTTGACTCCTATTTCCCTGGCCACGCCACGACTGAGCTTGAACCCAACTATATTCTGGATAAAGTTAACTGGGAAACTCTGTCATGCTCAAGCTTCCTTGATGCAGCCCATACCGGACTCCTGGGGCGATTGATCTGGATTCCTGATTTCCCTTTCATCCCTGATCGCTTCCGACGGAAATGGGGACAGTACTGTCTTCTCCAGCGCAGCACAGCTAATGTATAATATGGGTCGGTGGGCGTTTTCTAACGTTCTGTTTAGAAGCTACATGTAAAATCGACCACATAGAATGACTTGAATTTACACTGAGCATACGGCTATCGAGTACAAAAGCCACCATACCTAATCGGGACAAAATATCCCTAAGGTAACAGCGAATGATAAGCTCTCAACTGTAATAAAGTCTCCTTACACGAGGCATCTCTTGCAAGTGTGTACTTGGTTTTACTGCCGTATGCAGCCCCGGATCCAAGGGCTCAAAAGGGACGTGGTGGAAAGATCTCCCCTCTTCCCCGCTATATGAGGTCAACCTTGTTCCAGTCACACGTTAGAGAGACAAACGCCTATCTCGCATCGCATTAACAGGAAAGGCAGCTCGCAAGAGATGGCCATTTGAAGTGCATGGATTTGATAAGGGCGCTCGGGGCCCCCTCTGCGCTCATCTACTAATAGACTCACTTACCTAAATGTCTCTCCACAACTCTATACTATCTTTGGCTATGTGGGCTTGAAATACCTGCAGCCTGCTCACAAATTCTATCTGGACTTCGGGCAAATCCCATAGTCATGTTGGCGCTTGAGTCTTTACAGGAGACTATACTGTCAAATGCCCCAACCAAAGATCTCATCGGAGTCTTTCTCGCTCTAAATATCTGTGCCTATATCGTCGTTTTTTTGTCCAAGAGATGGTCACTGAATTCAAATCAGACAGTCAAGGCCTCAAGTCCTGATTTAGAGAAACCAGCTAGCAGTATTCGCGGGAAGGTGACCAGGCCACTTGGAGGTAAGAAATCGCATTCCACGTCGTGAACCTCGTTAACGCAAGCATAGAATGGATACCATCCGGTTTCAAAAGGCCAACCGCAGCTCCATACCTAGACTGGGACATCCATGCAACCAAGCCAATCCCTTATCGACCTTTTCGATATGGCCCGTAAGTCATACATACCGAATTCTTATTTACTGGCTATCTCTAAGCCAGTTTTCCAGTAAATATTTCATCACAATGGGCCTGCGGAGTATGAAATGGGACGAATGGATCGGTAAGTGGCAAAAGCCCCAGAGACATAAATAACTAGCCTCACATGAATACAGAACTGGACAACCACTATCTCAAATACCACGCCGACAAAGCCCGCCGCATTGAAGAACGAGGAAGCAAATGCTGCTACACAGACCCAGAAGCAATGGACGGAGCAATCGAGCTCTTGGAAGAACTGTACGTCCAGCAGCCGACATCCTTCTCAGCCGATCGCCCCTCTAAACAATCCACTAGATGCGCCTACCTCCCAGAACGATACCCAACAATGTTCCAGAAGACCCCAACAGGAATAACCAATACAATCACCAACGAAACCTTCAACATAACCCAACGCCCTCTCCCAGAGGACCCAATGGCTACAGCCGCTCGCCTAGTACAAGATGACCTAGCCCTGATGATCGAACGCCCCGACGGCGAATATTACCTACTCGCAGGAGCAATCCTCCTAGCCGGCTTCTGGCGTCTCACAGACAAACTCGGCATGCGACTCTCCGAAATCCACACTTCAGGCGATGTCCCAGGCTACAAGTCAAAACTCGAAAAGGGAATGATGAATTTCTTCCGGCGGCTCAAACCCGAGGATCCGGTTATTCGGAACAACTATTTCATCCAGGTGGATGATAGCCTGGCTTGGTCGCATAGTATTGGACCCGAGGATGCAGAGACGGTGTCATGGAATACAGCGGAAAAGAACCGCGCTATCGAGTGCCATTATTTCCGATCTGAGCGGCAGAGTTTGAGACGGTTGCCAAAGTCTGGTGCGGTTGTTTTTACTATTCGGACTTATTTTGAGCCTATTACTGGTATTGCTGGGGAGCCGTATGTTCCTGGGAGGTTGGCTGATGCTGTGAGGAGCTGGGGGGATGATGTTAGTCGGTATAAGGGCCGGGAGAAGTATCAGGAGGTTTTGTTGGAGTTTTTGGATCGGAAGCATGCTGAGCAGGTTAGGGGAGGTTTGGAGGTTGAGAAGGAGGATGACGTTAGGAGCTATCCTTTTTGATTTTCATTTTCCCCTGGGCTTGGTGTCAAATTTCATCGTTATGTTTCCTCCTCGTACTGTCCTGTGTTCGTTTGCTTGATACTCGTGTGTTTTATGATAGTATAGGTCATGAATCAGGAATAAAATGGTTTGGTTATATTTGATAAATAGTGGAGACTTTTCATATCTGGGGCGGCTGGCCTAATGGTAAGGCGCTTGTTTTCGGCGATAGAATCTAAAAAGATCTTCTATGGAATACACAAGAGATTGCAGGTTCGATCCCTGCGTCGCTCATTACTTTTTTTGCTCGTCTTTTTTAATCTGCACATGTACGCATACCTGTGTGTAGTTAGTCGAGCCGCTTTATAGCAGACTTCTTGAGTGTGGCTATATTTCTGGTTCTCGGTGTGGTACTAATTTAACAAGTGTCATTCGTAGTTGTATATCGACCCATCCAGCGACGACCTCAATATCAGCCATGAAGCTATTGATCTCCTGTTTTTCTTGAGTCTCTCGCACTCTTTTGCCTTTCTCGCTGTGTTTTGAACTGCGTTTTCGTGTGGTGTTGGTTGAGTTGGCTGTTTGTACCTCCCGGTCGCAATGCCAAGGCCAGTTGAACCCCCCCAAAAAGGGGGTTCAACTCGAACTATATGGCAACTTTGGTAGTGTAGATTACCACGCCACAACTCCTTCATTTCATGAATCAAATCTTACCTTGGTAGCTCTTTATACTTTTATAGTTGTCGTGGCATTCAGGTAGTCAGAAACAAATGTTGTGGGTCGCTGTTGATCAATTGTTAGGTCTCAATGCTCTGATATATATTCTATCCACCACCTTACATGTACCCAACTCATTGAATGTTGACAAGATTACGCATTTCATTTATTTCTAACCGAACTCAGAAACCCGATATCAACAAGAGTAGACAGAAATACATTTTCAAATCAATTGTTTTAGATAGTAGTATACTCAATTAACCTTGTAGACTTTCGCAAGTCGAGTTGGTTTACTACATAGAAGACTTACCGGACACAACTACAACAACCACCAAGACATAGTACAGAAAAGCCATAGAATAAATCTCAAGTGGAATAACTGACCCAAGGTTGAACTGAAGGTGGTAAATATTTACAATAATCGACATGGCTGAGGATATAGCCTCAGGCCATCACAACAACGCGTCGGACCAAGTACGCGCAGAACACCCCCACCAGCAATACACAACGCGTCAAATATACACAACCACGCCATACAAGTTACAAGTACAGTTACACGAAAATTATTATTTGAAGTTTTGATTGTATTCGTATCGGATCGCACCATGTGCTGATCCCACCGTGAAGGTGCCAGCCGTAATGAAGAAGGCCGCTATGATACAAAAAAGCTCAGAAGCGAACACTAGCAGACCCGTAGTGGACGCGCAATAGTGGTAATCGAGTGTAAAAGCAAACCCAGAGACCCATGACGATTGTAGTAAAATAAATCAGAGAACACCCCAACGTCCCATCGTACCGTAGAACCAGCCCGGAAAAGAAAAGCACAAATGATTTAGCCACCGAAACCGTAGAGGGTACCTGAAGATGTGGGTTAGCAATCATCGAGAGGAGAACAGACGACAGAAGAACTTACGGCCCTGGCGCTTAAGAGCGTAGACAACGTCGAGAGATGTGACGGTCTTGCGCTTGGCGTGCTCAGTGTAGGTGACGGCATCACGGATGACACCCTCGAGGAAGGTCTTGAGGACACCGCGGGTCTCCTCGTAGATCATGGCGGAGATACGCTTGACACCACCACGACGAGCGAGACGACGGATAGCGGGCTTGGTGATTCCCTGAATGTTGTCACGCAAAATCTTGCGGTGACGCTTGGCGCCACCCTTTCCAAGACCCTTGCCACCTTTGCCACCTATAGAAGACGCGTTAGACGCGTTCAGAGACGAGAGATGAAGAAGTGGATCACTTACGGCCAGACATATTGTATGATAGAAAAAGAGTTAAAAGGGGGAAAAGTTGTTGTTGAAGTTGTCGAGATTGGGGAGAAGAAGAGTATGGGGCAGAGGGTATTTGTATCAGACGAGAAGGAGGGCGCGTTGGGAAATCACACGCTAGCCAGAGGATCAGCCAATGGGAGTGGAGGATCCCGGGGGCAGGACTGATCTCCCGGGATCCTCTCAATCTGGCAATCCCAACTTTGGCAGTAGTAATCTCTGATCCTGCTTCGTTTCACCACCAACAATGGAATTCACGCGTAGTAATCAAGGGAAGATACATTCCAAGGCATTCCAAGTAGCTTCGAATTGCTGAGTTTCCTTCCCAGCCCACTTTGAGCTTGAGATCAGGAATTCCAGGGTGAAGCATTCTATACTCCGTGATCCTGAGCTCTGATTGGCCGAAATCTCGCTTAGTGTACCAGCGCAGGCATTACAACTGACCAATCAACAGCCACTGCAAATCAGGCTTTGGCGGTGACTGATTTCCGTGCTTTGATTCTGATCTGCCTGGCAGCCAATGTGATTCGCCTGCCGGTTCTCTCAGATCATTCCCCCCTCCCCCGTTCCTACAAATACTCTTCCCCCACCCACCTTTCACTTCCCTTCCTCATCCATCTCTCGACAACCAGTTTTTTCATCAAAACTATCCATCAAATCACTATGGCTCGTACCAAGCAGACTGCCCGTGAGTATTCCGCATATTTCCTTCACTTCCTATCGTCACTTATTTCGCACTTCCTCCTTTGGGGCGGGGATCACATGATCCCCCTTCAGGGAGGCGAGTTCGGAAAGACGTGACTGGGTGTGACGCGCTTCGAGACCAACTGCTAACAACCGAAATAGGTAAGTCCACTGGTGGCAAGGCTCCCCGTAAGCAGCTCGCCTCCAAGGCTGCCCGCAAGGCCGCACCTTCTACCGGAGGTGTCAAGAAGCCTCACCGCTACAAGCCCGGTATGTATCCACTGCTGTCACAGTCAATGTCTTCACCTGCTAACTTCCCCAGGTACCGTCGCTCTCCGTGAGATCCGTCGCTACCAGAAGTCCACTGAGCTCTTGATCCGCAAGCTCCCCTTCCAGCGTCTGGTCCGTGAGATCGCCCAGGACTTCAAGTCCGATCTCCGCTTCCAGTCCTCCGCTATCGGTGCTCTCCAGGAGTCCGTTGAGGCATACCTCGTCTCCCTGTTCGAGGACACCAACCTCTGCGCCATCCACGCCAAGCGTGTCACCATCCAGTCCAAGGACATCCAGCTGGCCCGCCGTCTCCGTGGCGAGCGCTCGTAATTTCTTCATCTCTAATATGAGTTGAATTTCAAGGCGATCATGGGGTTTTGTTTTTATCTTTTATCATGACTGGCGATACATGATGGGTTTGCTTTCCAATATCAATGGGTTCGGGAACTGGGTTTCTCTGATTTTGCTGTTTTCTCCCTGGGATCAATGCTACTGTCCGGAATGAATCGGTCATGGGCATGTACATTAAAAGGGATCTCTCTTAACTTGATGCCTTAGCGCGCATCAGCTCATGGCATAGACGCGAAATGCGATATCTATGATTCTTCCAATTACTACTATTCCATTTCCTACGACGCGTAGCTTGTTGTGAAATTGACGCGTAAAAGCAAAGGGCACCCATCCCCACTTAGCGTGTCTTTCACTCTGACCTGGTCCATTCTCAGTCTGGTATGGTCCGTCGACAGGCAACGGTCGCGCCCCGAAGTGAAGCATCTGTGTTTTGCATTCCGTCCCTGGAGTCCAGTCTCGTAACTCAGTGAACCACGAACCTCCCATGCCAACGAACGAAGCGACCGAGCCCGTGTCCGAAGATCCAAGTGCCATACCCTCCCCACAATTAGTTTGATCCCTTATCCCAACGACGTCATCGCGACGTCTACACCCCGTGTCATACCACCAGAACGTCCGCCTCCATATCCCTCGATCATCAAATGCAGGGGCACAGCCGTGAAACAATCATTTGACACAAAGAGCACTATGCGTTGTTAAAAGAAAGAGATGCAATCAATAAAAATCCAAGCAACAAGAGCAAGACTTGAGCCCACGATCTTCCCAAAGGCTCACCAGCCAGGACTCAACCCGCTCATTGTACTGACACGTACTGTAGCAATGGAAATGACAGAGAACAGTAGATAAAGACAGTAGATCGATCGTCTTCGTTCGTTACTTGCACGATAGAAGTTCTTGAGCTCACCTCAGCGTTAAGGCTATTGCCGTATGCCGGGTTGAGTCCTTTAGTGCCCTCCAGGGCTCTTATTCAGAATCTACGGGTCATGACTCTGCCGTTGAAATTCTGTTCACCTGCAGCCGGATAGCCCATACCGTGACAGCTTGAATCAAAGACTGGCTGTGAACGTACAGTACGACCCGCCCATCAAGTTACTACCCAAGAAAGTTCGCACAAATAGCCGCCAGTCAAAGATATGACATCGAACCAGATACAGTAGACCAGGAACTAGACCAGGAGAAAAAGATCTCCAGGTCCTCGCCCGAGCCCCAGCAGCCTCAACCCAGTCCAACTTCAGCGCCTGCAGAACGAGGACGAATCGGCCAAGAGTCACGATGAGCTCATAACGTCATGACTTCCACACCGACGGGATATGTACTGGAAGTAGACAGGAATTCTGGAAAGGGCTGCGTTGATGTCTTGCAAATGGCTATATCAGAATGAGTCATGGCTTACTTCTACAGTATCCGTACCTATCCCTGTATCTTGCTGCCTAGAAGTGAATGATCGAGAATCTATCGACGACCATGTCATGTGGTCGAGGTCTCATGACTACAGTGCCTGAACAAAAAGACCATATTCTCAGGTGTCATGACGGGACTTGGACTTTGTACATGGTGGCCAACGTAGTGGCCGAGTTAGACAAAGATAGTACGATTCCCGTAATGGAATGATGTTCCCTAGTGGCGATGAAGATACGAGGGATCTGATGAAAAGAGTATCTCTGGCAATGAATTACATGGACGATGGCCTAGACTACTTTACTGCTTTGTGTACTGTACAGTAACTTTCGATTTGGACCGAGGGTGGACTAAGGAGACGTTGAATCTGAGAAATGTCTTGCCTTATAAACCAGGTGTCGATTACCTGTGCTTTCGCATCTGATGTGGGGCGAAGTGACTTGTATGTACGTTTTGGACTTGTGATCTTTCTTGCTATAACAGCTGTATCAAGATTAAATTTCGAAAAGAGATACAAGTTTGTATGCTCAATATGCCATACTATTTTGAAAGAATATTATGACAGGAGCATCAAGATCAAGCCAAGATCATTTTCCATCTCAAGTACCGTGCTGTGGGTCCAAGTCCAAATCCAAAGCGACGAGCTTAGCCTGACAGAATAAGCCTGAGGCCACTAATTGGGAACTCCGCCTAAACATAGAGTCCTGAGGCAATCTATCCACGTGATCACAATCGAACATTCTAGCTTACACGCTAGAACGTCTCTTTCTTTGCCTGCAAGCCTTACCCCTATTTCCACACTGGTGGCTGCGGCATCCCCGAGCCTCGGGTCGGGTTAACTACCTTCTTTTGATGTTCGCAATTGGGTCTTAGGCTTTTGGAATTTGTGGTCTGACCTGCAACTCGGGTTCTTCCGAGTACATTTCTTTGCTGTCAACGTGGATATATGCTTGGCCATTGCGTTGGCTCAAATTTGTGTGGATTATGCACTGTACACGCATCCAAGGTCCTCGCTGTTCTTTGGAATAGCTCCTATTCGGGGCTTGCACTGCGGATAACCGCGCTCGGTATTCCCGTAGTCTCCAGAATGCAAGGCAAGTTATACGAGGCGTTTAAACACATGAGTATAGCCACTGTACCTTCCCATGGAGATGTCTCAAAAGTATAATACGATGAAACTAGGGACGCGCAATCTCCCACCATCATGTTGTGGATTGCCAGGTTGCGGTCAATCAGATATGAGTCAGACATCGGCGAGTTAGTTGACTTTATGCAGATCGGGCTTCCGCGCAGCACAAAACCGGAGTTCAAGCTTTGGCCCCCCGTTCGAGGACGCTTAGCAAGCACAGGGTAAGAATACCGTAGCGGATATAAGGCCAAACTCCAGTGATAAGCGTGGAGAGGACGGGCGGTGGATTATCTCCGGCCATGTGGTGACACCCGACAACCTTTATCTATTCTTAACCCGATCCCGATGCATTAGGGCAGATACCCAAACGGTACACAGATGTGTAAGATTTGAAAGCCGCGATTGCACAAGGTCGGAATATGCGAGAACATCGCATGTTTCAGGGTTTTCCAGGTTGAAACCACGGGCCAGAGCAGGCTGCGGCCAATCACCGAGATGCCGCATACCCGAGTGGCAGCTTGGCATTTGTGCACAAGTCACGTGGGCAAAACGTGGTCGCGCATCGGAGGGTTTGATGCATGTCCAACATAGTATGCTGTCGATCTACCGTATCGACAATGATGGCTTCAAGTACTGGTATAGAGCTATGAGGAATTGATATATAATTGTACATCGAATAACAAACAGCATATAACTTGCTAGTCACTTACATTACAGAGCTATACGTCCAGCCCCGGAGATAACAGACCGCATTCGGCTCTATCTCCACTCTGCATAACTTCATAACCAGATGCGCCAAAGAGAAAAAATACATTTTGTTTAGCTTGGAAAATGCGCCACGGGGTAATCCTTCAAGAACAGCTTGTCTATATAATCAAGCTAGTCTGCAATCCGAGTTTTCATCTTAAATCTAATACCTACATTTTCACATTGGTCCCCGTTCACCAGGACACCAGGACACCAGGGCAGGACGGACACATAGTACCTAATCAAGACCATCGTCCACCCCGCAAACGGTTTCAGGGTCTCTACCCACAACAAAACACCTCTCACCTCCCCACTTCAATCCAGTCTGGCTACCACGTCCATCAAACATAAACCAGAGCATCAACTCTTCACATCTGCCACCATGGCAGTCGACACGGAACCGAAACTCGACAAGATCGAGACGACCGCCCCAACCAAAATCCCATACTGGCGCTTGGTCTTTGACCAGGGTGTCGTCACACAAGAGATCATCGACCACCCATACCCCGGCGCAGGAACAGAGGACGATCCCTTCGCCGTAACATGGATTCCCAATGACCCTCGCAATCCCATGAACTTCAGCGAGACCAAGAAGTGGTCGTTTACGATGCTTGTGGCGATTGCTACGCTGGCGGTTGCCTTGGTTTCATCGGCTTATACTGGCGGTATTGAAGAAATCATGGCTGATTTCGGTATTGGACAAGAGCTGGCTACTTTGGGTGTGTCGCTTTTCGTCTTGGGCTTTGCGGTATGTAATGCTCCTAGAATTGCTCTGACCTCACAGCTAATATGTTTCGTTTGTAGATTGGTCCTCTGCTTTGGGCTCCACTTAGTGAGCTATTTGGTCGCCAGGTCCTGTTCGTTACTACGTACGCCGCTCTGACAGCCTTCAATGCTGGTGCTGCCGGTGCCCAGAATAGCTGGACTCTCATTATCCTGAGATTCTTTGCTGGTTCCTTTGGCTCTTCGCCTTTGACAAATGCCGGTGGTGTCATTGCCGATATGTTCCCCGCTAAGCAGCGTGGTGTCGCCATGTCCCTCTTCGCAGCTGCGCCCTTCTTGGGTCCAGTCTTGGGCCCGATTATTGGAGGTTTCCTTGGTATGAACGCTGGTTTCAGATGGGTTCTTGGATTCTTGGCTGCTTTCTCAGGAGCTGTCTGGATCATGGGTTCGCTGCTGATCCCTGAGACCTATGCACCCGTCCTGTTGCGCCGCCGTGCTGAGAGACTTTCCAAACTATCTGGACAGGTCTATCGCAGCAAGATTGATATTGATCAAGGCCCGGTCTCTCTGAAGAACTCCTTCAAGGTGTCGCTTTCTCGTCCTTGGATCTTGCTGTTCCGCGAGCCTATCGTCTTTCTCCTATCTCTCTATATGGCTATCGTCTACGGTACTCTATACATGATGTTCGCAGCCTTCCCTATCGTCTACCAACAATCGCGGGGTTGGAACCAGGGCGTTAGTGGCCTTGCTTTCCTCGGAATCATGGTCGGCATGTTGATCGCTGTGGTCTACACCCTATGGGATAATAAGCGCTACGTCAGAACCTCGGACAACCACAACGGCTTCGCACCCCCCGAAGCCCGCCTTCCCCCTTGTCTAATCGCTTCTATCGCCATCCCAGTCGGTCTCTTCTGGTTCGCCTGGACGAACTACACTTCCATCCATTTCATGGCTAGTATCGCCGCAGGCGTCCCCTTCGGCTTCGGCATGGTCCTTGTCTTCCTCGGAATCATGAATTACCTGATCGACGCATACACCATCTTCGCAGCCTCGGTACTAGCCGCGAACTCCGTGCTACGCTCCCTATTCGGTGCCGCATTCCCCCTCTTCACCACATACATGTACAAGAACCTCGGTATCCACTGGGCATCCTCTGTGCCAGCCTTCCTCGCTCTTGCCTGTGTGCCATTCCCCTTCCTCTTCTACAAGTACGGCCCTGCAATCCGCACCCGCTGCAAGTTCGCCGCCCAATCCGAGGCATTCATGCGCAAGGTCCAGGAACAAGTCGACACTGCTCCTGTTGAAGACGAAAAGGTTGAATATGACCGCACCGAGGCACCTGTTCCCGCGGGCTCTGTCTCCAGTGAGTCGGAGGATGGTGTTGACCAGCTTCCTTCTGCGCAGCGCATTCGCAGTCGTGCCCATTCTGTTGCTTCAACTCGTACTGCTGGCTCGCTGCATCGCACTGTCACCTATGAGGGCAACCCCTACGACATTGACCGCGTCAATACTCGCGAGTCTTTCAAAAACTAGGCTGTTACTGTACGGCTCCTGGTTTTACATTGCCCTTTGTCATTTATGCTTGACGAAGTCGCTTTAATCTTAGTTCTTATTGCCCTACCCTACCCATTCATACCCCAAAAATACCTTGCCTGTTTTGCACCTGCTACGTCTGCATCTGCGTCTGCGCCTGCTTTTGTTTTGATACCCGATGGGATCCCATTCTCACTCTGGGAATGACCGCTTATGTGTTCATGGTCTTGCATCTACCTAGATCTGGCGTTATGTCTAAATAATTCAACATCCATATATAACTTATTCAATATCAATAACAATAACAATAACAATAACAATGCTCTATTCAATAGAACAAGAAACCCTAAGATAACATAAGCACCAATCGGAATCCTCTCCCGGCACTGCATTCATCCGACATTCGGCTTTCCCGCCACAAGATCAGATCTCGAACTTCTCCCCGATCCCTTCTCACTCCTTTTCTTTGGGGTTTTTTTCTTTCTTTCACATACACTCTCTCTTGCAAATAGATGTCCAAACTAACGCCCCAAAAATGATACCGCTCTCCAAATCCCTCGGTCCAAGATCAACATTCCTCCGACCGCGACCGATAACCCCCGGATTCCACCCTTTGCGCCGAACTCGCTGTCAGCGCTACAAGTCCGATTCAGCGTCGAAGAATACTACACCTCCAAATTCAAATGCCCATGCGAACACAAATGCGGGATCGCATACTACCCCGTCACACTCGCACCCAACCTCAACTCCCCATACCTCACAGCCACCAATAAATACACCCGCCGCAGCAGCAGGCGCAGCAACACCACCCATACAACACACCCGCACCTTCGGCGTTCGCATTCGCGACTCGATCAAGGCTGGTCCAGCGGGGAAATTGGGACGGTGGTATGCGCGCGTGCAAAATGAAAGGCCATATACAACCCAGTTTTGGAGTTCGATTGTTATTTATCTCTGTGGAGATCTGAGTGCACAGATGCTTTTCCCTGCTGAGATCTTGCCTGAGAAGGGCGATCAAGGCGCTGCTGGTCAGACACAAGCACAAGCCACGGATAGAGATGGGGAGGACGAAGAGCCCCAGTATGCTGGGTATGATCCGTATAGAACAATGCGGCATTTGGTAGTTGGGGCTGGTTCGAGTATTCCTTCTTATAACTGGTAAGTTGAAACACCCTTCATATACGCCCAAAACACAACCAAGACTGCGGATGGATGTTGATCTCAATAGGTTCCTCTTTCTCGGCAACCACTTCAACTACCCTAGCAAAATCCTCTCGATCTTGACAAAAGTAGTTGTCCAACAGACGTGCTTCACACCCATCTTCAACACATACTTCTTCAGTGTGCACTCCCTCCTCGGTGGCGCAACAATGGAAGAGACATATGAGCGCCTGAAGAAGGCCTTGCCTGTTTCTATCACGAACAGTGTGAAGCTCTGGCCGGCTGTTACGGCCTTTAGCTTCATGTATGTGCCTGCGCAGTTCCGAAATGTGTTCTCCGGTGTCATTGCTGTTGGGTGGCAGACTTATTTGTCTTGGTTGAATCAGAAGGCTGCGAAGGAGGTTTTGTTGGCTGAAATTGCGGAGGAGGAGAGGGTCAGGGGTTTGGCTGGACTGGGAGGTGCTGGGCTGCTTGCTGGGGCTGTGTGATGCTGGACTCGGACTTGGATATTGAATCAAGACGAGAGTGAGGGTTTTCTGTATAGATTCAGATTTATAGATTTGCGTTTTGGTTAGCGTTGCATTTGATACCACGTTAGATCAATGGATTTCGTTCGTTTTCTTGAGTTGAATGATAATTTCAATCATAACAAGCTATATAATCAACCATTTACAAGTATCAGTAGAATTACCAGCTGTAGATAGCTATTCGTCGAGGTAGTAGAGTCGGCCACTCACAATCGCAGGATTCATAAATGACAATGACGGATCTCCAATTCCCCTCGCCTGAACACCACTTCACTTCCACCCCCAAAATGACCTTCCGACATGTACGGAACTGATCAAGAATCAAACTACGGCTCTGACTTCAATACAGACGAAGAGGAGTTACTAGACGACCTCCTCCAAGCCGCCTCGGAACACGCGACCGTCCAGCCCGCCACTCCAACCCCAATTTCAACTATCCCGACCTTGACCACGCCCTCGACACGGACTGCTCCGGCACAGGCATTTACAGGATCTGGAACTCCCGACCCGAACTTGAAATCTCTTTCGCCTGCGGCAATCGCAGCCCTTGTTGCCGATATTGAGGATGGCGCTGGCATTGCGCAACCGGGCACACCTACAGGCGCACGCCTACCTAAGGTGCTGGGCCGAGAAGGGCCCCTGTCACCGTGGCGTGTGGGCGGGTTTGGCAGGATGGCGAGCACCAGCCCACGCGCAAGCGCAAGTCCACGCGCTGGCAACAGCAACAGGGCCAGCGCGTTTGGTATGCTTTACCCATTCCCTTGCGGTCTATGGCATGGTCGAATCAAACTAACACCATTTGCCGAAGCGATTAGTCGAGCACACCGATTCAACAGAGGGCAGGACAATAGAGCGCGAACGTAGCGCAGCTCGCGAGCAAGACTGGATCCAGCAGGACCCAGCTGTGAAAGCACTCGATACGCGGCCCCCCGTCGAGCGGTTCCGCAGAGCACCCAATAAAGCGTTTTCTGTTACGGATCTTGTTTCGCCTGCTTGGTGTGAGCTGCAGTATTGGTATACGCTCACCAAGCATGGGCGCAAGAAGCGCACGCCTGCTATGCTTCGGGGTAGTACTGTGCATAAGACACTTGAAGATGAGATATATACCACTGTTCCTGTGGATATTACGACGAAGGAGGATGCGTGGGGTCTTCGGATTTGGAATATCATCCAGGGACTGCGCATGCTGCGTGAGTATGGGGTTACGCGTGAGATGGAGGTTTGGGGGCTTGTTGATGGGGAGATTGTCAATGGGGTGATTGATCAGTTGACTTATGAGTGTCCTGATCCTGGGCTCGAGGGGACGGCTGCTGGGTTTTATGCTGATCTTGCTGCTTCCAAAGCTGCTTTGCCTGAGTATCAGATGTCTTTGTCTGATTATCTACTTTCCTCTGCGCAGGGCGGGAGGAGTCTTTCGGAATGGGGACAGAGTGGTGGTGAGAAAGTGACTGGCCTGGACGAGATGGAGCAGGAATTGCCGTCGGAGGTTTACGGTCTACCTCGGGTTTATTTGACGGATGTCAAGACCAAGGCTAGCCGGTCTATACCGACTGTTAAGAGTACTGGGTTCCGGCCTACTCTCCTCCAGTTGCAGCTCTACTATCATATGCTCAGCCGTCTCGTTACAACCGACGATGTGACGATCGACGTCCTCGCCGCTCGGTATAACTTCAACCCGGAGAGTTCATTCACGAATGCATTCGTCTCAGAAGTCGGCGGACTAAACGATGAATTCTTTGATGCCCTTTCTTCCCAGGAACGCGAAGCAAGTCCAACACCAAACGCAAAGAACCCAGCATCAAGCCCACCAGCCAGCCAAGACTCAACCAGCATCCTCATGACACACAATACTCTCTCCCGCCTCTGGGACTTCATGAAAGACCAACTCCGCCTCACATTTCTCCCAGAAACAACCCTCACATCCATTGCCCCATCTATCCCCTCAACAACCCAACCAGATCTTTTGGAGGAATACCAAACCCTCCTCTCCCCCGTCCTAACAGCCCGATACCTGTCCTCCGCCGTAGACGTGGATTCCGATTCCCGCCACCTAGGAAGTCGATCCTTCCTCTACGATCCTACAACCATGACGTCGTATCTCTCCGACCAGATGACCTGGTGGCGTGGTGAGCGTGATCCCCGTGGTGTGGAGGTAATGGATGCGTGGAAGTGTCGAATCTGTGAATTCCGCAATGAATGTGAGTGGCGTCAGGAGCGCGAGCTGGCTTATGCTAGACGAGGCGGAAGGAGGAGGACTAGTGCTTCGGCCGATATTTGATCTGGTGCTGTATGCTGTAGACTTGGTTTGGGGCTCTTTTGTCTATGTTTAGCGATTGCATAACTGTGGAGTTGATTGTTTACGCGAATAATTACTGTATTGTCTTAGCATATAATTGTCCAGATAGGTTGGACCTTCTTAAAATACATAATGAGAGAGTGTGGAAATATATGTTTGATTGTACGCTTGTGATCTTGCAAGTAAAATAACCCATCCATCGTTCATGATGCAGTTGCCGAAGATGTATGTATGTCTTTATTGTAATGAACAATAAAAAGATTATTTACCATTATTGTATGTTTATTGGTAAAGGAATAAAACTAAGAAGAAGAATCAAAAATAAAAAAAGAATGAGCGACGCAGGGATCGAACCTGCAATCTCTTGTGTATTCCATAGAAGATCTTTTCAGATTCTATCGCCGAAAACAAGCGCCTTACCATTAGGCCAGCCGCCCCAGATATGATGAGTATCACCACAAAAGCGTCTCGCGACCATCATCCTCAAGACATTAAAGTATCTACAGACTGAGAATACAAGACAGAACGTCTTTGTCAAATAATCGAGTGATATAGGGGTCATGCTTTTCCTACTGGACTTCATATATCTAGGTTTGAAAAGTTGTGAAAGATTGTGATCTAGGGTATTTACATACTAACAAACATCCATGGGACCAATCCGAACCGTGATTAGTACTGTCCAAATAGAGTATCAACAATCCAATCAGTTGTCTGTTTATTTTTGTACGGCATCATACCAAGTGCAATATGTACAGTCAAGATGAAGGATCTCCCAGGCGCTATATATCACCCAGCTGGTATTAAGTCATAGATATTCAACAACCAAACCATAATATCCTCCTCGAGAAAATTGTCAGACACCTTCATATTTCCGGGAACAGTTATATTGGCATGAGAGACATATCACTGAGATCCCCAACCCCTTAATCCGATCTCTCAACGAGCGTCAGAAATCACTTTCGCGGGTCTATCTCGGGACAAGATACCTAGGCGTTGTTATAGCATGGAGTGCGACCCTGCGCAGTGATGAGAGAAGCACAGGAGAAAGAACCGCCGGCATTGCACTTCGCTGGGGTATTTTCGCTCCCTTGGAGTAGACGACTAGCGCCCGAACAGAGTCTTGTGCAGTCATAGTCGTCGCCAGTCATTGCATTCTTTGACCTATGTTAGTTCGCAGACTGATTCAACGATCGAAAGACATACAGATCCGTAGAGACAGCAGTGTGAGCCATCGGAGAACAGACATTGGCACTGTTTTGAGCCTGAGCAGGTGGCTGCCAAGCTAGATCCGGCGGCGGAAAGCATTATCAACATGCTGAGAACCTTCATTGTGGTAATTGAGGCTTGGTGGAGGATATGTGTGAAATTTGGAGGGGATGGTTTATTCTACTGGAATGTATATCGAGGTAATTTTGCTCTATTTATCACTTACAGGCTCTATGCCGAAGTGTATAGCGATGCACTTTTCTCCGAGATTTCTCCAAGAGAGAGAGTCACCCAAATTGAATCACATGTGAGTATAAGTTAGGTCCATGGATGACAGCGTCGACCTGACTGAACAAGAGACGTTCGTGCAGATCAATTGGCTAGCAGGGTAAAGTTTGACTAGCTAATTTGACTTACGCAGGTACTCAATTTTGGGTCTCTTTCGGGTGAACACCAGCGTAGTAGATACATTGGTTCCTTACTTGGCTCTCAAGTTCTACGTATTTTTTTTGTCTCAGGGTTGACTATTATAACTTTGACTGATATTTTTCAATCTCAAGGTAGAATTGATGATGACTTCTTACCAAAAAGAATAAGGTCAAGGCCAAGGAAGCCAAGAAAGGCGTTTCATGCTCGGTTGCGGGCCGGACTGTTATTGTTCCCCGGCGATCGACCGCGAGCATGTCAACTCTAGAAAAGGATCAGGGCCCTACTATACCTAAACCTAAACATATATTAGAGTAAGACATTTGACTCGAGGATTGTGATACATCAAATATGATCCTTTGGGTTTTCTACTCACACACGTGCCTTATCTTAGGTCTATCATGGTTTCTTCTGGCTCATTTGTCTTTTTAATTTTCTAATTAAATGGTTGTTTCTCTGCAGAATTTAATATTACGAACCCCTGAAAAAATGACCATGTCATATTAAAGACACTTGAGCAATATCCATGTATTGGAGGTTCTTTTTGCCTGAAAGTGAAAAGCCGGGTATCTTAAAGCCCAGCCCTCTTGACCAATCAGGTAGATGAGGCAACCCACGACTGTTTAGTTTCTAGAAAGCTCGTTCCGAATTAGCTCTATCAAGCAGAAGTATCTACAAGCGTCCTGAGGCACGGCGCATTACAATGGCACCAGAGGTTGGGAGGATAGAACTTACGGCTGGTTGCTCAAAGTAGTGCCCAGGCATCTCCCACGAGGCTATGAACATCATTTATAATATCAGAATTGCAAAAAAAAAAACATACAACAGTAAGGATTCGCTAGTGGTCACCCACCTAACTACTAACTTACCGGCGTGTGGCTTATGTGCGGTCAGTAGTCCGGTGGGTGTCGCCCGGGTGAGAAGTGGGTGAGCGCCGCTTTACGGTCGCGCGACCGGGGGTGACAAGGGTGAGTGCGTTATAGAAAACTGGGTTGGGTCCGACTGGGTTTTGCGAAAGTCCTGCCTATTGTATATCCACTAATTGCAATAAGGGTTCATTTCCTTTAGCCCATGGGATAGGTAATTATAAATAACAATATATAATTGAAACCGAGGAACTAGATTTACAAAATAAATATCTTTATATATCTAGCTCTTTATGTCTAAAGATACACACTATATATCCTATCGTAGGATATATCGGATCATATAATTTGATTTAAGTACCCTATAAGTATATGACTATGGCTAACGTAGTAGGATTGATTGGCGTTTGATGACATATTGTCAAGTTACGTTCCCCACGCTGATTGGCGTCCAGTAGGTCTGTAACAGATCAATTCAATTTACCCTATGAGATAGGGATAAATAGATTTCTTTATTTATGTCATAGTGGACAAATGATTTCAAAATAGTCCTGCACACCAAAAATACAATTGGATCCAACACCACTCCCAAAAAAACGTTGGACAAAAGGAATTCCAGATGATATTTCAACATTGGCCAACAGACGATCAATCTGTTGCTCCATGTTGCCGGAGTAATTCAATTACCTCGTCACTGTTATCTTCATCGAAAAGTCCCTTCCCACTCGAAGCGTCCTTTGCTGCAGCAAGAGCATTTCTGTATTTGCCGTTCTCGAGTGACATATTGACGTCTGCTCCTTGTTCAATAAGAAATTCCACCATTTCCACATCGGTATTGTATGCCGCCATCGCCAGAGGGCTTCCAAAGTCCCCATATTTGAACGGTTCGTTCAATGAGCATCCAGATTTCACCAGCAACTTCACGGTGTCGACACGATGTCCAGAGCCAACGGCAGCATCGAGAGCGTTTTCGTGATATCTATCCTCGGCTGTAGATTTCACATCAGCACCAGCTTCGATCAGGGTCTCAAGGACCTCAATATTTTGATCAGTTGCTGCCGCTGCTGCTATCAAAGCAGTGCTGTATTCACCTCCTTTCAGAAGGGCGTTGACATCTGCACCCTTTCCAAGAAGAAATTTGGTATAATCATCCCTTGCGTGATATGCTGCGGTAGCAAGCGCGCTGCCCCATTCGCCTTGCTCTGGCAATGCATTGACATCTGCTCCAGCTTCAACCAGACATCGGAGCATCTCAATATTATCGGGCACTGATGCGGCTGCGATGAGAGCAGTGCCGAAGTTTCCTTGCTCTGATAGAAGATTCACATTTGCTCCGGCTTGAATCAGACACTGGGCCACTTCCAAGTACTTTTCTTCTGCGGCGATTTCGAGGATAGTACCATAGCCTTCAAACGAAGGCTTCTTATTTGGATTCGCCCCCTCTCAATGATGTACTTCACAGCTTCGAACAGACCGCCCCGAGTGGCCTCCTCAATTCTGTCAGTCAGATCGGAAATTCCTCCTGCATCGACCAGGTATTGGACCACTTCGAAGTCTTTGCTGTACAGCGCGTATTTGCCAAGCTGCTCCCGATGGATATCTGCTCCGGCTTCAACGAGATACTTGACAACCTCCATTTTGCTTTCACCTGGCTTTTGCTGGCAGATAACCAGTTCAAGAGGAGTCTTTTCAATGCCTTTGACAGGGGGGTTCAAGTTGGCACCGGCCCCCACCAAAGCCTTCACGATTTCAAACGTCCCAACGACGGAAGTGGCTTTCTGGAGAAGAGTAGTGGATTCGTCCGGAGTCATTCCGCTCGATATGACCAGGTTGACGTCCATATTTCCTTCTTGAATGAGGTATTTGGCACCCTCAATGTAGCCACAATTCATTGCCGCGAAGAGAGGATGTCCAGACGGGTCAGCTATGTTGACGTTGACCTGAGCACCGACGAAAGTCTTCAGCAGCTCAAGATTCTTGAGTTTGACAGCCAGCGCAATCGGCGTCCTGATATCAGTCCAGCCAAATTGCTCCACTTCAAGGTATGATTGGTTCACATCCGCATGTCCCTCTGTGATGAGGTACTTGGCGATCTCAATGTGTCCTGCAGAAATTGCTGCAGCCAAGGCAGTTGGATGCTTTCTATCTTCCGCTGCCGTGTTCACATTTGCACCCACCTCGACCAGATACTTGACGGTGTCGAAGTGTCCTTTGCGGACTGCAGGCTCCAGTGCACTGATATAAGCCCGACCCTTCATCTCTGGGCTCACATTTGCACCCCGCTCAATAAGCGCCCTGCATATCTGTGCAGAGCCACCTTGAGCGGCGACTGTAAGCAAGGTGTGACCCCTGTTGTTTACCAGCGAGGCATCGAATTCGGCATCTTGCCACCAGTCTGACAGGATGTCATAGAGGGCGAAGTGACAAATTGCGAAAATAGGAGCATCTGCCTCCAAGTCGGTTTGCCATGCATCATGATAAGGCGAGGGTGCTTGATTGAAGCCGCACAGGTCGACACCTTTATCGCCCTGACCAGCTGCGGCTGCATACAGACGGTAGCTACCCGGGACACTGCTTCCATAGCCTATCGCCACTATCTTGTCATCATCTCCTGCAATCACCTCAAACCACCTTTGGTATTGTTTGCTGCCTTCAGAGGGCGATCCGAAGAAAGTCTTCAAAAGAGTTGCAAGGGTGCCTTTTTCGTCATCACGTGCAGCCTGAACGTGCTTTATCCACCAGTGTCTCATGTAAACATGGAACGGATGCATGAAATTGAAGATATCAGTTGGCTGCACATTTATATCCCAATCTTTGAAGTTGATTTCGCCATCCTCGCCCTCGTATTTGGTGTTCAGCCATGACAGACAGGCAGTTGCGGCATGTAAGTGGGCTCCCGGAAGGGACCACTTTCTGTTGGATTCAAGATAGTCGCGGACCGACAGATGCGCAAAACGCCAGACCTTGAGCTGCGAGTCAAGAGCAAGGAGGTTGTTACATGAAGACATCAGTCCCTGCTCATCGATCTCCTCGGCCAAAGCAGGCTCCTCGCCGTTTGTGTTTACGCGAATGGCGCATAGGATCTGAGACGTATTCAAGGGCTGCTCCGCGGCCATAACCCACAAGATTGCCCGCTTAGCTAGCATCTGCTCCGTCTCCTCCAAATCTTCGATCTGACTCCATGCTTCATCGTACGCCTTTTGAAGAGTGTCTGGGAGGCTAGCAAGCTGCTTCTCCACACTCAGTGGACTGTTGCACCTTGAAATCTGATGGGTTTGCAGAGCTGCCAATTGGAACATTCCTTGACAACGATCGAGCAATGCATTGATGATGTCCTCTTTCATATTCTGAACGAAGCGCTTCTTCTTCGTAATTCTTTCCAATTCCGCAATCAGATACTTATGGATATCACTCTTGTTATCGCTGGCGTTGATGGGAAGGTTGGGAGTGTTCTCCATCTGATTCTCAATATCAGGATCAGGTCTGCTGGAAATGAAGATCCTAACAGAATTCTCTGATTGGGCAATGAAAGCTTTCAATGCATCGATAAGAACATCCCTTGAGTCTGCGTCACATTCGTCCATCGCATCAATCACAATTGTCGTTCTGTCGAAGATATCGATCGACAATTGAATTTGCTGTTTGCACTGACTTAGGGAGAAGGTCGAGCCCTCCTTGCGACACTGTTTATAAAGCTCATGGAGTTGAGTTTGCGCAGATTCAGGACTGTTCACTGTGGTTGAGAGTTGGCGCACAATACTTTGAAGAATAGACTGTGGCTCTGACCGGGACCGCTCGTTCTTATCACAGTAAAAGAATGCAAAGCCCTCGCTGTTGCGGGTATCTTGGAGTTGATCCTTGATATCATCGATAATAGTCGATGTCAGATAAGTTTTTCCAGTACCGGGAGAACCCTGAAGCCAGAAGATAGAGGATTTGACTTTCTCCCACTCGTTGAAGCTCTTGTTCTGTAGTAGCCACTTGCCTGTTCCCGGCGTTCTCTGCTCCCTGATGTTGTTGTGATTTTCACCGAACGGAATGGTTGAAATCCATTCCAACATCTCGGTGTGCTCCTTCTCGTCCACCTGCTGGAGCAGATGCTGAATGCCTTTATCGACCCGTTTCATCGGGGCGTTCAAAGCTCCGAGCATTTCAACCATACTATCATCGGCGTCTGCACTTCGCCTGACCTCACATGCCGAGACATCACGCAGAAGGTCATCTTCCTGGCTACCAATGTCGGTAAGGCCACCGGAGACCTTTCCTGGGTTGAGGAGAGCCTGTAGGGTGCGGGTGGCTGTGCTCTTACTAAAGAGCGTTCCGGATTCAGAGAGCAGATCAAGCGATGTCTTGTAAATCTTGGTCAATGAAGATTCAAGATGCTTGGATAGGTTATCGGTAGACGATGCTGCGGTGTTCTTCAGGTATACAGATTCATACACCTGGCCGCGACTGATCACACTAACAATCTTCTCGGTAGTTGCGAGCAGAGCAGCCATTTGTTCACCCTCAATGACGGGTACCTAGCACTGGCTGTTAGCTGATCCGTAAAGTCGCATGCACGCAAAGCGGGTAACGTACCTGCATGAGAGATTTGATTGCCGACCACGGGAGAGCGGCCTGTGGCGGTGCAAACTGGATAGCAATGTCACCAGCCTTTTCTAGCCAGTCCACAATGTTGTTGGTGTAGTCTCGGAGGACGATGTCCTGGTCGCCGACCTTAACTTTCCAAAACTTCTTCTCGCATTCCTTCTGTCTTTCGTCAACCGCCTTCACCAGCTCATCAATACTGCCTTCGACGGACGCACTCTTGGCACTAGACTGGTCAAATCCCATTTTACTCAATTGCTCCTGCTTAGAGGGAGGCAGGGATTTGAGTGCCTCCAGCCATAGGTCCTTTGGGGCATCTGGTTGTTTCTTTGGCTGTTCCGCTTTCAGCGCTGCGACGGGCTTTTGATCTGCCGGTGCGCTCGGTGGAGGTTTTGGGGCTTCGTTGACTTTTTGATTCACACGAGGCTTGGGCTAGGGACTCCAGGCGTTAGTATTGTCCATGGCAGTGAAGATTGTTCCCGGAAATGAAGATTTTAAGCCAACTTCTCGGCAAATGTGGGATGACACTCACATCCTCTCGTTCATCGTGCTTGTGGCGGTGAAGCTTGTTCTTCAGTTTTTCGAACATATTGCATTCGGTGGCTTTGGATATTGCTAAGAGGAAGCGTGAATGAGCCGAGACAAGAATTATTCTCTTGATAATCTAACCCTCCATTCAGAGCGTCAAACTGAAAACTTCTGACACTAGGGAGATAAAATAGAGCCGAGTAAGAGGGGTAATTTTGTCCCTTATTTCATGTACAATAGAGAACCGATTCCGAGCAAATGAAGTGGGTTTATGCAGGAATTATGGCAATAGATCCACTCGTATCTGCATATGCCAGAATCAACAGGTTACCGAGATCTAGTAGTGGACCCAAACACCCACTCAGACCTTATTAAATGAATATACTGTACGCCTAAATGAAAGAGTGCTCCACAGGCTGTTCAGCGCCCCCACAGCTCCCCTTTACTACAATAGTGTGTACCTAGCGCACGAAGATTTTTCGGCTGAATCTTCCCGCAAGCGACAAACGGAAGAAATTCACATACCACACTCACAAGTCACCTTATCCACCATTTACTTAAATATTCTCTAACCCACGAAGGGAAAGAAAATTATAGATCACCATAATGTATAATGTGACACTTTCGATGCTAAGAGCGGGGACCGTCATCCTTACCAACAGCTATCAAACTTGAATAGACATCTTTCAGAAGTATACACCAGACTGGCTACAACCGATTAATCTTTGATGGATATCGAGATTCAACCAGCAATGGATCAATCTAAAGAACACAGTACAGTCACCTCACAACTTGAGAGCCATTAAAAATAGATCAAATCTGCCGTACAAGTAAGTCCACCTCCCCGACCCGATCGGCTGAGGATGTGGGGTCCAAATACCCCTTCTATCGCCGTGCAGAACAGAGACGGGGCTTCCCGAACCGTCGGAATTGGCAGTATCCTATCGTGATGGAGAAATGTGGACTACAGTTATTCTCGTCCACGGATCCCAATGCCGTCTCACACCACTCTTTAGTCCAAATCACCCTAGATGCCAATCTAAAGCATGCCTTTACTGCTCACCTGTGACCAAGGGAATTGTCAGCTCAATCGACAACCATTTGCTCCGAATAAAGGTTAGCCAACGAGCCGCGAGTTTCATCCCAAGAAAACAAAAGTGGAGAAATGCGATCTCCGCTCGTCCCGTCAAAGATCGGCTGAAATTCATTTCCCAGGTGATTCAGCCGGTCAGTTCGCGCCACTGCAGTGGAGACTATGACGATACACCTACATATGTACATACACTGTAGCTGTCTCCCCGCTTCAATTCGCATACGGTGAACAACTAGGCACCTACAGTTGCGCCTTCCAATTCATCACACTTTCCCCTAGAAAGACCGTTCCCGCTCTCCCATGAAGTACCCGAAACTATGGGGTTGATCGGACTCTGCTGTAGCAAAAGTAACAAGGCTGAGTATCTAAAGTAAGGCTGGTGGGAGAAATTTGAGGGCCTGCAGGTGTATGTCAGAGCAAAGCCCCTTTTGATAAACTGTAAGCTTGCGGAGTGAAGCAGAGAGAAGTCCTGGCTAGGGCTTAACTATTTTTCTAAATTAGCCACTCCTATAACTTTGCTGAATTAGGAAACGCAAACTACTAGATATTAACTTATAGACAAACTATTCCTATATAATAATGTCTTCTAAGCCTACTTAGATGTGTAGGAACAAAATAGTGTACATAACCAAATCAATGATCGGCGAGCTTAATACTGAACTCGGACGGCTTTGGTTGTGAAGAGGGTAGAAATTAGGATATGCCGACAATTTAGGAGGGGCTTGGTTATATGGAAAGCGATATTGCGCGACAGAACAATTTTAGTTAGAAGGTACTTTTAAATTGAAAATGATAGTCTTAAAACTGAGTAAATAAGACTGTGGGGAGGAAGAAGAGCAGACCTTGGTGATGATCCGGGTTCTATTAATTCGATGTTATCTATGATTTTCGAGGAAAAAATACAAGCATACAGTGCTAAAACTGTGCGTACTTTTTGAGCAAATTCTGTTCAGGGGGTTTAGACAAAAAAGGCCGAAGGGATTGGAGAGTAAGGCAGCAAGGGCACTAAGCACAACGAGTGAAAATAGATAGTGTAGTGGGAAATCACGACATTTGTATGATTACTGTTCCATATCTTCTGTTGTCTTGTTCCTTTTTGTATGTTTGCTTGTTTTGGAGTCTTCATGGAATTCTTAAGTATGGTGTTTGCATGTATTGTTTTTCTGTTCGAACTTGTGTTCAAGTTCTTGCTTGTGTCATATTGTACTTATGTTTGTTCTAAGTTTTCTTTATGTGTTTCTTCATGTTCTTGTTCTTTTGTTAAATCTTGTTTTGTTTAATATTGATAATGCCAAGTAGAGCGCCGAGTTAGTCTATCTAGAGGTATAGGCCTTCCCGTGGTATTTATCAAGTTATAATTAAGTATACGAGTTGTAAAGGTTTCTAAATAGTAGACATAAGTAACAATAGATAATTAAACACGAAGAACTAAACTAGATATTGAAATGGGAGATGCTCGATGGCAGTCTGGTCAAAACAGACGGGTCGACAAATGGTGGCAAGAAAACCCAACAACAAGTCAGGTCTGTGAGCTCTAGACAGATGATGCCTATCAGGGATAATCAGATGCTATATCAAGGAGCATAATGATCATAAATCTTGAATCAGGAAATGAGTGGCATTGTTATAACTGTCTATCCTTCTCTACAGTCGTAGGTTGCCCATAACCCTTCCTCGAGGATATCACTGCCTGAGGCAGTAATCATACAAGTGTCGTGATTTCCCCACTACAATATATAATACCCTTATATATCCTAAGTCCTTCGTTAGTAGTATAGTAGATAGTAGAGTAGTAGATAAGCCTTAGTAAGATCTATCGTTCTACCTTCGACCTTTCTACCGCTTACATGATCACGTGGTTGCCGTGTGATAATTAATTGTAGTAATCACTAAGACGGCGAATCGGAGGCCGGAAGTGGCCTTACCGTCACCTAGTGTTATAGTGTATTCTAGGTGATAGTAAATCAAGGGCCGAAAAAGGCGCCTACCTTGTTCGTCCAATCGTGTCTCTCTGATTGTTTGTCACGTGATCCTGATAGGTCGGTCGATTGACTGGTCTATGACCGCCTATCAACAAGTTGCGGCCCCATACTGATTGGTGCCTGGTATGTCCGTAACACTAACCACCAGAATTGCTACAAGTTACTCTTAATTTCATATTATAAAGCGCAAATGATCAAATATCCTTAGACATTTCAAAAAATTTCAATATTACTAGGGATTAAAACCATTATCTTTCAGAGGCTTATTATTACAGGAGTAAATTAACGTGATTCACTACCGAGCTGCGCACACAACCGAGCTGCGCACCCCACCTAACTTGATCATTTTAAGTGGATTTATCTCAACCAAAACGCCATTAAATTAATTAAACTAAAAACGAGGTTTATTATGACAGGCATTTCTTCGATGACCTAGTTCCCTACAATCAGAACACCTAGGGGGTGCCCTTGTATACGGCTGGGAAGGTGATATAGCCTGAATTCCCTATCAGATATCTGCCCTAAACTAGCCTGTACTAGCTGTTTTATCAAGAATAATACCTCTGAAACTGTAAGGCCTTCTTAAGAGTAGATCTGCGTTGTAGATCTAGCCTTCTTTCGCTTCTTCTTCTCGTTCTCAGCGCGTAAATCGCTTACTTCTTTCTTAAGAATAGCTGCTGATAGCATTGTGATTTGACAGGCTTTTAAAACCTGATTTATCGCCGAATTTAGCGGACTTGGAGGGCTTTTTGATCGCTCTTTTAACAATGCTTTTATCGAGGAAGCCTGTTTTTGTAATTGGATATAATTCGAGGGCGTTTTTGGCTCCCACTCGCTACCCCGGCTTAAGGGGGGTCGGCGTACGCGTGAGAATATTGACCTTCGAGATCACCCGAGAAGGGTTAAGAGGGATTTGTTACGCACTTGCTTCCGGGTCGTCGCTATGTTAGAAGACTTGCTGGATTATACTTGCCTGGTTGCTGACTTCCAACCTCAACGATCTGTCTCTCAACCGTACCGTTGCCTAACAGGCCTTATACGGGCTAAGTCCTTTTGAGGGTATCGAGGAGCGATGCCAAGTAGAGCGCCGATCAAGTCTATACCGAAGTATTGGCTTAGATCGTAGTGTTGTCAAGTGATAACTAAGTTGTACGAGTCACGAAGGTTTCTAAAGGTAGACACAAGTAACAATGGATGATTGAACACGAAGAACTAAACTAGATACATGAGGTCCTATATATCCCTAGTTCTTCCTTGGTAGAATGGTAGATGGTAGACTGGTAGATGCGCCTTGGCAGGATCTACTCGTAAACCACCATACCCATCTACTACTTGCATGATCACGTGGTTAGGCTGACGTAATTCCAATATTCTTATGGGGGAGAATATGTGTTTGTGCTGAGGGGGCCGTAAGTGGCCCTATCGGCACCTAGCGTTGTGGTGTAACCTTCCTGACTGTTCGTCACGTGATCCTGGTGGGTTGGTTGATCGACTGGTCCATGACCGCCCATCAACAAGTTGCGGTCCCATACTGATTGGTGCCTGGTATGTCCGTAACATCACCTCCCCCTCCCTAGGAGTTTCGTCCCGAGACTCATAAATCTGCGGTCCCCCCGGTTGAGTGGTGAGTTTTTCTCTTTCCTTCGTTAATGCGTATCCGTCATGCCTAAACGTAAGGCTGACCTTCCTTCTGATCCTTTTCCTAGACTTCCTCGCGATTCGACCGAAGCCCATCGTCGTCAGGCCGATTATATTGAGGTTAACAGCTTCTCTCCCTCGATTTCCTGTGACTGTTGTCTTGCTGCGGGGATAGATTGTCTGATGGATCGTTCACGCCGGTATTCTAAATGTGCGTCGTGCACTCGCGTAGGTCGTGCGTGTAAGCGTGATTTCCACACAGGGAATGAATGGGATCTGTTGAAACGTGCCGAGGACAAACTTTCCTCCGACATTGATAAAAATGAGGGTGAACTCGATTTGTTGGAG